CAGTAAAAAGAAAGCAGTTGCGAGCAGCATTATCAGAATTGTTTTCTAGCAATAACTACAAATGATCCTAGCGTCTAATATTGAAGTACTAATAGATAACTACTGTTTATAATGTGATATCAAATAATAAGGGCGAGGCAGTGGCGCAGTAGGTAGAGCTGTCGCCTCACAGCAAGAAGGTCGCTGGGTCGAACCTCGGCTCAGTTGGCGTTTCTGTGTGGAGTTTGCATGTTCTCCCTGCCTTCGCGTGGGTTTCCTCCGGGTGCTCCGGTTTCCCCCACAGTCCCAAGACATGCGGTACAGGTGAATTGGGTAGGCTAAGTGTGTGTGTGGATGTTTCCCAGAGATGGTTTCGGCTGGAAGAGCATCCGTTTCGTAAATACCCCGGACTAAGCCGACAAGAAAATGAATGAATGAATGAATATCAAATAATAAATAATAAGTGCTAATATTTAATGAACAAGCAGCATCAGAAATAATGAGTACAATAATAAGTACTATATGCATTTGTCATAGGTGAAATACAAACTATTCAAAACCAAACAATGGGGTGTTTTTCAGCCAATGATAAACATCCGGTGGAAGCTTAATGTGACTATTTTTATATCATAAAGTTCCTTTTACAGTATTGATGTTGTTAGGTAATTACAATACATTCAGTTCAATAGACTTAAGCATCAATTTGGTTGTTAAAGCGTAAAAAGAGACAAAAGACAGTGAAAACTCTAGCGCCATCATTAGCAGTAGGCTAGCGCAGAAACTCCATTAAAAAAACCGGGGTAAAATTAATGTATATTTAAAGACATGGTGCAGAAAAAAAGAATTTAATGCAGTGCTTTTTGTTTGGTCTAATACCCACTTTATATTATATCTCAGCCACGCAGTGAAGATTGCTGTTTTTTTTAAGAAATCAGATCTTAAACGCAACTATTTTGCATGAGGTGACAATTCACCGGAAGCTCTGGGGCTGGCTGACTGAAATTAAAAGTCTGTGTGCATATTCTCCAGTGATATTTCTGTGACAAATCACCATAGAATCCAATGGCAAAAACTATTGGCCTTAGTGCTTAAAATATGATAAACAGTCCTGCTATGCAAAAAAAATGTTCCTGTGAAGCAAACAGTGGTAAAATAAAATAAAAGATTATAAGGTTTTAAAACAGATTTATCGAACGTCTACACAGATGTTTGTATTTTATTTTTAGTGGTTGCTCTTAGTAGATATTGCTTTATGAATAATATTTTAAGCTCTGCATAATCAGGACTTTGGATTTTAATTTTGAATTGATTCTCATTATATTTATGATCTAAATGCTGAAAGGCTACAGTTTTGTTATTATTTATACGAACAATAATATTTTTTAGAAAAAGAGGCTCAAAGATAATTCACTTTAATATTATTTTAATAATACCTTAATAGAGTCCTGCTTAAAAAAAGGTAAAAAATATATAAATAAATGGAAAAAGCGAACCATTAGAGAAGATTCAAATGGTTTCCATTTGCATTCTGTCATGCAGTCATTTATAATGAACAAACCATAAAATCAACTATTAAAAACCAGCAAATTTGAATATATTCTATTGTGTTTTGGGTCATATTTCATGGGTCATATTGGTTTTAACAAGCCACCAATAGAATTAGTTAAGAGAGCCATAGGTAACCAATACATGGTCCATTAAAAATAATAACAAATAAATAATTCATGTAATGACATTAAATTATCATTATTGTTATTAAAGTAGGGAATGACATTTATTAAATGTCATTTACCGTTGCATTTGCAATCAACAGTGCAGTTCTGCCACCTGCTGGTGCACATAAAAATACAATCCTGGCTCATAATGTATGTATATCCAAATCTATACGCATTCGTCCAATATATTTGCTTTCAAAACTGTGAATCAACCTCTCGATTTATAAGTACTCTTTTATGAAGAAAACCTAACGCAAGTGATGTGCCTACAGAACCAGAGTCCTGGCGTTTCTCCAGTATATTTAAAACGTCTACTTACTCGGTGAACTTTACATGTCGAAGTAAATAACACTCTCGCAATTTGCGCTTCTCAGCAGTTTGTGCGTGATATGAAGAAACGAACAGGCTGTTGGAAGACATTAGATTTGAGCTGATCTGGAGGCAGTGACACTTAAGACTGACTCGCCCTGCGCTGCGGGAACTGTGAAGAGAGACGCGAATGATGGAAGCGTCCAGTGATTCAGTCACAGTAAGCAAACAACCGCATTAGCTAATAAACCTTTTATAAAACACGGCTAATTAGAAAGTATTTAGTTAACTTATATTTAAGTTAAACATAGTCTTATCATTTACTAGAAATGAAACAGACGATAACCTTAACTAAAATAAAATCAAAAAAGCGTCATTGCTAATTTCCATTTAATCTATCTATCTATCTATCTATCTATCTATCTATCTATCTATCTATCTATCTATCTATCTATCTATCTATCTATCTATCTATCTATCTATCTATCTATCTATCTATCTATCTATCTATCTATCTCAAATTATTGACTAGTGTGAAATTGTATTCCTTCATATATAATGCTGTTTAACACAATACAAACAATAATAATAATAATAAAAAGGTACTAGTAAGCCTATTAGATAGCCTACATCTGTCCAACTGCTCATTAACGCAAATTTCTAATTGGCCAATCACATGGCAGCAAATCAATGCATTTGGGCATAGATATCAAGATGATCTGCTGCAGTTCAAACCAAGCTTCAGAATGGGGTAGACAGTTGATTTAGGTGACTTTGAAGTGTCATGGGTATTTTAGAAACTGCTGATCTACTGGGATTTTCACACACAACCATCTCTAGGGTTTACAGAGAATGGTCCGAAAAAAGAAAACATACAGTGAGCGGCAGTTCTGTGGGAGCAAATGCCTTGTTGATGCCAGAGCTCAGAGAATGGTCAGACTGGTTTGAGCTGATAGAAAGGCAACAGCAACTCAAATAATCACTCAATTTGCACATTTGCTCACCAAAATTGGACAATAGGAGATTAGAAAAACGTGACTCTAATGAGTGTCGATTTCTGCTGTGACATTCGGATGGTAGGGTCAGAATTTGGCATCAACATAAAAAGCAAGGGTCCATTCTTGTATCAATGGTTCAGGCTGGTGCAGTTGGTGTAATAGTGTGGGGGATCTTGATTCTTGCCACACTTTGGGCCTAGTAGTACCAACTGAGCATTGTGTCAATGCCACAGCCTACTTAAGTATTGTTGCTGACCCTGTCCATCCCTTTATGACCACAGTCATAAAGGGATGGACATAACGGTAAGCAAACTAGTATTAATGGAGTGGGTGTTGAGAATGTTGATCAGTATAGGCATTTGGGAACTGTTTTAGATAATAAATTGTCATTTTCTGTTAATACTTATATGTTGTGTGAGAAGAGGCAACAACGACTATACCGTTTACAGAAATTAAGATCTATTAATATAGACAAATAACTCATGTGCATGTTTTACTATTCATACATTCAGTCACTGTTATCTTTTTCTTTGCTATGTTGGTTCAGTTCTTTAAGTGTGAAAAATAAGAGTTGTCTGGAGAAAATTGTGAACCTAGGAGGAAAAATAACAGGGAGAAAACAGATGACCATGGCTCAGTTATACCATTGACAAGTTTTGAGTAAAGCTCAGAGTATTCTGTCAGATGATTCCCATCCTATGCACCACAAGTTTTATCTTCTCAATTCTGGTATTCATTACAGAACACCTACTAGTAAAACAAATTGGTTTAAACTTTCATCCATTCCCTCAGCTGTAAAGTTTGTAAATTTAGGGTAGAATTTGTATTTTATAATGTGCTGTTGTGTATTATGTGTGACATGCTTGTATGCTGCAACCAAATTGCCTTCCGGAAATGAATAAAGACTGACTGACTGACTGTACCCATCTTCCAATGACTACTTCCAGCAAGATAACACGCCATGTCATAAACTGTGAATAATCTCAGACTGGTTTCTTAAACACGAGTTCACTGTACTCAAATGCCCTCCACAGTCACCAGATAAAATCTAATAGAGCACCTTTTGGATGTAGTGTAACGGGAGATTTGCATCATGGATGTGTTGTCAATATGGACCAAAATCTCTGAGAAATATTTTCAGTATATTGTTGAAAATATGCCAAGAAGGATTAAGGCAGTTCTGAAGACAAAATGGGGTCCAACCCCATACTAGTAAGGTGTACCAAATAAAGTAGTCAGTGACTGACATATTAAATTAAAATAATAATGGTAAATACAAAAATAAAAACTCGCATTTTCAATGAGATAATTGACAAACGCTAACAGGTTATACAAGATATTTAGTTTTCATTGTCATTAATAGAGGATTTACTTCATGTTAGTATCTCATAATGGCATGGTATTTTGATTTGACGCTGAACATTAAATATTACTGGAATTTATTTATATACATTATATAAACTGTTGGATATGCACTCCAATTCAAATACAATTATAATTTGCTACCCAATTTTTGATTCAGAAATATATTCCATATTTAAATGAATATTCCTAATTTGTGATATTATATTATTTATTTTGAAATACATATAGAAAAAAGTGTATTTGTATTTACTATATTGTACAACTAATGAAGGGTTTTTCATGGATAAAATTAATATATTGTCATTTTTTAGAACATTAAATTAGCACTGAGCATATATATATATATAATTTGTTTTCCCCCCACCATGCTATTTTATTGAGGTTTGTGATTTGCAAATGTAATTACGATTATAATCACATTTTTTATTTTCCCCATGTATTGTTATATTAAATATGAAGCCTCCTATCTTTATTTTGTGGATTGTAATACTGTGAGTCATGCCTGATCTAGCAGGAATAATTATATGCATGTTGATATTAATATTTATCAGGGTGTTTTGAGGTCACAGTTGAATTAGCTTCAGCAGTCAGCGCTGGTAGTACCAAGGGGGCGATTCAAGAAATACCAACTTAATTTGAATTGAACGCTTGAGTTATAATCTCATTCAGCGAGGATTTACTTAACATTTGATATATGTGTGTTTGACTTTGTACAGAGTAAACAAATGAAAAAATACACGCATACAAAGACAGCACCATCATTACCTCTTTTTTTTGCTTCCAAGGGGAGGTGGTTGAAAATCATAATAGAAACGACAACAAACAGTGTGTACTATGCATTAGACGTAGTAAATAATATGTTTCTTTACTAAAAAATCTTCCTATAGCCAAACATAATGACTGAACCTAACATTTATGGCACATTATTCCCTGTTATGCTTATATAACCTAAAACACAATGTGTTAAAACTTTTGGCATTCAAATGTGTGTACAATACTTAATCCACTTTTTTTGTGTGAAGAACTTGCAAAAAGAGCAAACATCCAATACATACATGCACTTTTTCCTAATATGAACAATCACTTGCTAAGCACTGCTTTCAGCATAGAAGGCACATGTATATATTTATAGCTATAGTTTATATATATATATATAAATCAGTATGAAATGTAACGTGCCATATATATGCACACAAGTGCTGTTGCATTTAATATGGTCAACATGCAGGTATGAAATTAAGAGTGCAGGTGAAAGTAAGGCAAAAGAAGTGTGGAAAACGGTGCCCTGTGAACATCTGCAGGCTTTAATCACTTCCTCCGCAGAGTTTCAGCAGCAACTTCTTATAATCCCCTGAAGTGTCTCCCTGCAAATGCAATTAGTTTGATTATTATGATTAGCATTATAATTTCTGAAAAATAATAGGTAATTGTGTGTGTACTCACAGATATGGCTGTGTATAGAGATTTGCCGTAGTTCTTTGCGTACTCCTGACGGATGTCAAGCATGTCGACTTCAGAGCGGGTCACCATTATGCGGATCAACGTGCGGTCCTTGGTTCCTGCTCCCTGTGGAATTAAAACAGCTTCAGTTTTTCCGTAAATTCAGAGTTTTTATTTATTTTTTTTAAAGTATGTTCTAGTCTGAAATGGGTAGCATGGTGGCTCAGTGTTTGGCATCTGCTGCGTAAAACATATTCATTCTGCTGTGGCAACCTTTGAAATAGAGACTATGAAGGATCTGAAATGGCATAGAGACTAGTGCATTAGTGCTCAAACTTCTCAGGCCATATTTAAAACACAAGCCTTTCTCCAAATTAAGCAAGTTCTAGGAGTACAAAAGGGATTAAAGTGACATTCTATGTTAGTATTGCATAATATTGCTGTTCTTTGATAGTCAAGAATAAACAACCGTAGTAGTAATCAAATGCGATTGAACAAGATTTTTAATAATGTCTACGGACATTTGGAATTAAAAGACATAGATGTTTAAATACTTGATTTATTTTTATACATTTATTTTTATTTTATACATTTTATAAATGCTTCCAACCTTTATTTCAATTTACTTAACATTATTTTATTCACTCAAAATGTAGCGCAGTATTTGAGAAATTTGTACAAAACTTCAACATGTATTTCACACTTTCAAAGATTGGCTGTGCAACTGAAACAATTTTGGTAATTAAAAAAGAAATTCAAATAAAATCAGTTTTTTTCTTAATTATTACATAAAAAAATGTAATAATTATAAAATAATTTAAGAAAAAAAATCTAAATTACTTTATAAATTATGAATAATAAAAATATATTAATAGTATTGATAAATATATTATTATTTATTACTAATATATTATATATATATATATATCAGGGTATATTCTAAAGGCAGTTTCAACAGCTTTTTAAGACTTTTTAAAGACCTTTTCAGAATATTTTAAGACATCATCACCACTTTAATTTCTAATCAGTATCAAACCTTTAACTTAAAAACAGGAATGCAATGCAACAAAACTCAGATAAGTTCGGAAGAAAAACTTAATAAATTATAAGAATACATTATGCGGCTGTTTTCAGCGACAGGCTTCAGCCAATGTTTAAACTTGTCTTTCTCCAACCAGGAGTACTAAACTTACATTTTCCCATTTTGCTGTATGTTTTGCTCTATGGTTTTGCTACAAGTGGAGAGCACCACATCACCATCCCACTTTTGTCGCAAATTACGTGACATAACCCGGATGAGGAGCTTGACCGGATGTGCCCCAGCTCGCACCAATCACGTTTATCGTGCACGCCATTGTTAATATAATATATACAGTTGAAGTCAGAATTATTAGCCCCCATTTAATTTTTCCCACAATTTCTGTTTAATGTAGAGAAGATTTTCTAATAACTGATTTCTTATATCTTTGCCATGATGACAGTAAATAATATTTTACAATATATTTTTCAAGACACTTCCATACAGCTGAAAGTTACATTTAAAGGCTTAACTAGGCTAATTAGGTTAACTAGGCAGGTTGGGTTAATTAGGCAAATTATTGTATAACGATGGTTTGTTCTGTAGACTATCGAAAAAAATATAAAGCTTAAAGAGGCAAAAATGTTTGTCCTTAAAATGGCTTAAAAACTTTTTTAAAAACTGCTTTTATTCTTGCCAAAATAAAACAAATGAGACTTTCTCCAGCAGAAATATTATCAGACATACTGTGAAAATTTCCTGAAGCTGTTAAACTTAATTTAATATTTAAAATAAAAAACTAAAAAATTCAAAGGGGGGCTAATAATTCTGACATACACTGTATATAAGTAAAATTTTACTTTAATTAAAATAAATGACAAAACAACTATAATTGTTTATCTAAATATGTAAAAATAACTGAACAGAAATGAAAAAAATATAAACAATTACTACATTTTTCAAAATAAGTATATATATATATATAAGCGGGTGGCATGGTGGTGCAGTGGGTAGCACTGTCGCCTTACAGCAAGAAGGTCGCTGGTTCAAGCCCCGACTGGGTCCGTTGGTAGTTTTGTGTGGAGTTTGCATGTTTCTTACAGGTGCTCCTGTTTCCCCCACAAGTCCAAAGACATGCGGTAGAGGTGAATTTGGTAGGCTAAATTGTCTTTAGTGTATGTGTGTATGTCCTGGTCCTACAGGTTAGGGGTTGAGCATTGTGCTAATCACCCACCTCGTAACAAAACAATTGTTACAAAACGATGACAGCTAAATATCAACTTTGATATAAATGGCCCTGGATATATATATATATATATTACTTTGAATCCATTATTATTACGATTTTTCAGTTTAACTACATAAATGAAACATTCTATTCAAATACCACCTGGGGGCACTCTGATACCTTCAATACAGTTTGAGAACCTGTGCTCTACAATACAATATCTGAACAAAAAAGACTTTTAAAGCCAGGCTTGTTTGTTATGATTAATCATGATTAGTTATTCTGCAGTCAGTACCGCTCATTGCTGAGAAGAATGAGTCTTACCTTCATGGCCTTGTGGAGTCTCTCAGCAAAGTAGGCCGGTGTGTTCTTGATGCATTTCACTGCATGCAGAAAAACAAAAACATGTTTAGACTCACCGTATGCAAATCAGCCTGCTGTGAACAATAGAGCAAGCAAGAGGAATCTTGAAACTTCAATGAAAAAAATCAAACAGAATGAACACAGAGGAGGCATTCGTCTAAAGTGGAAGTCATTTAAAATTGAAAACCTGACTGAAATGAAATAACACATTAAACACACTTTATAAACACGTCAATGACTAAAATGAAGTCATGCAATAGGACACAACAAGCATGTACAGTATGTAAGCTACTTTGTTTATGACACACACACACACACACACACACACACACAGATATGGAAGTCTGGTTCCCGCCATGGTATAAAAACAATACATAAAGCTTTTGCGGTCATATATATTTACAATTCTGACTTTATTCTAGCTGCAATTCTGAAAAAGAAAACAAACAAGAAACAAACTCAGAATTTAGATACAAAACCAGGATTGTGAGATTAATGTAAATTCTAATGCTAAATTGGAAAATAAACTCAGAATAGAACTATAGAAACCTATAATTGTTTGATAGTTAAAAAATTGCAATATACAATTAGAATTATTAGCCCCCCTTAATTTTTTTCCCCAACATCGGTTTAATGGAGAGAAGTTTTTTTTTCAATACATTTCTAAACATAATAGTTTTAATAACTCATTTCTTAGAACGGATTTATTTTATCTTTGCCATGATGACAGTAAATAATATTTGACTAGATATTTTTCAAGACACATCTATACAGCTAAAAGGGACATTTAAAGGCTTAAAAAGGTTAATTAGGTTAACTAGTCAGGTTAGGGTAATTAGGCAAGTTATTGTATAATGATGGTTTGTTCTGTAGACTACCCAAAAACTTAAAATAATTTACTTTTTTTTTTGATTGGTCGGTTTGGTAGTGGTGACGACGGAGGGTGGCAGGAAGAGCAGTGTTTTTAGGCGATGTGTGTTTTAATATCAGTTGTTCAGGGTTGGCGTTCAATAAATAATCATAGCTAGTAGATAGTGTGTGTTTACTTCAATTATTTTAAAATTAAGTAATGAACCCTTCATTAAAAAAATCTCTCACTTGTAATATGTATATGCATATTTACTATTCAAAACTTTTCAGTGAACTATGAGGGCAAAAACATAAAATAAACAAATAAAACAATCGTTCATTAATCATATTAGATTTAAAATATTTAATTAATCGAGATTTTAGGCTAAATCACCCAGCCTTAATTCTGCTTTTTAATTAATTATTTTTTCAAATTCTATGATGAAATCTTGCAGTTCTGCCTTTTTCAGTATCCTCATTTTTTCTTTTTCGAATTTTCTGTTTATATATTGCAAATGTACTTAAAAATATATATAAAAAAAAAAAAAAAAAAAAAATTCTAAAAAAAAAAAAAAAAAAAAAATATATATATATATATATATATATATATATATATATATATATATATATATATATATATATATATATATATATATATATATTTCCCCAACTGCATTTTTAGAATTCCCCGCTCACATCTTGCAATTCTCCCTTTTATTTACTTTATTTCTCACAATGATGAGTTTATAACTGAAAATAAAACATTGAATTGTGAGAAATAAACTCGCAATTGTCTTTTAATTGCATGCAAATGTCATTATCCATTTTATTCCAGGGCGAAAACAGGCATCCACAGTTATGAACCTCCTTAACTCCACTGAGATAAAAATGTATTCCCATATAGTTACCCTACAACAGCTTTACCATTAAAGTGGCCAGCAGGATGGAGAGCAAGTTAAGAAACACAATTATGAGTGTGCAATGGCAAGATATAATAATACGATTATAAATGGCAGAGGAGAAAACTCACCGACAGCCAGCATGCCGCTCTCCAGATCTCCAGACATCTCCCTCTCAATGCTCTTTTCAATGTCTCTGCCACACATGTGCTGGTACTCATTAAACACTGCCAGAAATACAGACACAATAAGTCTTCATACAACTGGCATTTTAGCAAAAACTCACATCAGCAGCACTAGTGAACTCTAAACACAATCAATAGTTTTAATTACAAAGCAACAACGGTATAATGTTCATTAAACTGCTGCCGATGGCTACATGTTCAGAATAGAAAACTAGCCAACCATTTATTAATAAATACTGTGCTATTACAAAAAGGTTTAGACAGTTGAAGTCCCTTATTGGCCCTCCTGTGATTTTCTTTTCTTTTTCAAATATTTCCCAATTGATGTTTAACAGAGCAAGGAATTTTTCACAGTAATTCCTATTATATTTTTTCCTCCAGTAAAGTTTAGTTTGTTTTATTTTGGCTGGAATTTTTTATTTTTTTTTTATAAAAAACAATTCATTTAATATATTTTCTAAATGTCTTGGTTGTCTAGTTAAATAAAACAAAGGTAAAAACATATTTGTTGCTGAGGTACCAATAATGACAGATGCAGTAAAATACCAATACATAAATTACACATATTATACAACTAAACAATATTTGGCATAGAAGAGAATAAACCCTAACATGCACCTGGCGCAATAAGGTGCAAGACTTAATTGGTGTAATTTATTGCTATTTTCAGATCAGCACAACCCATTTTTTTTTACATTTCACACCACGTTGTTTAAATAGCAAATCCAGTTGCACCACTTTGTGGACTCATGGGTGTTCTAGTCTAAAAAGGAGGTCTGTTAAGGCACATTTGTTGGTGTGTTGCTATTTTGAGAAACTGAAATAGACTGCACCATTGACCAACTGAAAGCTGGTCTAAAGTCCTTACATATTGTCCTTAAAACAATGCTTACATATTGCTTAATACACACATGATGTTCAGCAGTACACACATATCTTTACATAATGAAAAAAATTAAAGGATTACAATGTTACAAAAATTATTATTTTCTTCATAAAAACCATTACCTCCATGTCTTCTTCATGTCAGGGGCTTTTTTTAGTTTATTTATGACAATTTACATTTGTTTAATGTTAATATTATAAGCAGTATTATTTATTATATGCATATTTAAATTTGTTTTAATGAAAACAAGTTTCAAATTGTCTACCTGTCGGGTTTTGGAGACGTATGCATCAACATGTGGAGCATAAGATCAGGACGCGTGTTTGAAAATAACCCAGTTTTGACCACACTTTATTATTCATTTATTCATTAGCTGGAAATTAGAACTGAATTTAGAAATAGTTTTGAAACGAATCTTTGCGCTTCACAAACTAAATTATATGTGTAGGCTAATGAATGTCTTCAATGGAGTGCATACAACACCATTTCCTAATCCATGAAGATAAAGGAGTAAAGTAAACTATAAAAATAAACTAAAGAGAAAGTAAAGAGGCCGAATGGAGGGGGCTCATTCTTTATATTCATGTTGCAGATGGTTTGTTTAACCGTTTTCTCGATAACAAAGCGTTCAGTTTTTCCACATACAAAGTCTGCCATCTAAATAACAATTGCACCATGGCACAACACAACTGACTCTTAAAGGAAATGAGAGATGATTCTGATTGGTTTAATGCACGTTATGCTCAAAACACACTCATACCTTATTAAGAGAATAAGCACAACCCTGTTAGATCAAGCGCGGTGCGCAAAGTGTATTTTTCCATCCTTAAAACAGTAAAAGTGGTTTCAGACATGTCCTTAATGCTTTTGCGTCATGCGCTTCAGCCTTTGCACCTAGATCATTAAAATAGAGCCCAATGACTGAATCTGGTTTTCTTCTTACACACAAGTAAGACTACAGTAGATGTGACTGTACAGTTTGTACTATAACAATGTACAAATTCATACTTTTTTTTTTTTGACAAAGATCATTTCATGCATGGCGTGTTAAGAATAACATGATAATATTACAAACATAGTTTAAAGAATTAAAAATACTATTTCATCAAGCAACTGAACAGCTCAATTGAGGAACTTCTCAACAGATCCGTTTGTTTCATTTTAACCCAACAAATAGCCATTTTCCAGCACATGAATGTCTCAAATGAAAGACCAGAAATTACTTATGTCTTTCCTATGGAAAATGACATAGTGAGTAAGCTGAAGGGAATATTCCAGTGTTTCCACTCAAAACACTGTGCAGTTATGAGTCATAATAAGTCAGTTGACTGCAAGGCAATACAAGGATTTCCCATTATTACGCTCTCTAAAGCTTCATTAACTAACTTGACAGTAAACAGAAGCTGTAGGTGAGCACTTGTAGAGAAACAAACATAGAATTCACTACATACAAGATGATGGATGGAAATTTCAATAATAATTTATCGTTTCCCCCTCCTCATTAGGTGGACCAGATTAAAAAATACACTACTTTAGACTAATTTTAGTCAAGGTGTGAAAATACATTATTATTTCTGATTCAGTATATGCTATAGTACAGTAATCCTGACAAACAGATTAGGAGATTTCAACCTTTAGAATTTACCCAGAAGTAAAAACTGCATTCGATTTCTTCAAAGCAGAACCGATTGTCACAATAACTTCAGTCTGCCGAATCATCTGTGAATGCTGAGGTTATAAATCAACGGCATATGCGTTTGTTAAAAATGGACTCAAATCTCGCAAATAAATATCGCAAATTCAGCACACAAAAAAGCTCAATGATGGTGCTCAACCCCAAAGATCAATCACAAGCAAAAGTTGGCACAGCAGAGATATTATTTAATGCTTGTTTTTATCAACAATGCATCTATTCTCATTACTTTAGCTTTATAATGGTGTCCTTTTCAATCATACCAAGCACCAGAGATTATGGATTTGAGTCTTGCTATGATGTTAGCACACTGCAAGAGACTTAAAATCTAATACTTATATTGATAAAATCTACAACTGGGTGGCACAGTGGCTTAGTGGTTAGCACTGTCACCTCACAGCAAGAAGGTTGCTGGTTTGAAACCCTGCTGGGTCAGTTGGCATTTTTGTGTGGAGTTTGCATGTCCATGTTCATGTGGGTTTCCTCTGGGTGCTCCGGTTCCCCCCGCAGTCCAAAGACATGCACTGGCTGTTTCTCAATATGCGTTCTTTAGCGGTCTTGCATCCTCGTGTTCTCGTGTAACATCATCATCAGCTGCCAAAGTTCAGTTCCAATACTCAAGACCGCAAGAACAGAGGACGCATGAAACTTCCCAGATGTGTTCTTGATATGAAGGATGCACCGATGCAGACTTGAGCACTGATCTCGCTCTAGAAGTCCCAGATGTCAATGCGACAGGAGATGGGAAGCGCTGCATTTTATTTAGATTTATTATTTAAGTTCAGAGATATAACTTATTAATCTCAGGAGTTCCCTAAATGAAACGGATGGTGAATATAAACATTACCATGAACATCTTAATAAAGGAATAAACACATTAAGGGTGTTTGCTGAAATTCGTATTAAAATCTGTTTTACTTATATTGTGCAACCTATATTTATAATATTTTTAAGCATAGTATATATTTTGAAAAGGGGAAAAACAGTAAATCGTTGTATGAATGCTGTAATGTTTAAATCATTTTCCATTTAAAACCCGTGAAGGTCATGCAGGCCCGGATTGGCTAATCGGGAGGACCGGGAGAATTCCCGGTGGGCCGGTCCGTTTTTTGGCCTCGAGGGCCGGTGTCCCTAGCTACAGAATCTGTTGCTCTCAGCAGTTACACTTTTTAAATTTATTTATGTACTTGACCACATCCTTTTTATTCATTATTTTACCGCAACTCTTCCCTTTTCATCTATTTTAATGATTATAAATTATCAGTTGTGTCTCCTTTCTGGACACAGCTATTGTGGTCCAGCGGTTAGCACGTTAGATTGTGACGCCGCGGACCCGGGTTCGATACTCGTTAGAGTAACTTATTGTTTTCATTTTTATTGTTCAGACATATAATACTGTTAGGGTTGTTGAACATTTAAAGTTCTAAAGCAGCTGTTTTCTCAAAAAAAGACGTGATAGTGTAATTAGAAACTGATTTGGAAATGACCTTATTTTAATATAGTCAGTCGTGAACTGAGGTGGGCCGGTCTGAGGCTTGAAACTCCAATGCTGAAAAGGTGTCCCACTCCGGCCCTGAGGTCATGTGACCATCAGGAAGAACGCAGCATCTCATTCCTCAGAGGGCGCATTCTCTGTTCTTGTGGTTTTCAGAGTTCGTCCTTTGAGGACACCTGGCAAGACCGGTCTCTAGAAGAACGCAAGTACGTTCTCTGCTTTCTTGGAATTGAGAAACAGCCACGCACTGTAAGTAAATTGGATGAACTAAATTGCCTGTGGTGTTTGAATGTGAGAGTATATGGTATATGGGTGTTTCTCAGTACTGTGTTGAGGCTGGAAGGGCATCCGCTGCATAAAACATATGCTAGATATGTCTGCGGTTCATTCTGCTGTGGTGACCCCTGACAAATCAGGGACTAAGCCAAATGAAAATGAATGAACTAATAATCTACAAATTAAAATGGGTAGTTGTATATAACTAATTGTTTGTAATTATGTCATTCATCAGAGAGTCCAACAGTTCTGAAGACAAAACTCCTTCCATTTGCTCAATAGGAAAACAGATTTTTAGCAATAGCTGATAAATCATTAAAAGCAAACTCTGTTATAAACTCTGGGGGTTGTTAACAGATTGTATGCTTTTGTTAAACCCATCTAATAATGTTGATTAAACTTATTTTTAACAGCATAATAGTGGACTTTCGGCATATTTTTATATACTTATCACTCCTGTCTCTGTCAGAAAGTGATGCATAAATGACAACACTAGTGTGCAAGGAGGTCATATCACTAACACAAAGCATGTCAGCAGAGAGTTGATTTATTTCTTTGATTTGTTTAACTCAAAACATTAGAAATTATGTTGAAGTCACTAATAAACAAAAACCAATTTTAGAGACCTAACAGCAGAACAAAATATTAACAAAACATTATGACATTTATAGAATATAAAGTCAGTCTTCATACTTTCAATGTAAAAGAAGACATCGCCAGACATTCTATTTAAGCCTTATAAACACTCATCTCACTCTCTTTACTAAAGTAGAGATAATGATAATCCCTCTACTAGGGTTCCCATTGAACCTTTCTGCAAGATGTCATTTAAGTCAAGTTGAGATTCATTGTCATTCTGCTACAAGTGTGGACTTAAAATGAAATGCAATGTCGTTTCTTGCAGAACCATGGTGCTACATAAATAAACATCATAAATATAAATAAACATAAATGTAAACATTGGACATAAGAGAAATTTTTAAACCTACACATAACTAAAATACTGGAGCAGTAACCTAACTATCCATCTACTATAAATAGTTAGCTATACTCATAACCTAAGACACACTATACAAGTACATTATGTAAAATAGAAACAACACCAACACACTAATGCATTTACAGAAAAAGCTCCTCATTTATACTGGCATTTTTATTGCATTTTATTAAAAGCTACACAATTATGCTCACTGGCAATGTATGTATTTTGCCGGGATTTATACATGTTAATGGTTGTCTAATAGTTATACAATCATTGACGAATTGGAAAAATAAGCAGCAGTCTAAGGCCCTGTTTACACTAAAACGTATTAGTTTTAAAACTGCGCTTTAGAATGAAAATGATCTGCGTCCACACTGATGTTTCAGTTAGCAGTTTTGAACAATTCTCCGTCTAAACTACACCGCTGTAAACGTGATATTTAATTCATTTCATTTCCTATATTGTGTAAACATATTGTACGTTGTACTTTTATATCGGCCATTATTTATTTTTAAAACTGTTATTCAGCAAAAGAGAGGGTATGTTTCATATTTTCAATGAAAATGAAAGGAAGCTGTTATTTTATAGGCCCTATTAGGTTATAAATACACATACAAGGAAGATGACACATTTATATAAATATGCAGCTACACAACGCCTTACCATTTTTGGTGTCTGTTAAGTTAATAAACTTAAATTAAGTTAATAAAGTGTAAATTAAAACTTGAGAAGTTCGGAACTTAAAAGGAGAGGATGCAAGACTGAACTGTGCATAGGCTACTTAATATTGAAAAAAAAGCTCCAATCAGGTTTTCAGATATCTCCGTTTTCCCCCATCCACACTGAGACGGAGCAGCAGCATTTTAAATGAAAAAACAGCCTCTCCAGCATTTTCAAAATGCTCCGTTTTGGGTGCTTGAAAACTCTGGCGTAGTGTGGACGAATGGCGTAACCGTAGCAAATCTTGTGCGTTTAAAAACTAAAATATATTAGTGTAAACGGCCTAAAAGACCAAACAGAGAGCTACTGTGAATAGCTAAACCTGCATTTTCAAAAGTTGTTTTTAGTACATCTATACTAAAAAATAACATCAACATTTCTAAGCTAATATGAGTCTATAGCTTTTCTAAACACTGTCGAAGACGCTGCAGCAATAAAAAATGTGCGCTAGGCGTAAATAATGCGTTTATAATTGAAAACGTGTATATGTAATTCCCTCACTTCTTTAGTGATAAAATCAATAATATCAGAAAAAATATCAATCAACTCATCCAATTAGCAAAGTTGTGCTGACATTTTTTTTTGTCTTCGCTTTAAATGTCTTCGCTTTAAATCAATATTGTGTTTCACCTTGTTCTGGCTGGTTGGGTTTATTGCTTATAATAATGCTTTACTGAAGAGTATTTTGGGGAAAAATGAATGGTACCAGCTTAAAAAGTGGACAGGCGGGCATTAATACGTAAATACACTCCACACAATTCCTTCGTATTGTCCCAACACAAATCGATTAAGTTTACTTAGGGCGTACTCACACTTTGCTATCTGAACCGTGCCCAGGCCCGTTTCCCGGATCGTTTGAGAAGTGTGAGTGCTTTGGCGCAGTACGCTTGTAGTGTTAGTGCAAAACGTGCCAAAGCCCGAAACTGAAAGTGAGACGTGACTTTTAAGGGACTGTTTTATATGAATTTATTAATCATTCTTACTGTTCAATGAACGCAAACTACCGTAGTTTATTAAATACGCAAACCCCTCACTGCACGACAGCTGCGCACCTTCAGCAAACCTCCTAACTCCTGCAGCATGAGGGCTTTATGATTGTTTATGTGGCTAAAATGTTCGGCGAAATAATTGACAGCCTGTCACCGAATCCCTAAGGACTGTTTGGCGAAATATTTGACTGCATGTCACTGCATATCAATCGACTGAAACCATATATCTAGAGAAGTCTCCACTGTGTTGAGCGAGAGTGCTTACTGTACAGCGCAGCATCGATGACGTAAGCGTGCCCAGGCCCAACTAAAATGTGAGTGTGGGCCGTCGGGGAGACGGGAGGAGGGACAAGCGTGCTTTGGCCCGGTTCGAGGCAACTGTACATACTGTGAGTACGGCCTTAATCGTTTTCACAAATTTAAGTGGATTGAACATAAAATAATTAAGTTTTACAAACAAAAACTCAAGAATAGTGTTGGTTCAATTCATATTAAACATGTATTTTGAACAAGCAGCTAAAGTAATTGTTTTACGTGTAGGAGTTCTACTTGCAATCTTCCTAGAAACACAAAATCTGTCTGGGTAGCTATTGAGTGAACTAGCCAATCAACAAGGAACTTTGACTTGATAAAAGAATAAGATAATTCCAGCAAATGATGTACCTGCTCTGAGGTGAGCTTTGCTCCGGGCACACAGGATGGCATTGAACTTCGACTCATCTGTGCCAAGTTTATTTTCCCCAGCTTGATACAGAGCCTGCAGAACACAAATACAGCTTAGAAAAGAGTCTTCAAAGAATAAAAATTACTGATTTAAAAAATAAAAAAATGAAATAAATAAATAAATAAATATATTAAATATATTGAATAATTACCTGAGCATCCGTTTTGGCTATTGATATGTCCACATTCTCACTCTCATCACGGTTACCCTTTAAGAAAGAAATACTAATATGACTTTGTCATTTCTCTCACTGATGATTGAAGCTTTCAGTTTTCGTTTATGAAGTTTTTATTTATTTTATTAATATTTAAAGCCCTAACTACAACATTGTCTATATTCATATCAAAAACAGTCATGCAAACAATAGAATTTTAATTAAAATAAAATATTTGGAAAACTTCACCAATTTTGCCTTAAAAATAGTAAGAATATAAAATATGCAGAACATTTACATAAAATAAATAAATAAATAAATAGTAATAATAACAATTACATAACATTTGCTTTGTACATTTTTTGCCCATTAACACACTTTCTGCCAGGTATCATTTTAAAAAAGGATATTCTATTAAAATAAACAAGTGATTTCATATTAATGCCATTACTGATTAATGTTACAATTTAATGGCTCCAGAGAAGGCCACCACTTTAGAGGGTTGGTTAAGAACAGTGAAGAAAATCTATGGGATGGAAAATACAATGCATACATGTAGGCTAAGAATGAGTGTGTTTGATGAGCAATGGGATCCTTTAACAAAATAACTATGTAGGATATGAAAAAGTTTATTAATGTCTCACTTTTGTTTTCTTTTTTTTTTACTTCATTCTCCCTGAAATGGTGGCAGGTTAATTCTGTCACCTTTTGTATTTTTTTATATTTCTTCTAAAGCTATTGTTTTAAGTTTAAGTGGTGTGGTGTTTAATTTCTTTATTTACTTTATTTACCATCTTTTGATTGTATTTACCATCTTAATACTCTTAGTGCCATGTATAATGCAATGGTGCTACTAATTTGAGTACTTGTAAAAAGTCTGTGTATTTGTGCACTGTGTAACATGTACATGTTTAATGACAACGACTACAATGAGAACTACGACAACAAAGACTTCTACTACTACTACTACCTCTACCATGACTACTACGCCGACGACTACTACTACGATGAGGACGATTACCACTACTACCAATACGACAACGACCACTAATGCTATTAGTAATACTACTACTATTACTGTCTCTACCACTATGACTACTACTACAATGACAACTACTACAACGGCTATCATGATAATGATTAACATGACTACGACAACTACTACTACTATGACAAAGACCATTACGAATACGACGGCTACTTTACTACCATAATGACGACCACTACTAGTTCGACTATGACTAAGACTATTACTACAACGACTCGAACGACAACGCCTACTACGACTAGTACTAGTATTACTACTACAACTACTACTAATACGACAACTACGACGACTAATGCTATTACTAATACTACTTTTATAACCTCTACCACTATGACTACTGCTATGATGACGACTACTACATCTATGACAACGACGACTACTACTACAACGACCAATACTAATACGATTACTACTATGACTACGACCATGACAACGACTGCTTTTAGTACTACTATGACTAAGACTACTACTACAACGGCTGTGACGACGACTACTACGACAACAACGGCGACTAAAAATAATACTAATACTACTACTACTGATAATAATAATTATAATAATAAAGCTATGTCAGAAACTGTAAAATAAATTTTAATAAATAATAATAAAAACAATCTAATCAAATACTCAAGAGATTTTTTTCATCCCCCTTCATCAAATAAATGACTACTTCAGATCTTGCATATAAAAGCCGGTCGTGTCTATGAGTTTGTTTTGATTTTTATTAAATCCATAAATTAAGAAATACAGCAACTGTACCTGAGCAAGAGAGACCAAAAGTCTGCGGAAATGTCCAGAGGTGTCTCCACTGATGGCATCTTCCAGTGACTTCTTATTCTCTAAAACAAAACACTGAGTGTTATCAATCACCACATTTTACTGTAGAGCTTCGTATTAAAGCAGGTTTGACATGTAGCAGACGCTTGATTGGGAAGTAATCAAATCTGTAATTGCAGAAGGAAGGAATTAAGCAATATGAGTCAAGTACGCACCAGCTTTGAAAACTTGATTGATTTCTCGGATCTCAGCATTAGAGCGCGAGGCCAAGATTTCAATCAGACAGGCCTCATCTGTCCCTGCTCCCTGTCAAATAATCAGCACATTATTAATGGGATATCAAAACATCTAATCAGAGATTCTATTATCTGTGCACCTTAAAGAAACGGTTCACTCTAAATGTTAATTGTTGCATGGCAAATAGCTGCAGGGACATTCTTCAAACATTCTCATTTTGTGCTTGTGTTTTGGTAAAGCATGTTTTTTATGTTATACAACTAATACTATTTGCTTTAATATGCATTCAACCTATTTACATTTTTTTATGAATTTACACCATTTAACCTCCATAATGCATTCGAAATTTGTCTTGTTTTATTTTGGGTCTATTTGTACAAACCAAATCGTCACACTATAAAGTCATATTTAAAAATATTTTATGATGCCACTTGTTGTTAATAAGTAAATCTGACAATTGTCAAAGTTTTGAAAGTTACTTTATATTCACAAAACAAAATGTAATAACATAATGCTTCAGTTATGCATTTAAGTTCAAGTGAATCACAGCGCATATACATATTCATAAACTAAATTCGATCTAAGAAATGTTTTGAGATAGGAAAATTTAAAAAAAGCACATTTTTAATAACTTCAGGAACTATTTTATAAAGGAATTTCTGACTAAAATGCTTCTTATGTCCCAATCCTGAAATGTTTAAATAGCTTTCAAATAAATTTGTAAAATATCTAAATAAATAAAATGTACTAGTACATTAGATACAGATATAGGTACAGTAGATGATCTGTCAAAATGCTATCCGTTAGCATAATATCTAAGAAAAAACAGCCCCCCCCGTCGTCCAAAGCCACGCCTCCTGAAATCACGAATGCGCACATTAAGTATGACAGTAGACAACCCACTAGATCATGTCATTCGCCAGTTAGAAAACTTTATAATACTTTATAATACTACAATTCGGAACAAAAAACAGTATTATTTCTAGCACGTTTTCATTTGTGAAGCAAGCAAAACTTGTCATAATGTGTAATATTCATGCATGCAAGGATCGCTGGTCTTACGCTCTCATGCGCTCTCTCATTTGTCCTAAAGCCACTACTGTATGCTTAGTGGTTGGGCAGCGAGGTGCAGGAATTACACTTATTACTTAGCCATACATATATTCTATTTCAGACTAAATATTCAAAGTAGCATGGTAAACAATAAAGGGAGTGCATCACAAGTTGTCATTGTTCAAAAATGAAACATTAATTAATTAATTCATTCATTCATTCATTTTCTTGTCGGCTTAGTCCCTTTAATAATCCGGGGTCGCCACAGCGGAATGAACCGCCAACCTATCCAGCACGTTTTTATGCAGCGGATGCCCTTTCACCTGCAACCAATCTCTGGGAAACATTCACACACCCATTCACACACACAGTCATATACTACGGACAATTTAGCCTACCCAATTCTCCTGTACTGCATGTCTTTGGACTGTAGGGGAAAACGGAGCACCCGGAGGAAACCCACGCGAACGCAGAAAGAACGTGCAAACTCCACACAGAAACGCCAACTGAGCCGAGGCTCGAACCAGCAACCTTCTTGCTGTGAGGCGACAGCACTACTTTCTGCACCACCCCAAAAATTAAACAATGTGAATATAAAACCAACTTCACCCTCAGTAAAGCAGGCTAGGTGGAATAACACTATTTGCCTACGTTTTGTGGTTAAACTAAATAAAAAATCTACATTATTAATCTACACTAAACCTAAAGTTTAACAGCCTCAAGGAGAGTATGTATATATTCACAATCACATTTACTTTAACATGTTTAAATCAGCCAGCAGTAAAACTTTACTAATGCACATTTTTTATACAAATCGTAATATATTTACACCACCATCATAACTTGTTAGCAACAATGAGATGTTTGTACAACAAAATGCAGGTGATATAAAACTGATTACAATCAAATGACCCTTGAAAATAAAAATAGAGCTTTAGTGAAAATAGAGCACTTAAGGACATATAGTTCAATGTTTAAATCAGTCCCTAGAAATAATCTGCATGTGCGTTACTCTCGTCTATGCATACTGAGAGAAACTGAAAGTAAAATAGCACAATACTTTAAATGTCCAGAAGGTGGGAGATCAAAACCACAAGTGGTTATATGTGACTGCACAACAATGATCGTGATTTAAAAATATATATTCTGGTGCGCCGAATATCGTTATATATTGAAGTCAGTTGCGGGCCAAAGGGAGGAAGAGCGAGGGCTGCAAATGGCCTTGGGCCGGCAGTTTGAGACCCCTGCTGTAAAAGGAACCTTATGAGATTGAAAATACTCACATTATTCTTTTGCAGAAAGATTTCAGTGGCTGAACACTCGTAAAACAACCAAATCTACATAAGCTTTGCATGATTAATATAATTTTAAAACAGAATATTACCTATCTAAAAGAAATACTTCAGCCATGGTGTGATCCTTCCTCTAGTGTGCAAAAGTAACTCCAAAATGGATTTAGAATTTTTAAAAGTTTTGATTCAGCATTTATTTTTCTCTCATGTGCACATGAATGCAGTGCACGTGCACGCACAAACGGCGGATCTGCATGAACGACTGCGCAGATGTACATATCTACAGTTTGTGCTGCTTATCAGAATTATGGGAATTGTTGGCACGACATATTTTAATTGGTTGAAATTTTTTTTGTCTTATTTCTTAGAATATAAAAATACATATAAATACATTTAAATCGTTTACTTTAATCATTACTATTGGAATGTAAAAAGACTTTTAACCAGCAAAATTAACAACAAAAATAGTTTCTAAAGACAAATCACCTACTGCACCTTTGATTATGTGTATTACTAATTAAAAGTAAAAGTTAAATAACAGTCTGATTTTACAAATGATTTTCATTTAAAACTGTTTTTAGTTCATCAAGAAATTATTTTGTTCAAGAAAGTTGTCACAGTTTAAAAAAACAACAACTCTATTTTGCATTCATAATAAATGTTTCTTGAGCAGCATATCAGCATATTTGAATAACTTATCAATGACTTATCTATGTGAGGGTGCCAAGTTGGACAATTATTAACCGAATACATAATCTTACATAACACATAAGCTCTTTGACAAACCTTGATGGCCTCTTTAAGCTCATATGCATCATACTGAGATGGAGTCTTCAACATGGCCAACACCAATTTCTCAAAGTTCCCTGAAAGCTCAGACTTTAGATCTTTAATCAAGTCCTGCAAAGAAGAGAAGGATTCTGGTCTTTAAAATCATGAACAATGTATTTATGAACATGAAAAACACATCTAATACAGTATTTGTTTACATTTGTTAATGTTATTGAAAATAAAGTCAATCATTGTTAGTTTGTAAGAACTTTTCGCCGTAGCTAGCTCTCTGCAATTCTCACATTGTCTCCCACTGAAGCTAAGCAGGGATGTGTGCGGTTAATACCTGGATGGGAGATCATATGGGAAAGCTAGGTTGCTGCCGGAAGTTGTGTTAGTAAGGCCAACAGGGGGCACCCAACCTGCGCCCCAGTATAGTGAAGGGGACAGGATGTCCTTCGAAAAAGAGTAGGGGTTTAACCGAGAACCCTGGCCAAATTTGCCCACTGGCACCTGTCCTTCATGGCCTCCTAACCATCCTCATATCATAATTGGCTTCATCACTCTGTCTCCTCTCCACCAATCAGCTGGTGTGACGCAATATGGCTGCCGTCGCGTCATCCTATTTAAGTGTCTAGAAAAGCGCTATATAAATGTAAGGAGTTAATAAACTAATTTTAACAAGCACAAGTTTGGATAATAGCGAAGCATTGGTACATGTTATAATTATACTATAATTAATACTCTACATCAGGGGTGTCCAAACTTGGTCCTGGAGGGCCGGTGTCCTGCATATTTTAGTTCCAACCCCAATTAAACACAACTGAACCAGCTAATCAAGCTCATTCTAAGTGTATAGAAACTTTCAGGGAGGTGTGTTGAAGCAAGTTGGAGCTAAACTTTGCAGGACACCGGCCCTCTAGGACCGAGTTTGGAGTCGACACCCCTGCTCTACACGTATTTTTCATTTTCAGTTCATAGTAGTAAATATATTAACTAATGAAGCCTTATTGTAAAGAGTGTGTGGTAAAAAAATAAAAATAAAACCAAGCTTAGCTGCATATTTATTATCTCTTAGTCGTCCTCTTTGGGGAAAATGAATCAAAAACGATGCCTCGTCTTGCACTTGGGTGCAAACATAAAAATGTGTTCAATCAATTGCTTTTATGAAAAGTCTCTTCCACTAAAACCACCTGTCTCTCATTACATAATAGTAAGTAGCATATCATGGTTCACATCTGTCAAAAAAGACTGTCCGCCATCTGAAATAAACCCTGGAGAGGTGTTGCATCTGTTGAATAGCAAATACCTAAAAGCGCTTAATTACCTTTCCATATGCAGTCTTGTATGACACCAAGAGAGGTACACGCTGCTTGTTGGAGCGACTTCCAAGCAAATTAATGATGGCTTGTTCATCAGTGCCTGTTGAAACATGTACATTAGCAGCCTGTTTAGAAGCAGCAGCACATATAGAAAGCCACCATTCGAGTCATTTTCTGGGAAAGCTCATATTGTATTCAATGTCATGATAAAAAAGCACTCAGAATCTAAACATCCATGAACAAAGAATCTAAGATGAATAATAGATAAACATCCAATGAAGATAGAATAGAAAACCTTTTACGCTCAAGGGTAAATGACTGAAACTACTTTCTAAGAAATGCAGTAAAGACTCAGTATAGAACTCGGGAAAAAAAATTATTTGACGCTTTATTTAAACAAATAAGTAGTAATTCTAACTGAAGACAACATTGTTTTTTGCATTTTAAACTGCTTGCTTTTAAGAAATCTGATGTGGCATGAGTCATGACCTAATGACCTAATGTTTTTTGTGACGCAATTTATAATATTTCTTGTTATTGCGCAATTTAAACGCCTTATTGATTCAACTGATTTTTTTTTTTGTCATCGCGCGCCTGTGTGGTGCAGTGCAGGCCTTTTTCAACCTCTGATCATTGGCCGTAAAGCTGGATTTATACTTTTGCCTGGCACCTCAGGAAACTGGGTGGTTTATCTTTTGGCCATTGGGTTTTCATTTTAGAAATGGATATTGCTGTTTTTTGATTTTCTTTTTCAAATTCAAAAACGAATATTGAAATACGAGGCGTTTTTCTTTTTCATGGTGAAAAACGAAAAAGCAAAATTCAAATATGATTTGATTTTCATTTTTTATTTCGAATAAAAAAAATAAAATCATCAGAAAAAAAGAAAAAAGGCTTGTTTTTTTATATTCCAAAACCAGATAGGCCAACTTATTTACGGTGATGCAATGCTGACCTGCTAGCCTACTATGAGCTATTATTTTTTTCCACTTAATATTTGATAAAAGGTATTTTTTTTGTTATAACAGGATTTTGTTAAGGCATATTTTCCTCATTAAGACAACATATTTCTCATATAAGAACCGGTTACAGGCTATATATTTATTTTTTGTAAGCATGTTTTAAATTAAACAACCTTTATTTTGACATAACATGCTAGCATTAGGTTGCTTTACTGAACACTTTTCTGAAAAGAAAGTTTTAATATTGTTAAAACCATAATACTTCCACTTCCCAAAGTTTGACCACAAATCACTTCAAGTGAGGGAGGCATTAATACAGTTGTTCGTTACGCACATTTCAAGTCATAGTATTTTAAAATAAAAATGAACAGTTACTGTTATCTGAAAGGAAGCATGCTGAACAAACACCCTGATAAGCATCCTGTGTCTTTTAAAAACAGACCATCACTAGAGATAGTTGTGTGTGTTGTGTGTGTGCGTCATCACCTCGCTACAGTGGGCTATCCATAATTTCAAAGTCATGTGCAAATATAGCAGCAGATTTTTAATGCATAAATTGAAACTATAAAAAAAATGCATACTGCTATATATATATATATATGATTATAGGTCATATTAGGCAATAGAATAGGTTGCATTTGAGGTGAAGATGCACACAACAGCAGTCTTTAAGCTCATTATCAACCATAGGAAAGTTTTTGTAATGTTATCTGACAGTTCACTTTGCAAGACATTGGGATGCGTATGACCGTTTTTGAAACATGCTAAGGGTCTTTCATATTAAAATAATTATGTTTATTTTGATTTTGAACTATAACATGGAGAGATGGCCGATGATTCCAAATGAATGTAGTGACAGGAGGACAATGTTACTGCCACTCCTGAAGTGGAAGTGATTTTAACAATAAACTTTATTTTCAGAAAACTGTTCAGCAATGCAAATAATGCATACATTTTCAATTATGTTGTTCCATATAACCAGCTTTAATGAGGAAAATATGTACAGCCTACAGTAAGCTAGTAGGCTATAGTAGCCTGTGTGTGGCACCATTGCGTCGCCATAAATAAGTTGCCCTATCTGGTTTCAGAATATATAAAACAAGCCTTTATTCGTTTTTGTTTTCTGGTGATTTATTTTTTGTTAAACGAAATAAAAAATGAAACTCAAATCAATTTAGAATTTTGCTTTTCCGTTTTTCATCATAAAAAAGAAAAGCAAGCTGTTTTTTACATTTTCAATTTAAAATTTAAAAACAAAAATAAAAAAACATTTTTTATTTGATTTTTAGTTTTTTAAATTAAAAAAAACAGCTCGTTTTTCAATAGCCGTTATTAAAATAAAAATCCAATGACCAAAAGATACACTGACCAAACGGACGAGGCTTGTATACTTGCTGCGTTTGCCGTTGTGATATTCTTTAAAACAACAGGGGGCGGTGCCAAAAGAAATTGACCCTAAAGTCAGACGAATAAACAGAGAAGTAGAAAGTTTCCAGAACTACATTATATCATTATTATCATTCAATATTTTTAACTAATTATTTTTAGAAATTACTTTAATGATTATAAAGATTTTTATAACCAATCAAGATTTTTCTTGGGCTAGTTTTTGTCCTCTTCTTATGCTAAAAAGTCAATAATGGTTCAACATTCCTGACCATTTTCACAAATAAATCCTAAAAAAACAGGGCATCGGTATATTGTAAACCGATAGGATCGAATATTTCTTTCCAGTTATCAAAGAAATTATTTGTTCCTTAATTTTAGTATTGTAAATGTTAAATTGTTTTATATTCAAAATTGTAATATATACATCAGTGTAAAACCTATGAACTATGAAAAAACATATTTCTGTAATTGTGTACCTAGGTCTCCACTTTTGACATGGCCTCTTTTGGCTTTAACAAACATATCCCTCAGATTTCATCAAACTTAATAACAAACAATTTCCTCTTTTCCCACGACCGCTGCAATATCTAACCAAGAATATTGATCATCTGGTTATCTCTATGATTACGGATCATAAAGTTCAGACAAAATCTCTTCAAAGTATTTTATAATCAACTCAAATCAAATGCGGTGTTATGCGAACTGTTCGCTCAAGTCTCCAAAAAAATCATGCACTCAGCCAGTCGAAATCATGTTGTGCACACCCAAAGCGAACCTTCGCAATCACAGCGATGCCGTTGCATTCGCCGCACACACTCAAGCAAACTAGCGGACGCATCGAGTATAAACCAGGCTTACGTGTAAGTAGGCTTGTTTAGTTAATCTTACCATGGAAAAAGCTAAGGTGGATGAGACAGAGGGAGTGCAAGATGTAAACATGACTGATGTCCTGTTTAGAGAGTAATAAGATGTGTTTTGGTCGATTGGATCACAGGTAAAACAAGAGACGCATTCCAGTTCAAATCTAGCATTTAAATAGGGTTTAAGTCTTTTGTCCACTTAAGACCATGTACTGTACTTCTCTGATCTTTTAGTTTAATACCGCGAAAAAACCTAACAATTGTGTTTTTGTCAACGTATGTCTTTTAGAACTAAAGCAATTAAATACTTTATGAATACATTAAGAAGTGAGGTTTATTTTCCTTGTTTTCAATGACATTTCCTAGTCATTGGAACATTTCCTTTGGCCATCTCTGTTGTTAACCATGTTTGCAAAGAGTATGGGCCAGGGTGATCTACAATGCTTAGGGTCACAGCAGTGCGTTATCGAGAATTATACCCAACTGTTGACCAATCGACATCAAGTAATGTAACCATTTTAATGCTTTAACTCTAGAACCACTGTGTGGTCGCTGTATACCTAAATCTACAAGTGCAGGTAAATTTTTTCCCATGCAAATTCTGTTTAGAAATGGCTTAAAATCATATTATTCCAATGTATTATACCACTCTGTTAACAAAGCAGCGTCTAGACTCATGAAACGGTTATTTCTAGTTATTAAATATATTTGTGTCGTTTACCTTGAAGCTTTTTTATGCTACAGTTTCACTTTCAGAATTGTAGACTACATAAGCTAAACAAGTCAGCACTTATAATGAGAATTAGATGTACATTTTTTGTTGACCCCGATTCACAACTTATTTCCCCACCAAAGGACTCTCTATCGATGGCATTTAATGCTTCTAATACCTCAACAAATCACTTTCTTTTATTCATTATGAACTTATTTATTTATTATTATACCACTAATGCAGTCAGTGAAAGTGAAAGTCATTGCCTAGCAAGTTTAAACATAAGCAGTGCATAAATACAGGCATTAAATAGTGGGGAAATTTGACCCACTCTGCCACTTCTAGGTATCAATTCTCAGGTTTTTGGAAAAAAATCTTTATCCAAACAATTTTTAACATCTGGGAATTGTAAATGAGCCAATTTTAATAAAAGCCAATGACTGGGAGGTATGGTGTGTACATTTGAGAAACAGTGATGTGTAAATTTTACCTTAAATTTCTGTGTTAAATTTCTGTTTTGTATGGATGTGTATAAATGACTTTGTAAAGCAGAATGTCTAAGCATTGTCAATTTACTGTATGTTTACCACAGACCTTAAACCCATAAACTAAAAATCCTCAAACCAATAAGAAAATCTTGAGGGAAGCAACAATGAATTAGTATTTGGGGTTTTAACATCACAGTCAAGTATTCTACATTAGGGTTTTCAGTAAAAAATAAACTTGCAAAATAACCCACCAAAACCCTTCATGGCCTTCCTGAGGACCTCCGCATCCCTAAGTGGATCAGCTCCAGGGAAGTCTTGAATGGATCCTCTGAATCCACGCTACAATTAAAAGAAATAATCCAACATTGATGTTAAAAAACTAATAAAGTCACACAAATGTTGCTGTTTGAATTAAAGTAAGTCAAGTCTATTATCTGAGTGGGAATATGTGATAATATTTTTGCATAACATGAAATACGTTACTTAGGGCAGTGTTTCTCAACCCCGTTCCTGGAGGACCACCAACACTGCATGTTTTGGATATCTCCTTACAGGCACATTACAGGTCTTTCAGTCTCTGCTAATGAGCTGATGATATTATTCAGGTGTGTTTGGTTAAGGAGACATAGAAAATGTACACAGCTGGTGGTCCTCCAGGAACGTGGTTGAGAAACACTGACTTAGGGTACACTTTGCTGTGTGTTTTAGAACCAGACCACGAGAAGGCAGAGATTGTTGTACAGGTCAAATAGCAAACCACTGACCTAAACCATACCCTAAACCCATCCAATAGTGTTTACAAAAGAAAACAAGAGTGAGTGCATGGTGACCACATAGTTTTCCTTCAATTTTACGTTTCCTTTTTTGTAGAACCACTCTTTAATGGACTCAATCTTGAGTTCTCTGCATTTCAAGTACAGCAACAATAATATATAAAATATAAAACTATATAACATCAACAAACCTCTGCCAGTCTGTTTTTCTGCCCCAAATTCAAACCTTTTACACTAAAAGTATATTTTATATTATAAAAATAATAATTTATTATACTTGTTATATTAAAACAGTTTGAAATTAGTGGAAGTGGTTTGAAGTGGTAACAAAACCCCAAACTAACATAATTTTTATACTGTATCAGGGATTGAGAAACCAATTAATCTGATTTTAACCAGTTTTAATCTGTTGGGTTTTGTTAACCTGAAAATTTTTTTGCATCATAGAGATTGTTTTTTTTTTTTGTGCAACAGGCCTCAGGACATCCCAAAAATGTCTAATTAATCTCTGGTCAGTTGATGGTCAATTTGTGTGCAGAAACTAAGGCGTGTATTTTACACAACTTGATTCTTGGCATTGCCAGTTCATAATATGGCCATTGGATACATCTTCCAACATGACTAAAATAAAATGAAAGCTGCAGAATGAATCGCAATCAGTTGGGGTTAAAAAAAAATGTTGCCAAATATTTGCCTGTTTAAATCCATTAAGATTTTTTAGCTAGCTAGTGTATAATTCAACAAACAAGCAACAAAGAAGAGAGTTTATTTACACTGATAGCTGGAACGGCAGGTGCACCTCCTCCATAACCTCCACCATATCCGGGCATGGACGGGTTGGGTGAGGGTGCTCTAGGATAGCTAGGCCCGGACGGAGTGGGTGCTGGGATGTTTGGGTAGCTCGGCATCTGTTGACCAGGGGGTGGCCCTCCAGGATATCCCATTCCTGGATTCTGAGGCATACCTCCTCCTGGCTGCAGGTACATGCCATAGGGCTGGTTAGGGGAGACAGCTGGTGGGCCCCCAGGTTGAGGACCAGGGTAGCCACCAGAGAACATGGATGGATTTGGTGCAAATCCACCATCGGCAGCAAACTGATTTGCCTGTGATGGAAGAAGTTGAAGGAACCAGAAAAAAACAGAAAAGCAAAGCAAGCAAGACAATTAGGACAGTAAAGCAGACATTGCAGGAAATATAACAGATATAGCCCTAAAATGACAATACTGGTAGACATAGACATGATTAGGTCCAGCACAGGGAGATTAGAAGGACTGTGAACAAGTGTGCATTCATGGAGAGGTCTGTTTAGATTGACTGTTGACTTAAACTTCTTGGATCACATTTCACATGGGCGTCACGGAGACACTGCTTAGTAACACTCAAGTGTGGGAAGAGTTTCCATATATACAGAGTTTCCCTTGCTGACACCAAATGCTGAAATACTGTGGTGGAATAAAGAAACTAGGTCTTGATAATGCTAATTCCATTAAAAGCAGTGGTTGACCAATGCCAATAATAACCAGTTTTAAATTATTGCTGCTGACACCAACACCAAAATCTAGAACGCAGTGTGTTCAGCTGCAGTGTGTTGACATTTCTTAACTTTTAACACGTATGTCCCAGAGGTTGAATTACACCTGTGAGCTTCACAATTTTTCAATTAGGACATTGGAAATGTCTTTCTATTATGTATTTGTAGAGATTTATAAATATTCCCATTTGGAAAAAAGAAGACTGCTCAATGTTTAGCCAATTATACACAAGGGTTGTAACAGTATATGAAAACAACATCTGTGCAAGGCTACTTTCTCTTTCTCGTTCTCAAATCTAAATATAAAATGTGTCTGAATATCAAAAGGGAAAGAGAATTCGATATAAATAATCTGCTCGTTTCAGAACATCTCTGAGTTATGTTGTTGTATAGACCTCAAGTAAGCAAGACGCTGGTGTTTTTAGCATCGAATGCAAACACAGCTGCTCTGACAGAATAATTTAATGAACATTTCTCTGAAAGTCAAAGACCTCTGTACAATGAAGTGTATATTAACAACAGTTTTAATATTTTGTTATGTTATTAGAATTAGGCGACACGGTGGCTCAGTAGTAAGAACAGTGGCATTTCTGTTTGGAGTTTGCATGTTCTTTCCTTGTTGGAAAGGGTTTTCTCTGAGTGCTCAGGTTTCCCCTACAGTCTAAATACATGCGCTATGGGTAAACTGAATAAACTTAATTGGCCATAGTGTATGGGCCCTATTAAACACCCAGCGCAATAAGGTGCAAGATGTGTTTGGTACGATTTGTTGCTATTTTCAGACCAGCACAACCCTATTTTTCACATTGTGCCCGATGTTGTTTAAATCCATTTGTGCCACTTTGTGGACTCATGGGTGTTCCAGTCTAAACAGGAGGTGTGTTAAGGTGCATTGTTGGCGCATTGCTATTTTAAGGAACTAAAATAGACTGCGCAATCGACCAACTGAAAGCTGGTCTAAAGTCCAGTGCAGTGCGTGGTAGTTGTGCACCTATGTGGCTCCAAATGATTACACATTGATTAATACACTCAGGTCAGGATGCACAAAAATACACGAATATCTTCACCAAAAACTTTTAAGGATTAAAATGTTACAAAAATTATTATTTCTACAGAAATATAAAAAACACTGCCTAAAATGCCTTCTTAATGTCAGGTGGATTTTTCAGTTTATTTATGACAATTTGCTTTTGTATAATGTTATTTTTATTATTAACCGTATTATTAATTACATGCATATTTATTATTTTTTTTTTATTAAAACAAGCTTAGACTGTGGGGCATAAAAATAGGGTTGTGTTTGGATATAACCAAGTTTTTGACCACACTTCCTTATTTTTGTTTATTTGTTCATTAGCTGGAAATTAGAACTTAAATTAGAAATAGTTTTGAAACAAATCTTTGCGCTTAGCAAAAAATTCAATATGTAGGCTAGTGGATGTTTTCAGTTAAATGCGCACAACACCGTTTCCTTATCAACGAAAGTAAATGAGTAAAGAGTAAAAGTAATGTAAAAAAAGTAAAGAGGGCGAATGGAAGAGGCTCATACTTTATCCTAACGCTGCAGATGGTCTGTTTAACTGTTTAAACTGAAGCATTCAGTATCTCCACTTATAAAATCCACCATGGCACAATACAACTGACTCTTATATTAAAGACCTATCTTTTTAGTAAAGCACACACTCAGTGCATCTCTTAGCTGTATGATACATGAATGTGCTCCACACAGGTTTCTGCATCTTGTTTATTTACACTATGAACAGCAGCTACGCTAATTATTCTCTTTATTCTCTATTTTCACCTGGGTATACTCTTCCCGAGACCCTCAGATCCCGCATCGCCACTGATTCGATCCAAAACCAGCAACGAGAGGATTTTAAGGTTTCCATATCCTGAACCAGGCCGTATCCTGAGCAGCTACTGTGGTGGTCATGGAGGAGTGGAAAGCATGAGACTGATTCCTGTGACGCTTGAGGGGCTGACACGTCTTTGCTGAGGTCCAGCTTCCTGCCTCCGGCACTTGGACTGCAGCTCTACACAAGACTTTGGCCAGTGGACAAATGACTGTGCCCATCTGAGCCTAGTTCTCTGGGTGGATTTTTTTTTCCTTCAATTTCGCCAGTTGTTGAAGTTTTTTTTTTTCCTCGCTGCTGTTGCCAATAGCTTGCACGGTTCAGGATCTGTGGAGCTGCGCATCGATGGATTTGACCTTCAGTGTTTGGACTCTCATTAGCGATTATTAAACCACACTGAACTGAGCTAAACTGAACTGAACTTAAACTTTGAAAAATGAACTACACTGTTTCAATCTACTATGATCTTTTATATGAAGCTGCTTTGACACAATCATTGTAAAGGTGAATTGAATTGAATCTTAGAAGGAATGTGAGATGATACTCTGATTGGTTTAATGCAAGTTATGCTCAAAACACACCTATAACTTAGGGATGCACCGATGTGGACTTTTTGGCCAATACCGATAACCGATAACCGATAACTCTTTAGACTTGGAGGCATATAGCCGATATGTATAGACCGATAATTATAAATATTTAAAAATTGTATATTTTTATACAGCAAGCTTCATAAAAGATTGAAGTGCTCTCATGAACTGAATAGTCTATACTCAAAGCAAAAAAGCTTTAATTTCAAAATTGCAAGGTGATTATATAGACCGATATTCATGATTTCACATATATCAGCATGCAAAAAAAAATTCATGTTCTTCATTGCAAATTAACATGCAACTGACTGTTGTATAAAATAATAGTTTAAGTAACAAAATGGGATTTAATCAACAAGCAAGTTAAATGTAATTTAAATAAGATGAAAATAAAAGAGCTAAGGACTGAAACCAGCTCAAATGTTCTTGAATAAAATGTGTTACAGTAATGTACATATGTACAAATATGTCATGTCCGAAAAAGCCTTTTTTAGAGGTGTTTTGACAGTTCTGAGCCACCGTACAAGCTAAAAGCTAGATACAGAATGTACTACTTTAGAAAATGCAGCATAAATTCATTCTATTTGGCATTTTAGATTTTTTTGAACACATATAGCTGCAGTGCTTGTCAATCAGAAAATGCTTCTGTGTTCGTTCTTGCTGTCAATTGCGGTGAAATTTTCAATGAAAAGTTTATGATAAACCGCTGTGTTTCACTCAACTGCAGGCCCAGATTTGCCCTCGGAGTCACATTTTGATTCAACACCTGATCATTGAGCTGAGATGACTTTATGACAAACACAGAGCATAATATAAAGACAAAATGTGCAGCGAGATGAGAGCCTGTATGCTGGATTCAGTGACCGGCGCACCTAGGCTCTCCCTTGTTGATCTGTGAAGGCTGTTAGATCAATGTGTGTGTGTGTGCATGCGTGGTGACAGCTCTCGCGCGTGCTCGTTATAATCAATATGAATATTCCAATTAAACTGAATACAATCTTGCATCAACAACACATGGCAAGCAACGCGTTGATAATAACAAATAATCATATTAGATTACAAACAGCCCGACAAGTTGTTGTTTAGCATGTGTGCAGGGGCTGCAGTTTGGTGTGCGCGTGTTTGTGTGTGAAACGGAGAGGGAGAGACCGAAAAAAAGGAACGTTTTTTTTCGCAAAAAGACTGTTTTCAGTGATGTTCCCTCTTTGGTAACTGATTTTGCTGTACCACACGGAGAGCGATAAATGATTGGGCCAAGTCACATGTGTCCTCGTTTATTCACCGGCTGCAAATAAAAGAAAAGGGAGTTAACCCCGAAACTAATATTATTCGGCCCTGGAGTAATAAGTGAATCTCCTCTGCTATCTCTAACACAAAAAAGAGACAGGTTTACACATGTAATATTTTTTCTCCTGAGGCGATTTGAAGCAAAATACACAATGACACTCAATCAAACATATCTACAGTGATAAGGAACATGGTTACTTACTAGGTTATTAATGCACAGCAATACCACGTGAAAAAAGGACGCACTTTGAAGGAATAAACATTGTGAGGAGAACTGCATTTTCTGTCCTTAAAATAGCAAAAGTGGATTCGGACGTGCTTTTAATGCTTTTGTCGCCATGCGCTTTAGACTTTGCACCCTAGATTGTTAAAAGTCTATGTGTCTGAATGAGTGTGTATAGATGATTCCCAGTACTGTGTTGCAGCTGGAAGGGCATTCGCTGTGTAAAACATTGCTGGATAAGTTGGTGGTTCATTCCACTGTGACAACCCCTAATGAATTAAGGTGAAGGAAAATGAACGAATGAATCAATAGAATTGGAATATTTTATGAATATTAGCTTTGATGATTACGTTTTTATTTGCTATTATTAAAATGTTAAAGGGTTACAAATTGATTTAATAACCTTTTGATTTTGATAATACATTTAAGAATTCATGAAAATGCAGAATTTATGAAGAAAATAAATGATTTTAAAATAAAAATGAATGAAAAAGAAAAGAGACAAAACAATTTATAGGGCTCGTTACAACATTTAAATTCTAAAGAAATGCCACTGGTTGCCACATTTAAATTATATTACATCCTTTTTGTCTGCTAAACGGTTATATGCTGTTTTATGTGAAGCATATCTTAATTTATTTATTTATAATTTTTTTATATAAAGGGAGACTTAATAACCTTCATTAAAATGATTTGTAATAACAAAGGACTCTGTAAGCTCAAAAATTTATAATTTTTTGGTTTTATACATACCATAATAGTGTAATATTTTCTGAGATATTTTCTCACATCATTAAAACCCCTACTACACACAATATTGATGTTTTTTGGGTGAATCTTTGCTATAAAAGTTTAGTCCACACTTGTTCACGTTTCCACTGATGTCTAAGTTTGATTACAGATCAAACTGTATATCAACTTATTCATCATTAAATTGAATAGGATTAAAGTTGTTGGGGGTCAAAGCAAATTCTGATGACAGATAAATTGCAAGACATCAATGTCATGGTCACAAGAGCTCAGGTTTGTAAAAGGCTGATAAAGGAAGCATCCGATTTGATTTTAGCCAAGGCTGTGCTTTTCATGCTCACTGGAATCAAATTACCTGCATTTGTTTGGAATGGAGACCAATGTCATTTTTGATTATGCATCATACACAGTCATTTCATTGCCCAACTTACCATTCCTTGGATATTTGATGCATTAAATCCAGGATTTGGCAAATTATCCAGGCCAATGGGGGCACCCCAACCTCCTACAGCCAAACAAAAAACAAAACAAAATAAAGATAAAAGCTCCCACAAATTTTGACATAACAATTTAAGTGCACTTCGCAGTTAACATGGACTCAAAAATGACACAGCTTACTCTATTAAAAGAAGTTCCTGGTAGTACATGATTCAATAGTGGATGTCATTCTAAAGTGAAAAATATAATCACTTGCTCTGCCTGTGAAATTACTTTTCTTTTCAGTCGATATCTCAGATTATTCTTACTTTTCAATGTCTTTTCTCCAACCCATTGCCTACATTGCATCTATAATAGCTCTGCCCTATTTTTCACAATTCACGCAATTACTGCAGAGCGTCTTGCTCATTGACTACCCTTTCTCACGTGTCAAATTACAGAAAAAATATAGACCGTGAGCATCATTTCTTTTTCATTTAGAAAATCAAGATACACTGTGTATCATACGTCAGGTTAATAATAATCTAGACATCAACTTTTGATCTTTTTTTCTGTGCAGTGCCCTGAAGGCCCTGCATTGTCTTGTAACTGTAAAAAAAAATCCTGTCTGTTCTGAGCCTGTTTTTATGTAATTTGACAATACAGAAACACTGCTAAAATTGGAGCAGCAGGTTTTCTTATGGTAATAAAACAAATGCCTGGTTTTCAATACTCTTTATTATTAAGTTTTTACTTTGATTTTATAAATTTTTACTTAGATTTACTTATATTTGATTAGATGACATTGAAATTGCTTGGTTGTGTTACACACTAAATTTTAATTAAAGTATTTTAAACATTATTTTGTTAGTTTATACCATTTTACTTCATGCTTGGTTTAAATTACAAACTTCAGTCACTTTTTGATTAATATTATTTTTTGAGAATGAGAATTTCATGTTGTTTTATGAACAATAATTGCTTGCTGTCTCTAGTGATATTCATGTTATTGAGAAGATGGAACTACCGACTTTACAACCTTAAACAAGATTATAAACAACATTGAATGCAAAGCAGGATTTCTTAAAGAGCCCATATTATGCATTAAAAAGATCATATTTTGGTTTTGGGGGTCTTAACAACAGGCTGATATGCATGCAAGGTAAAAAAACAACAACACTTTTATAGTCTTATAATATGCATTTTTTTTAACTAATTATCCCAACGACTCCCATATGGTTTGTTCAATGATTCATTTGTTCCCAAACTCCTCCTTAACACGGTGCAAATCTGCGCTGATTGGTCCGATGACCTAGACTGTTGCGATAGGTCGACTGCATTCAGCGCGAGACAGAGAGAAACGCCCCCCATGGCTCATTAACATTGACTACGTTTACATGGACATCAGTAATCAAATTATTTAATTAATTATTATTTTTATTAATAAGATTAAGGCATTTACATTAGTTGCTTTTGACATTTACATTAGTTGCTTTTCTGTTATGATTGTGTTTTACATGTTATAGCACATACTTAGATTAACCTCATTGTGTCACCGCGCTATCTGCATTTCCTCCGAAGTTTCATGTAATTTTGGGCGTTTAATTTTTTATTTTGTCAACTTTAACTGCGGCTTTTACTTTCATTCGGGCATGCCCCCCGTGACAAACGAGATATTGGATGCAACTATAAACTGCTGGAAGAGTTGTTTTAATGGAAGTTCATACCGCATGCTAAATGGAAGAAAAAAAAGCTCTGCATTTCACGAGGCAGGCATCTGTGGTCTGCACTGCACTGTGTTCTGCACATAAGAGTGTCAGACAGCCGTGTGTGTGTGTGTGTGTGTGTGTGTGTGTGTGTGTGTGTGTGTGTGTGTGTGTGTGTGGGTGTGTGTGTGTGTGTGTGTGTGGACTATCCTGTCGCAAAATGTGGCGAAAAGCCCTACATGACGGTAATAGTTCGATTAAGGTGTTTATATGTCTGTAATGCACTTTAACAATGCAACAAAAAAAAAAAAATCGGCATACTCCAAACGTCTTAATTGGCTTTTTCTTTAGTTCGATTATGACCTTAATCTGATTAATCAAAAAAAATTATAAATAAAAAAAAATATTATTGGAATTATTGGTGTCCAAGTAAACGTAGTCAATGTGCAGAGTATGTGTGTGAACCCAGTGCAGGAGTGCATAAATCAATGCAGTTAAACACTGCATATTGCTCTATTCCTAATCATAAGTAAAAACAAAGACACACATTCAGTATTAATACACACAGTGGCAAAAGATGAACTATTTTGAAACTTGATTGCTGCATGTGTGTAGGAACAGCTAACAGTGTCCATAATAATGACAAACGGCAAGGATAGCAAGCTCACAAACACAGTTAAATCCGTAAAGAAAGCAGCACATGCCGCATTTTCAAAGTGGCTTTAGATGCGATATGTGAATATAAATAGTTGACCAGCGTGGAGCGATTACAAGTAACAAAACACAATTAAATACATAATTTGTGGTAGAGAAAAAGAGGTGGCAACTATTTTAAACTGCACTTACACTTGGGAAAAAGAGAAAGAAACTGATCCATGAACTGTGTACTGATAAAATTCCTGTCAAGCCCTGAAAAGGTCCCATACATTAAAAGTCTTTTCTGATCCTTCCTTTAACAAATGGCTGACAAATCCCCTGTTGCAGGGTAGATTATTGCATTAATCACCAGAACGTTCACTCAATGTTCACTCATCTTCAGTCATGATCAATCCCACACACACCCGCACTTTGCTAGTGTTTGAAGTGAAAGGCGCATTCAAGTTTTACTGGATCCGGCACTTCATATTTGGTATTGTTTGGTATTGTGGTATTGTTTGTTGACGTCAATAAAAACAGGCAAAAGATCCAGATGAATGACAAATCATTTAAATAACTCTTGAGTCTAATCTATATATATATATATATATATATATATATTTTTTTTTAAAACAAGGTGCACTTTCACATTTAAACCTCAGCTGGAGGTTTTCATTTATTTAGAGCTGTGTTGCACACATGATTTTCTAAACCCATAATAAAGGCTCTTTAAGTATGCATAGCATGCACAGATTGTTCTCTTGAGGCAGATTTTTTCCTGGAAAATAATGAAATGAGTGTTTACAAACATGTCAAAACACCATTACTATTTCCTTGGTAAATAAACATAATGTCTGATGTTTAAATAAATTATTCTAAATACCACTGCATCCAATCCAGGCTCATTGGAAATACACTTTTCAGACCATTTTTTAAATACGCTGCTCTGGGTATGTTTGTTAAACATTTCACATGATAAATATACTTGAGGGCACGTCTACATTTTTGCCAATCCCAAATGCATCACTTCGCTTTGTTGTACATTTTAAAAACACCTCCTTCTTGTACCTTCTCCACGAGAAGGTGGCACTTGTTGTACAAATCACCTAGCGAATCACTGATACAACCACTTCCATAATCCCAACAAGTGTTTACAGAAGCAAAAATAAGAGAAAACTACATATTGACCACATTGTTTTACCTTGAATTTACATTGCTTTTATTGTTACATTTTTTTTAATTTAATTCGCTTAAATTGTTAAATTTCCAATGACACTGTTGATTGCATCGCATATGCAAATATAGACTCAAATACGGTCATTTTATCAACCGTTTGGGGTTGTTGATGCTTTGATAGCATCAGAATATGCAAATTAACATGATCCCAAATCATGGGTCTCATGTAAAGGCTTTTAAAACAATTGCCTTGGAACTGATGCTCTGCTCTGGTCAGCGTCACATGATTAAACCTGTCATGAATGACAATAAAGCTTTAATATGCTGGTCATTTTATCATTATGTTCTGAAGTATCCTAGATGACAGACTGGTTGATGACAACTATGACAGGTTACATAAAATATAAATATGTATGGCCTGATTCCCATGGTTGTATGTAAGTCACCACAACACTCTACGTCTAGTTAATCAAGCCTAAAACAGGCTGATATTGTGTTGTCTGAACCTGACATCTGCTGGTGTTATGATCCATTTTATGAACTAATTTGTAATTAAGAAATTCCTTTATCCAAGTTCTGTTACATCTCAGAAGCATAGACTATTCGCAAGCTCTAAAATGATGCCACCAGAGGTAGAATTCCAAGGGAGGAAGTAGGGTTGGGACAATATGGTTGCATTGCAAATCAAGAAATAATTCCTATAAAACCTATAACTCCTATGTCCTATAAATTTCTGTTGTCTAGATGGGTGTCTTCTTCTGATCGAATTTCGAAAGCAGCACAGATGCATAAATGTAAAAACTATGTATTCTTTGACATCCCCAATCCTGTACCATGTCTGACAACAAAAAAATAATATGGCATCTTAAAGATCGGCTTGGGGGTCAATTTGTGTGTAAATTTATGTTTCTGAGCAGGATTTACACTGCTTTGATGGTAATTTTTAGTGAGAAGTTACTATTGTAGTAAGCAGAGGTGCTGCTAGACATAACACTCTACTGGGGTACAGCTCCCCCTCAAAAAAAAAAAAAAAAAAATTCAAAATAATATATTTTATTCTTTAAATATTCTTTATTTAAAGGAATATATATATATATATATATATATATATATATATATATATATATATATATATATATATATATATATATATATATATATATATATATAAATATATTTTGTGGGAATAACACTTTTAATAAATGAACTTGCAAATAAAGTAAATAGTATCGCAAAGCAATTACTGGGGCACTGCCGGTTTTACACTCCAGTAAATGGGGTCTATCAAGGCCCCTGGTAGTAAGGAAATATCACCTATGTTACCACCAATGCTAAATAGAGCATCAAAGAGCATTTGTTTACAATTATTCATTATTGCAACATTGTCTATTCTGCTTTTGTTTTCAAACACACACACGCATAGACAGACACAGACACACACAGCACACGCGCATGTGCATACGCACACACACCTAACTAAACCAATGTCTTTAGGATTGCTAGGAACTTACAGGAGAGTTATTTGCGGCTAAATTCCAGAAGCAGCATTGGACACCACTGCTTTACAACATGAGCATTTACAACACCTCTAGCGTATATGTTGTCTTGTGCTTCATGAGTTCAGCACTTCAGCGAGATCATGATAATAGACAGAAACTGAGGCAAAATTCTTAAACTGACATCTACTGTCAGATTTTGTATTGATGTAGATCCAACGGATGTTGGTTACCCGGTCAGAACAGATCAGCCTTCATCACTTTCAAACTGACAGTACTAAAGATCAGATCTGAAAACTAAATCAGACATAAAATCATTGTGACCAAATCCTAAGAGCTTTGAACATTTTTATGACTAAAGCAACACTGGTAAACAAAACAAAGCAAGGTCAAAAGTGCTAGCATGTATACACACAACAAACAAAGCATATTTTGGTATGGCAAAATGGATAAAGCAACCAGGTTATGGAAAATGTGTGACACTAGCCAACAAGCTAATGGACTCCTTCCAAAAGAACATTCATATGCGCTCATTCAATAACGTAATCCATGTGACCTCTGGCACAAAAACCCACACAATGACTAGGCCTCTCAAAAGATGAGCCTCCAAAGGAATGTCAGTCAGTGCAAGAAAATGCTAGAAGTTAGTTGGCTTTTCTAACTAACTGCACATTTAGTCACTCCATCACTTTTTGTTCCCACTGGCTCCACCTAAGAATTCCACATTACCATGTCAACATAACTATTCATCACCAGCGGCACTAAGCAAAGTTAGTTTGTCCATTGACTTTATGACTTGAACGTCCATAAAACCTCATTTCAAATACAAACAAGTTTGATATAAGGCAGTGTACACAAATGGAAATCATCTACCCAGCTAACACTCAGATAAGTGCAGTTTCCTTATTTTACAGCGGCTCACCTGAGGGAACAGAAGGATATTGCCCTGGCTGTCCTGGAAAAGCACCTGGCTGTGGTGGATAAGCACCAGGCTGAGGAGGGTATCCGCCTGCCTGTGGAGGGTACATCCCAGGTTGAGGTGGGTAACCTCCTGCTGCAGGAGGGTAAGCACCTGGTTGTGGTGGGTATCCACCACCCTGAGGAGGATAGCCGGACTGAGGAGGATAGCCTGGATAGCTCATTGTTGTGCCTGAAATTGAAAAAATTATTATAAAAAAATTAGATTGATGATGTATGTTCCATCATTCCAAAGCCAATGATTGAGTTTGCATATACATTCTTAAAATGATCTGCCACACAAAAATGTTAAATATAAATATTTAAAAAAATATTTAATAAATTACAATTTCTAAAAAAAAACTACTCAATAACAGTAGTTTGAGTATTTGTAATTTGTTACTTTACAACACTGCTCCAGAGCTGTGTACTGAGATTTTAGTGTGCATTTAAGGCACTGATCTTTGACATTTTTCACACCTGGATCAGTCTAGCTCACTTCCTGTCGAATACATGCATACATGTGTCAAGTGCTTAAAACCACAAGGGTGAGTAGTTGGAAGAGGTCTAAGTCGAACACATAGATGTAACACATTTTAATATTATTTTAAAATCTGGTTATTTCATAGCGATAAAGTCTTGTAACAGATTATTTCAATAAAATAAGTAAAAAGTTTTTAGTTAAATGCCTGAAATAAGGTTTTTAATGTTTTAACCAACAATATAAAATAAATTTCTTGAACAAGCAATTGGCTAATGGTACTAGAGAAAGAAAAAAAAATGTGTCTACTTGTCCACTTTTACACTTACAAACTATTCTAAACACTACCGACTTGAAATTTTGGAAATGAAAATGAAGAGTTGTTGAAAGCTTATGATGGTGACTATGATGGTAGTTTGTTTATAACCTAACCACTGTTGGTTCAGCTATTTTTAAATGTAGCTTAATAAGCTGCAAGCTAATACCAAACTACCTTTTAAAAAAGATAGTTAGCTACATAAATAATAGCAAAAAGTAGCAAGTTATACAAGTAAATTACTAAAACTGAATGTCAACTTGAATGTTAGCATTTAATTACACACTTTTCAAACTTCTCAAACAGACTGTTAAGAGTCAAAGTGCAAAACAGCACTAGTGCAACATTGCAATTGTTATAGCAATTGCATTTTCTTAAAAACAGGGCATGAATAGGTTTTGGTAAGAAATTATATTAAAGCCTCACACAAAGATCTAACTTTATGATGAATGTTAACTGTTAGAATGTATAAATTTAAATTGATGTTACTTGAAAAATATGATTTACAAAATAAAATGTATAATTATAAAATAATAATAAAATAATAATTGAATGTAAAACCATGAGATGTGCATTTTACCAAAAGATGGCTGTAATACTCTACTTTTGTATGTGAACTTAAGACGCTTCACTGCTTCACCATAGCATACTGCTTCAACATATGGCATAATGGCAATATAGAGTATTATTAACAAATGAAATGAGTAGCTCCTTTTGGAAAGAATTCATAATTTTAGATTGATTAGGATGATTTCAGCAGAGCATGAAATCTTTATCTGCATAAAATATAACAAACCAATCACAAACATAGATAAATGCAGTAAAGCAAAGTTACAAATGAAATAAATTCTTTATGGTCTTTTGGGAGTCTGGCAGCATCCATGCACCTAAACAGAATAATTAAATGTAAAATAACATACTGAACATAAATACACTGGACATAAATACTATTGATCTTTCTTAAAGTAAAAAAAACACATGCAAATTATAATTTTTTCCCTAATTTTATGGTTTAACTTTGCAATTACTCCACAATCATGCGTCTTATAACTGTGGCTCCTACTCGACTATAATCCTGATTCGAAATTGCAGATCCTGCGTTGTGACTATTGTAAATGTGCACCTTGTGATATCGATGGGGAAAAGATTGTGCAGCACTAAAATGGTGTAGCAATTGTCAAGGTGCAACACTATTTGCAGAGAAAAGTAGCTAGTAGCTACATTGTTTTACAAGTCGCTGAGCTACTGTTAAGCTACTAAAAAATGCAGTTACGCTAGCGGAGCTATTCGTAGCTAGCTAGTGCCCTTTCTGAGCCCAACTTTAACATTTTACTTTAGATTCCTACAAGTTCTAAAATCTTTCAAAAATCCTAAGATTGTTAATTTGTGATGATTTTTAAACAAACATGTACAAATCATAAACTTTGGTTATTTATAAAACTTAATTTCTGCAATATCATAAAAGATAATGTAAAATTGTGTTTAGTTTCTATCAAGAGAACCAGGGTGTGGATAACTTCTGCATTTGCCTACAAAAAAAAGCCATCCCTGAAGGACTCCCATAGAACTTACATGACCCATCAGGCCCAATTATTATATTCTTTACCACATCTGCTCTGTGTTACTTGAATGATGATCCCTAACCCAGGCTGATGTACAGTACATCTAAAAATGTAATTTAATCACTTGCATTAACAGCTGTTAACTGTGCTGAGCATTACAAAAATACAATTGAAGTCAGAAATATTAGCACTCCATTTAAATTCAAATTCTTTTCAAATATTTTCCAAGGGAGAGACCATTTTTTTAACACATTTTAAACATAACAGTTGTATTTGATATAACTAATTTGTTTTGTCTTTGTCATGGGGAAAATAAATTATATTTTCTAGTTATTTTGCAGTTTAAGGCTTGACTAGATTATTACATTAACTAGGCAAGTTCAGATAATTAGGCAAGTTGTTGGATAGCATTGGTTTGTTCTGGAGCCAATTGAAGTCCATTGGGCAACATTATTTTTAAAACTTTTTTCCAGAGTAACTAAAAGAAGTAAGACTTTCTCCAGAAGAAAAAAAAAATACTGTGAAAATTTTCTTGGTCTGTTAAACAATACTTGAAATTGGCAAGATTTGAAAAAGAATAAAAAACACAGGAGGGCTAATAATTTTGACTTTAACTTTTTTTATAAAAAGCTTTGATAATGTCCCATTTAAATCAAACTAAAGTAACAATGAGTTGCATGTATGTGGTCAGATACTGACTTTCTGAAGCATTTTCTGAGATACATTTAATAATCAAAACTGACACCTTCTGCTGTTTAACACTTGACTTAAGATGTGGACAGGGAGGTGAAAAAACAGCACGTTTAACTTTTCAGACAGGACTTGGACTTCTCACCCTTACATTTGAAATGCATCTATACATAAACACTAATAGTGTCTAAGCTCCTTAAAAATAAGATCCAAGCCCTCAGTTTTGCGCCAAACATTAACTAGCAGTCAGTTTGTCTGCCTAAAGAGTTCCCATGTGGTACAAACCATGGAATCAGATTACATAAACAAAAGTCACGACAGCTGAAGGTCTACTCTAGTGCTATATAAAACCCCTGTCATGACCAGGAAGTGAAACTCCCATCCATTTCTTAACATAATAAAATTTTTGTGATATCTTACTAACCCTCTAAAACTGACATATATATCGTAAGCTCTTCGGTTTACTAAAAAAGGATTCATTGGATTTATAATTTCTTTAAGGTAACTGGTTATAAACAATTTTTATGGAATGAATTTAAACAAACAAAACAAATATAGTATATTATTCAAATTAATTTGTTTAAATTCAGCTTATATAAACTGTTTGCAACAATTTGCGTACATTTTGATAGGTTCGCAGATGCTTAAATAGAAGCCAAAAAGTCTAAATGTCTGAAAAACTGTAGTACACTATCTACAATGCCGAAGAAAGCTTCATTATTCAAACATCATCATTTTATTGTGAAAACAGAAATTAATTCAATGACAGCCCACCATCAACATTGTTTTTATCATTCACTTGGGATTGAATGAATTATCATGTTGAATTAATGTTATAGCCTTGTGATCTAGAAATTAAAGGCTCATATGAAATTGTAGTTTAGTTCAGTCATTTAGTGCGATTTTGTTGTGTTGTGCAAAGAACTGCACAAAAACAATCCTTTATTTCTCAATTACATGCTGCTGTAAACATCATCAGTTACCTAATGCTAACAACTCTAATATAATAAAGTATTTCATGTATACATTCATGTATTTCTGCCACACATGCTCGAGTGTGTGTGTAATAAATAAAAACCACTCCTTCACTGGAGAAGCGGCAATTGACATTTTCAATGGTTTCACTTTCAGTTACTAATTGATTAGATGTAAACTTTTGATTTATTTATCAAAAATATGACACATTCTACAATTTCCACAGTTCAGTTCACAAAGTATAAACAGAACATAAACAGAATTGCAGGATAGAGTCTGGGAAAAAAAGAATTTAGCAATCCTGTCCATGTTTTCATGATCTGAACTGTGAAAATTGTAGAGTACTAATTTAATTAGCTTGTTTTAAAGTTCCCATGAACCGGAAGCTGCGATAGTTATTCTTTTTGTAATTCGACACAATTCATAGAGAAACAGAATTTTAAATGAGCAAACAGAAGGCCTGGCTTACTTTTTCTACTGCGGGCTGAAAGCACATAACAAGGTACACTCTCAGAAATAAAGGTACGCAAACTGTCATTGGGGTGGTACCTTTTCACAAGGTACACATCCTACCGGGTCCATATTGCTACTTCAAAGTATATATTAATATATTAATAACAAAATTAAGAGACACACTTTTGTACTTTTTAGGTATGTACCCTTGAGGTATTAAAATGGACCTTTTATAATTTGTATCTTTTGAAAAGGTACCATCCCAGTGACAGCTCGCACACCTTTATTTCTGAGAGTGTAGGCATTTCATTCAGAAAGATTGGGAAAGGGGTTTTAGAAGATTTATTACAACCTAACAGACTCCTCCTCACCATTTCTGTTTGTTGTCAAAACTGACAGTTAGCCACGCCCATTACCTCAAAATCACGTAATCTGATAAATTAACTGAAAACTAAGTGCAGTTTTAGATTTCAAGTAAAGATTAAAAGGGTAAAAATTTTCTTAATGACAGAAGAATTGTTCACCACAAAACTAGCAATGTGAGCTAACAAAATCATGTGGTTAGTTTTGATTTCTTGGGGACTTTAAACTTAACATTGAACAGTTCTTTTGAAATCTGTATAGGAAAAATGCCTGTAGCAACTGGTATTGTACACTTTTGCCTATATTAAATAACTAATTATTCGGGCAGTGGAGCAATGGTGCTATATGCTGGGGGGAAAAAAAAACAGTACAGGGATGGTACATGGGGCACTTATGAATAACATGATAGAAGCAGATAAGATACAAAATGTAGGCCTTTTATTATACTACTCATTGATATGAAGCATAAGCTTGTCCAAACCTCCAAATAACCAGTCAGGCCTACAGTATGCTCAGCCTATACTGTATATTCAAGCTCCATTTGAGGTTAATATGGAAACTATCTGGTCATATTTGAAAGTAAAATATACTCTGCATACAGTCTTATCACCTTTACTTAGTGGGAGTGGTTTGTCACACCGCCTCACCTGCCATAAAACTCTTTATAAGGGATAACATAGCCTGACTTTTAGCTGACACACCTTAACATACTGTATAATGTAAATCCTGTGCTGAAACTTTTTTATACCTATGTTATGTCTATAATGCATTGCCTATAATTTTTAGTACCATTTAGTTTGTCAACAGGCCTTGTGTTCACATTTAAAATCATAATATTACCAACTATCAATTTTTTTTCTGACTGTAGTATAAAATCTATTATTTTCTCAAATGTACATTCACGATGTTGTCTGATTAACTTAATGACAAAAATTATGTCAATAAATGAGCTTTTTTGCCATAATTTACACAGTTCATCCAATAAAATATGTCAGATTCCAAAAACTATTGTCAGGTATATCTAAATATTAATTTGACAACATGTTCAAATACACTTATGAGATATAAGACATATCAAACCACAAGGTTTTACCAATTTGTAGAGGTGTAACAGATCACCGCTGATCTGAACACATATGACCCATTTTTTTTTTTTCCACTTGTAGATTAATCCTAAATTTGCACCGATCAGAGCGAGATCGCCTCTTGCGTGATTCAAATCAGATGCATAAAAGCACTTAGGCTTACCTGTAAAATATGATGAGGGAATTATTTGTGGTTGTTCGGAATGTGGTGTGTTTCTTAGGTTATTAAAGTGTTTTCTGTCCCTACTTTTTTAATCTGCATTAATGCATTCAGTGTAAACTGCACGATTAATCATTAAAAGCTCAGGATCTCAACAACCACGCAACATAAATTATAAATGATGGTGATTTGCATATGTTTATTAACCCTTCGAATCGCTGCATTCAAATATGTGTTTGGTAAACGTAAAAATCAAGAAATAGATTGAGTCTTTAGTCTTTTGAGTTACTTATGAAGTTACAAACAGTCAAGTAACACAGAAAAACTGGGATAAATGTTTATAGTTTAGATAAAACCGCTGATGTTTATGGTAAAGATTAAAATCACTGGCGTATGCAATTACATTATTTAACCAATAGGTGGTGACAACCAGCCATCAAAAATATGCTACTGAATAATTCAATAAATCATTAGTTTTTATGAGTGAATAACTGAATCATTTATTGAAAATGAGACTTAAAAATAAATATGGGCTGTAAAAATTATAATGCTAAATGTATAAATTTAACATAATCATTTATTATATGTTCTGTTAGTTAAAACCAAAAGTTTCTTGCAGTACTGTTTTTGTAATAAATCAAATTAAAAGCAAATTAAATTAATCTCCTCCCCTTTATGGATGATCCGAAAAAGGGTCCGATCCATGACAAAAAAAAATAATAATAGTAATAATGTGATCCATATCGTGAGATTTGTGATGCTTTCCACCACTACCAATTTTTAATCATTCAAATTATTATACAATTTAGTGCGTTCACTTAGCATTTTAGAGATTTTAACATGCATGACTCTAGACTATGTATTTGTTGTTTTTTACCCTAATTACTTCGTTGGGATTTGAGTAAAAGAAGCATTTTGAAAAGTTCACATATACAGTAGAATAGTTTTTTTTTACTTTTTAAAATGGTTAGTTGCAATCGGTTTCCTCAAATTGTTTGAGTTGACTTAACATATTGGGTTTTACAGTACTCAATTGGTTTGAGCTCAAGTTTTATTTTGCTCAAATTGCTTCTTTTACTCAAATGGATTAGGTTCACAGTACTCATTTGGATTAGTTTTTAAACTTAAATGGTTTGTTGCAATTGGTGTCTATACATATCTGACATAAAATATGAAATAAACAAATATATGGACACTCAAAAAGACTTTTGTGCTTGTTCAAACTACATACTTTAAATGAGCTGAAATAACACAATTCTTTAGATTTTTTTGGGACATCTAAAATGTTTTATGTTTAATTCACTTAAATGTCAACTTTATAGATTTGTGCAGGGACAACATGAATGAATTGTGTGGAACCTTGCTTTTTTTTTTTACAGTGCAGGTTGTTTTAAATTCTTGTCCGTTTGGTAAATATATAAGCCAAATAGGTTAAAGTTAATGTGATATGACCACACACAAGCATGTATGTGTTGTTTTAAGACATAAAAAAGGAATTACATTTGGTATCCTACATCTACAATAAAGAGGAAATACCTAACAGCCATTTACCCTTTTTTCTGTGATGGCAGAGTTTGATTACTTCAGTAAGAGCCATATAAAGCCATATTGCCTTCAGAAATCCTTTTTATATGCCGATTTACTTAAGCAACTTTTATTTTTAATACAGTTGAAAAAGATTGTGTTGCTTAATGAAGTGTGGAAAATATTATGCAGTGATCATTTTAAAAAGACTTAAATGAATATAAGTCAAAAAACACAAACACCTATTATTTAAGAAACATAAATGTGACATTTTAAATACATTTAGTGCTATTTATTAAATAAATAACTAAATTCTTCTGAAATAATTTACGAGTGATATTAAGTGGTATTATATTACATTTTAGGTCTTGTATTTTTTTTAACGAACTTGCTATCTTTTATCTTGTCTATATGGTACTTAAACTTCTGGAATATTATATATGACTAACAATATCCTCCATGCACTATATTTTCCTGGATTGTGAGCGCAAATAGCTATAGACCTTACATATTTGTTTTTAGAATTCCAGCTAATATTTTTTTTAACAAAAATAAAAACTAAATTTCACACCAACACATTATTGTACTCCACAAACAAATAGTTATCAAAAGCTAATCAAGGCCATAATCTGAGCTTAATATTTACATTTCCCGGAATCCCATAAATATTCATGTATGCTCTCCCCCATGAAACCAAATGTAACACCGGTCTTACACAACTGAATTTAAAGTATTAGTTCAAAATTTCACCTAACTTCAAAATTTACTCACCCTTTAGTTGTTCCTTTCTGAGTTTTTTTATTCACTGGACAAAATAAGATATTTTGAAGAATGTTAGAAATCAGTTTGATGGCATTCACAGTTCTCTGATTTAAAAAAACTCCATGAAATTCAATTCCAGGAAAGTTCCAACATGCCACAAAATATAATTTTTGTTTTAACAGCAGGTTTTGTAGTTTATTTACAACCCTGCACAACCACAAATATTTCTATTTTTCCCAAATAAGCCAGAATGACTTGACTAGCTTGATAGGGTGTGTTTAATTAGCTTCGAGTATAAGCTTTACTGGGCATTGGCCCACAGAAACTGAGTTTAACACCCCTTACAGGACTAGCAGTAGTTTTTCCTTTTTGGGTGAACTACCCCTTTAAGAAAAAATGTTTATATTAAGGTTTTCCTCCCACATCATAACCACGATTTTCTTTTTAATGGATCGTTAACTTTAAGAAGCCGAAGATCAACGCCGTCAAATGTGCGTTTAATGTATAGCTTATGGGTGGACCTCTGAAAAAGCTAGCTGGAAGAACAGCTTAAAATACCGCCGTCAAATGCTTGCAGAAGTTAACGATTTGAAAGCGCATAAAGGTCTACATAACAGCACTCTCCGAAAACGTGTAACTATTTTAATCGTATAAAACGTTATTAGCGTAAAACGGGAAGGTTTTATGTTACTTACAGTTTAAGCAGCGGGCAGTCACTTCCTAGGTACAGAGTACCCTCTCTGTGATCGTGCGGGAGACACGCAGTGTAATATTTAATGAGGTGGGCTGGACTCATACTTTCCATGACTGTACACAACAGTCTTTAACTAAACACAAAACATGTGACGCTTTCGTGCACCATGATGACTCATATTGTTTGGTTACAAAGGAATGACATTTGTATTCTTTCCATGAATACGTCGAATATGACATGATATATTGCGTAATATAGGTTAATTTACCGTTTAAAACAAGTGTATGAAACGCGTTAAGATTTTTACTTTCAGAATGTACTAGCGTGCCCATGGACCCGTTGCATATGTATTTGATTATGTTTTTAGAGAAGTTTAATTTCAAATGTCTCAGCACCATCTAGAGCAATTCTCACAAGAAAGGTTGGGTGCGTCTAAAATATGGACGTTTGCCAAGCAGAGCACGCCCTAAACTTTAGTCACGCCCAACACCATTTGAGTTCTTATTCAGTACTCAAATGGCTGTGCCTGTCCAATACAGTGGAATACTTGTATGCAACCCATATTAAACAAACTTTTTGTGTATTACTATTAAATTACTACTTATGAATGTAATATTAATGTTACTTTTATGTAATATATTGTTTTACCTTATAAGCAGCTTAGCCCCCTAAAATGAAAATCCTAAAATCGCCCCTGTGCTGAACCTAAACTCCTTTGGCTTTGAGGTCTGTCTTTACCAAGAGGTATAGGGTTGTGGGTTTAAGGCCCTGATGTATTGTCAAAAGCATATGATTTTTTAAATAAGGTTTAAATAATTGTTATCCAAGTTCTTAAAATTGCCACATACTGTGCATCACTAAAGCTGATGAGATAACATTACAACTGTGAAACTGAATAGTTCTTACTACTGAAGCTTAATATGTGTTTTTTCAGTATAAAATGTGTAGTTTTGGTGAAATAAATTAACTTTAATCAATAAAATGTGTAACATATTAATGTAAAGACATGCAAACAATTCAGAAAATGTAAATTGTACTAGCTTACTAGATATGAAATATAATTTATTTATTTATTTTTTATTTATTTATGGTTGGCTAAGGCCCTTATCCCTTTCGACCCTTGCAACCCCCCTGGTACTAAACAAGAGTTTTTTACCCTGAGCCTGAGTATATTGTAGCCAAGAATTTATTGTCTTTACAGCCAACAGCTAAAACACTGTTACTAACAACATGCAATAAAAACATAAACATCGACACACAAATGACATCATTCAACTTTGATGAGTTTAACTACAAATCAGGCATTGCTATCCCAAAAATAATTTAACTAAAAAGTATGACTTTGTTAGCTTAGATGTAGTTTCCATCTAACATCTGCTGTGTCAGTCACAGGATTTGGAATGTGGACTGATGTGTGAAGTCAATTAACTGATTAACTCATTTGTAACTAGATCCTGTTTGTAGGAATTGGAAGTCTTCAAACTGATGCCTTACAATCTCCAGTCTGCTCTACTGTAGGAAAATATATTTTATGATTTTAAAAATATGTTAAAATCAAAATACATTATGTAATTTCTGTAACTCTGTTTCTTTTTTTAATATATAGTATAATGTAACTACATGCTGTTCTACATGTGCATATTGTACATGCGTAGTATAAAATGATAATGCAGGAAACAAGAAAGACATGAGTATAAGAAAGAAACATTAAACATAAGTACAGGTATCTGGTGCACTTGTCTGTCTCAACAGAGGCAGTAGGGACTAAGTATACTTTTATATACATTTACTGGCCACTTTATTAGGAACAACTGCTTGTTAGCGCAAATTTCCTATCAGCTAATCACATGGCAGCAACTCATGGCATTTAGGCATGTAGACATGTCCAAAACGATCTGCTGCAGTTCAAACCAATCATCGGAATGGGGAAGAAAGGTGATTAAGTGACTTTGAACATGGCATGGTTGTTGGTGCCAGATGGGTTGGTATTTCAGAAACTGCTGATCTAATGGAATTTTAACACACAACCATATTCTAGAGTTTACAGAGAATGGTCAGAAAAAGAGAAAGTATCCAGTGAGTGGCCGTTCAGTAGGTGCAAATGTATGCCAGAGATCAGAGGAGAATGGCCAGACTGGTTCAAGCTGATAGAAAGGCAACAGTAACTTAAATAACCGCTAATAATAACCTAATAAAGTGACTGGTGAGTGTATAGTTTTCTTTAAAGTGTAAGTTAAAACTTCTATGAGCCACTGACAGCAGACTATCAATGCAATTCTTTGTGCCTGGATCTTTGAGACAAGAACTTTTATGTCTCTGCTTCATGTCATGCTTTTTTTTTTTTAAACTAGACAAAACCCACATGCATTTGTTCTAAATATGTAATCATCCTCTGCAAGGAGACTGCATGATAATCACTGAGGAAATGTTCTGCGCAGGAAACTTTCCGCATTTCCTCAAGCTAATAATCACAGCAGTTATGGAACTTTAATGATCAAAGTTTTAAACTGTTATAATGGGAATTTGTTTATTTATATTACACCTTTTTAAAATTCACAACTATTATATGCAAGTCATTATTCATGTTAAATGTTTAAAGTTTTTTTTTTAAATAGCAAATGATATGCAAACATATAACAAAATACTCTTATTAAAAATATATAAAATGAGGCTGTAAGCACCGATTAGATATGAAACTAACAAAACAAAAAAAAAACTCTAAAATTTATCTGTCGAATCAGATATCTTTGGAATAACATGACTGCCTATAGATAAAACAGGGTGAGTGGAGTTCCTTGCTGATTGGTGAGCCAAGTAAACTCCAAAAGTCACCTAAAAACAAGAAGAGAGGAGAATGAGAAGTACTGTTTAACAATAAAAACGAGAAGAACCAGATGAGGTAGTTTTATTTTACAGAATACATTTTCTTTGGCAAACCTTTCCACTTCTGCATTCAGAAAGAGACCTAAGGGGTTCTTGGGTCCTAGTGGCTGTTTTTTGATCAACTCCAATCATCTGACAGCGGCCACATTTCCCAATCACCTTAAAGTCACAATGAATTCACAAATTAATCCAACGTGTCACTTACATGAGATCCTCACCATTAATGATCCACAACCATTCAACAATGACCAATTCCTGAAGGCCAAAATTAGGTCCCATACATATTTTTCTCAATCGAGAACATGCATTTATTTAAATATACAGTATGCCATATAGGAAAAAAAGACAAGCAGGGCCAACAAAAGTGTTCAAATGAGTAATTGTTTTTGCCTGTATTACATACTGCATAATTGCAATACAGTAAAATTCAGTTCATATTACAGTTAAATAACCTACTGTGTAATTTATAAAAATCAGTGTAGTTACAATAGTAGCTTGGCTAGTTGTAAATAGCTAATCAACTCAACCACTGATGCCAATAACAAAAATTATTAAAATAATGTTTTTTTTTTTCAAGTAATTCGGGAGAAATTTATGATGTTTTCTTATATCACACTTTAAAAACCAGAAAAACACAATATACCTTAACTAGCTACCTTTGGATGCCAAAATTGGTCAGCAATTTTCATCAAACAAAATATAAAGGAAAAAACCTAAACTGATTTTAATTATTGCCTATTATGTCTGCTACCAGAGATGGGTTGCAGCTGGAAGGGCATTTGGTACATAAAAATATATGATGGAAACCACATGTGGCGACCCCAGATTAATAAAGGGACTAAGCCTGAATGAATTATGTCTGCATTATGAAATTAATGATTATTACTGCATGAAATATTTCCACTAACCTGAAACTGTGTGTTTCCTATTGTAAGGTGAGACCAGTTATCCTCTGCAAATGGTTCCTGTGCAGAGATGACAAGATTGGCCCTGAAACGCTGAACAAGCTGCTCTGTGTCTCTCCAAGTCTCTTCATTATCACTGTCATGTCTTTAATATGCCAATAAAACAAAAAAATCAAATAATAATGAAAGGAATGTACTTCTCATTGACAACATATTAACATTTAAGAAAACACAGTGGCAAATGAAAGGTTATTTAATAGCTATTTGGGCAGCCTCAAATGATACACTGCTAATTAACATTTAGCATTTGTATGATTGTATTGGCCATTTGTAGTTGTTGTAAGGGAATTAGATTTTACTATACCTGTTGGCAATGGCTTCTTGTAGAAAACACACACTGGCTCTGTTAATAAGCAGAAACTGAGCCTCATTCACCAGAGACAGAGGAGTAGGACAACAGTCACCTGGTGAGCAGGAAAACATTATTCAGCTGAAATTCCTTAGTACAGTGTGATTTTTCCTATGTAAATTGCTGCAAATACTCTGCATATGAGGTCTGTAACTACAAAAAGACAATGAAACTACAAAAAGATAAACAAGTGATTTATAATGTTTACTTTCTATAAAGTAAATTCTGAGAGGCAGAAGGCTTAAAGGTCACAAAACACCAAAACCGATTTTTTGAGATGCTGACAGTCATAGATGTTCCACATTGCTCAAAACATTAGCAGGACACATATATTTTTCACAAAAAAGTAAAACTTGGTTGTTTTTGTGTTATTTCGAGCAAATTTGTATTTCCAATTTTTTGTGACATTTTGAAGCAACATCACAACATTTAGATCCTTGTGTGAATTCCAGCGTGTAGACTGGCTGTCTGTTCCAGCCGGTACCACGTGACGTTTTTGAGCTTTCATCATTAATTCAAGAGATAGAGCGTGCTCTATTGTGAATGAGGTGCAACTTCACAACTTTCAATATGCATGATGTAGTTTCGAAGACCTGTTTTCACCTGTTACAATGTTCTGACGGTACAGAGACGCCATGCTGTTTTGCCAACCTTAATTAAAACAAGTGGAAAAAGAAAAAATCTTTTGGAGACATGGGTCATCAGTGTTGCTTTTATAAATGTGCTGCAACAAAGTTTTTAATTCCATTTCCATTTAAAATCAACATGATTTGTTTTTATGTTTTTAATATATTTGATATATACTGTATAGTTGTCAACATTCGATGTGAATCAAAAATGTTTTTCAAAATGGATGCTGTTCCATTGGTTTAGGACGACTTTAAGAAAAGGTGATGACCCACGTCAAATGTGGATTGAAATAAAAAAATAAATAAATAACAATATACTAAAATCTAAAGAAATATTGATACTAATTTGATACTATAAAATATGATGATAACGTCTGAAGAAAAAAGTGTATTGTATTAACATCCTGCTACTTGGCACTGCCTTTAGAATACAATGTTTGAACCACTGGGTTCACGTGGTCCTTCAGAATGCACAAGTATTGGGCCAAGGCAATGCAATAGTCTGGGTGGTACTCTTCTTTGGGGCTTTTCCACACTGTAACTCTCCCAGATACGAAAAAGACAGTTAAAGGTGGACTCATCAGAAAACAAAACATGTTTCAGATTGTCCACAGCCCAAGATTTTTCCTGCTGGCACTATTAAAATTGACGAGTGACCAACAAACTCCCAGCAAACAATTTTGGTGGAAACAAAAGAGTTGAGGTGCACATTTAATTCTGCTTGGTTTGGGGCGTGTGGAGGTGCGCATGGAGGGATTTGCTCTTCAGTGATTAGACATTCAGCAGTGAAAATTAAATCACACTGAACTTCAACTCTGAAAACTGGACTGACACAGTTTCAATTTACTAGAACTAAGCTGCTTTGACACAATTTACATTGAAAAAATTGCTGTATAAATAAACATGAACTGAATTGTATTGAATTATGTGTTTTGATACAGTTCATTTTAGCACCTGAACATCCCTTTCTGACAGCTACCTCTTGCATCCGCAGTTACTCCTGTTGGATGTGATTCATGCCTATTGGTGGTATGCTGACATTATCCTGGATACCTGGATACATCGTAACGACATTTGATATGCACAACAACAATTTGTCATTTTTTAAACTCCCATATTGTTCATTGCAATATTTTAAGCAAAACAGAGCTATAACTCTGCTAATTAAACCTTCACACTCTGCTCTTACTGATGGAATATGCAATCTATGAAGACTGGCCACCAAATTTAGTCGCGAAAAACTCCAACACTAAATTGGCCAGTGTTTCAGATTCATTGTCCAACCCCTGTATATACACTGTAAAAATATCTGTTAATTAAAGGTTCTGTATTTTGTGTTTCGCATTTATTTACGGTTGTGAATTGCATTATAGCATGATGATCTTTGCTCTGTTCACTTTGGATGCTGAAAATTCAACTCTGCAGTTTAACAAATTGACTTTTATTCACATTTTAGTAGTTTGAGACAAGATATTGTTTTGAAACAACTCTGTAAAGACACTTGAAGAATGTATCAGCAGCTTATTACCAGTTATTTTGCAGCATAATACACAACACCAGCCCAGACAATACTTCAAACTGTTAAAAATGTTAATAAAAGTTACATTTTTAAACTTTTTAAGGTTAAAAGTTGTTAAAGGAAAGACCAAGCTCTCATAATGCAATTCAAAAGCCAAAATAAGTGGGAAAAAAACATGAATCACAATCTATGGAAAAACTGTCAATTTACAGGTATTTTTTCAGTGTATAATGATGATGAGTCATTCAATATGACTGAAACCCTTCAGCAGCATGCAGGTCCAGATGAAGAAAACTCTTTTAGCGATTGCAAGACAAACTGGTCATTCTAAATCTGTAATTTCTAGAATATTGCGCTTTTACAATCTTACTAACTCATTCTAGCATCACAAAAAGGCTGGCCAACCCTAAATTTAGGCCATAAAACAAAAATGCACGAAAAAAAAAATGCATAATGCATTAATTCTCAATAGGCAATCGTTTCAACAATGCAGCTGAAATGTCTCGCCAGTTTGACTCAAAACAACCTAACAGATTTGTCTCATATAAAGTGTCCTGACATTTAAGATGATAGTGAACTGGTCCTAAGTTCACTTTAGTGATGAAACCTTCTTTGAAGTCTTTGAGAATTTGGCTGTGATAATACTTTGAGTTTTCTGAATGCTCCAGAGGCTTCCTTGATCCACTTGAGTTTAGTTTGTTTTCCCTAAGAAGTAATGCAAGGGAAGAAGCAACCAGCATGTAATTCTGGATGAATCTTCTAAGCGGGCAAAAAACACATAAACTGTTGCAAAACCTTTATTGCAGTTGGCTGGAACGACTTTGTGACAGCTTGGACCTTGAAGTCTTTGATGGCTGATGATCCCAGGAATGTGGTTTGTTTCATATAAAACTGACATTTTTCTGATTTTACATTGAGTTGTTTTAACAGGCAGAACAAAACTTGACATGGTTGATGTGTTCTTCCTCTAAGCTGGAGTATATCAGTATGTCAGCAATGCCAAGTGATGATGTGAAAAGAAGATCTCATTACTGAAAGAGGGATCTGAAAGACGCTGATTTGCAAGGGTTTTTGGACAATAAAGAATTAGATTGGAAATGCTGTTGGTGAGACTTGATGGTTAATGTGAGGAAAACAACTGGGTCTCTTTTTAAGTGTTTTTCTCAATAGGCTGTCAGTTTGAATAGACAGGTCACAAACGTGGAAAAAAGCAGATCCTTACTCTTGCATGCCATTTTATGCTTGGAGCGTGGTTAGACTCCATTAGTACTGTAAATAGCCTCGAGAGCAACATCATTTCATACACTTTGTGCAGAGAGAGTGTTAAACTCTGGCAAAATCAGCTGTGAGGTCGTTCTGCGAAAGACTTAACAGTTATGATAAAATATCATTGCCAGTTATTGCATGAAATAATCAAAGAATAAATGAAGCAAATAATTATTTTTCTCTAAACTGCTGCAGCTCAATCAATCAATCAATCAATCAATCAATCAATCAATCAATCAACCAACCAATCAATCAATCAATCAATCAATCAATCAATCAATCAATCAATCAATCAATCAATCAATCAATCAATCAATCAATCAATCAATCAATCAATCAATCAATCAATCAATCAATCAATAAATCAATCAATCAATCAATCAATCAAACAATCAATCAATCATAAGATACACAATTCTGGTATCAATGTATATGCTGACTTGAAAAAAGCTGACAATGATCTGCAGACCTATCAATTCTATCATGCAGTGATGCAGAAAGAAGCAATCAAATGTAGTGGGTAAGATGTTCGTTTGCCAACTTAATTTTGTTGAGCTGTTCTTGGTGACTCTTCAGTATTTTCTTTGATAAAGGAAAATGAAGTTTAGAAACTGGGTTCATCTGTGGCAAAGTATTCTGTAATAAGGATGCGGCAACAGCCAGAATCCATGTGCAGGTGTTTAATAAAACAGTTCAACAGTGCCAAAGCATAATCCAAAATCAGAGTCCATAAAACCGGCAGTAACAAAATAAATCTAACAAAAAACAAATCTTTTCAAAGCTTCAAAACAATTGAACCAATTACTTTGTAAAATGACTCACTGCTGCAAAGCATTTGAAAAACCACATGCCAGAGAAACCTGCATTAAAATTGGCTTTTTCCAACATATTGTGAACTTTAAATGTAAAGAATAACCTAAAATGCACTTTTCCTAGCATCTAATACCTAATATCATTAAATATTAAGTGTCTGCATAATATATGCTCTTTCATAATTTTTTTTATTAGGTACACTTTTCCAAATGCTCTTTAACGCCAATTTATAATCAGCCAATCACATGGCAGCAACCCCATGCATTTAGGCATGTAGAAATGGAGGCTACAATTCGCACAGGCTCACCAAAATTGGACAATAAAATAGTGAAAAAAAAGTTGCCTGGTCTGATGAGTGTTGATTTCTGATGCGACATTTGGATGGTAGGGTCTTGTATCAACGGTTCAGACTGGTGGTGGCGGCACACTTTTAGCTCATTAGTATCAACTGAGCATTGTGTCACAGCTACAGCCTACATGAGTATTGTTGCCGACCATGTCCATCCCTTTATGACCACAGTGTGCCCATCTTCTGATGGCTACTTCCAGCAGAATAACACTCCATGTTATAAAGTGCGAATCATCTCAAACTGGTTTCTTGAACATGACAATGAGTCCACTGTACTCAATGGCCTCCACAGTCACCAGAGCTAAATCCAATAGAGCACCTTTGGGATGTGGTGGAATGGGAGATTCGGATCATGGATGTGCAGCTGACAAATCTGTAGCAACTGGATGATGCTATCATGTCAATATGGACAAAAATCTCTGAGGAATATTACCAGTACCTTTTTGAATCTACGCCACGAAGGATTATGGCAGTTCTGAAATCTAAAGTGGGTCCAAACCCTTACTAGTAAGGAGTAATAACATGAGACAGTTACCTAGCATTAGCATTATTCCTTTTCAATTTACAAATGTCTCACTAAAATGTCTACAAACTTGTAAAACTGATCTAAGAACAGGTAAAAACTATGATACCATTTCAGCAATGTGCAAAAACGGTAATCCAAAAGGAAGAAGTTAAGAGAAACAGGTCATATGTACACATGACAGATATTATCAATGAAGAGAAAGTAAGGCAGCTAAATTGGCAATAGTTTGCAATGAGCATTTGGCATGGTCAGGTTAATATGACAGCAAATGACCACAGAAGCAGAGGGTGTGCTGACAGTGAGGGTGCTCTCTGTTGGTGCCCTTGCCAAATCTAAAGAGAGGAGTATAAACAGAGGTTGAAGCCAGCTTCAATTGGGTGGGACTTGAGCTTTAAGATCGCTGTACAAACCTCCTGGAGTTTTTATTTATTTAATGTCTTGTACATGACACAGAGTCAAACCTATTGTGTTTTATTAACATGTACACCAACCCGAAGCCTTATACCAAACTCACAGTAACTTGGTGTGTTTTATTAATGTCTACTACACCAGGGTGTCCAAACTCCAACTTGCCTCAATAGCCCTGTCAGGATGTTTCTAGAAACCTCGTAAGAACTTGATTAGCAAGCCTAGGTGCATGTGTGTGATTGGGGTTGGATCAAAACTATGCAGGACATCTGCCTTTCAAGACTGAGTTTGGACACCCATGCCCTACACCAACCCTAAACCCAGCCTATTTATCCCCTAAGACCCTCTCACTTGGAGATCACCTAACCTACTTAAAATGTGATACCTCCCACTTGGAGGTCTTTAAGCTTCAGCAATACATACCTGAATCTAAAAGCAACAAAGCTATTAGATCTGAAATTGAACATATTTATAAAAGCAGTAAACCTTTTTTAAACCTACATCTATAGACTATATTATTAACTGTTTATTATTCCATAGATACTGTATAAGACTAACAACCACTGCTAGTAGTATAGAACTACAACTACTACTGTGTATACTATGCTACTATAAGCATTATAGGAGATACTTCAACATATTAGGATATATTTCAGGATTTCATGACATTTAAAAATTAATAATTTAATACAAAGACATTCTTTTACCTTTTCCTTGTCCAAATTTCATATCACGCAAAAATTCTGGTCTTTGCCTTATAAGACGACAAGGTTTTCCAAGAAACTCAGAAAGCCAGGCTGAAACTTCCTCCCCACAGTCCACTGTCTGTACCCTACACCAAAGATTATTCAGGTTAATGTTTATTATTCAACTACAACAAAGTTTATATTGATTACAAACCATTGAATATGAGTTTTAAACATGCTTAACTGTTTATGAATGCAAATACTTTATATGTCTAAATGCATAATGTAATGGTATAATAATATAAGAGGACTGTTTTTGGTTGGCATTTTTGGTGGCACTGTGTTTCTCATCATACCTGTCACCACAAACTTTGCTTTGGGATGTTCTCAGATCTGACTTTTCTAGACTGGGATCCAAGGGAACAGTGATTGCTTCAGAGCCTTAGACAAGAGAGAACTTTTCATTTTAACTTATTATTCCATATATTACATGATAAATCTGCAGTTATTTAATTATTTTCAAAGAATCATTGATTCGCTTTGCATCTCACTAATGGAAACACCAAATCTCTGACCTGAGATCTGCAGCTTCAGTGTGTTAGCTGCCAGACAGACGACAGGTTGGATAAGACACAGTTTTGGCTCCCTTTTCTGGCTGAGACACACTCCATTCTCATTCACAACCATCCACAAACGATCATATAACAAACCCTGTGGTCCCAGTGGCCACTCTGTCACCTGTAGATCAATCACAACAACTTTGAATACCTACCATGATATCATTATATCAGCCTGCTTTTCACTGTCAGCCTAGAAAGATTACAAAACAGCTTTGTGTACCTCAAATGATGCGCATGATTTGACAGGAAAGATAAAAAGATTGGTTAGCGTACAGCTGCTGCCATCCTTCTTTCCATCTTTTGACATGGTGACTTCAGATACGGCCATCCTGTCAGGTGAAGGGGAGTTAATTTGGCCATTCGCATGTCTTTGTTGGTCACTGGGTATTGATGTCAGATGAAAAGACGATGACGGTTCTATTGGTGCAGCTGAATTCAGCTTGGCTAGCTTTGTTTGGTCCAGGATTAGGGGTTTGTCTACAAAACAGTTCACAACAAATCGAAGAAAGTTCTGACAGTCCTCAAAACTGGACATATACCCGAAAGACACACGGAGGGATCCTGTGGGACGTCCGTCAACCAGATCAATGTTGTCTCCACAGATGTGTCCGGCCTGGGAGAAAATAAATACTTTTTAAAGGTTAATTCCAACATTTTAATCTTATCTTATTCTGTCTGTCTGTCTTTCTGTCAACGAACATTAAAGTTTGCATTGGCTGCCATCGACTTACATGCAAATTACTCTTCACGTTTTGGTTGCTGATAGCCAGATAATGTTGGCAGGCTCCAGTGTTGCAGAAACAGCCTGTGCGGATATGAATGTTAAAGAGACTAGCCATTTTGTCCACCTGGCAACAATAGGCAAACAAACAAACGATAAGTAAAAACATATTCAACATTTCCTAAATCTCACATTTTAGATTTTCTTTATTATTGGAAAGAAAAAAAGAATCTGCTTTATTCTTACATATTACAGTATAAATGTACATGCAATATATGTAGATCATTTAAAAACACAGTAGATAAAATAAAGTAACATTTGGCAAGTTTTGTCTGACCTGAGAATATCCTACTGTTCGTCCATGACAGTCTAGCAGGCTAAAGTTGATGATTGCACCCTGTTCGGCAATACTCTGAAAGTCATTATCACAGTAAATCTGTGCCACATGTTTTCCATTGCTGTGACACAGGCACGAAAGGACAGTATATGTGTAGCGAGCTAAACCAAATGTGTGTAGCTGAATGTTCGTCATACTTCCTGCAAACAAAATACAGAATCTTTTTAATGAAATGCATTAGAATTTGAATCACATAAACATTTCCATTTATTCAATTAGCACCATTTAAATGAGGGCAATAGAAGCAGGCCAAATCTCCGGAAAATAAATAATATATGATAATGTGAGTGTCAGTTTGTCTAGCTATTTTAAACAAACAAAGAACAAACCAGCACACACACAACATCATAAGACGTTAATATCAGATTAGATTTAGGTCGTGAAAAAATTCAATGTCTAGCCAGCATCTAAGAACAACGTTTTTTTGACATCCAATAACGACATCAAATGACCTTGATATTTGGTTGAATTTTAGGTTGTGTTGAAAAGTTACCAAAATCCAACGTCAAGCCAACATCTTAAACCAATATCATATTGATGTCAAATATTAATATTTATTTGTCAGGTATATGGCAACCAAAACCCAATGTCTGATAGACGTAATAGTGGTTATGTTCACACAATGTCAAGCTGTAACATTATCATCATTAGTCATTGATATTGGGTTGATTTTAGCTTGGACGTTGGACATTGAAGTTGGCCTGACGTTGGGCTCTGATGTCAACCAGATTTTTGTTTCCAAGCAAAAGGCAACATCCCCACGACACTAGGGTACAACATACCTGCTGGCACAATTAGAGATATATTTAAGATAGAATATAATTGGACATGCTAGTATTAGAGGAACAAGTGTTGATGAAAACATTCATAATCAAAAACTTTTAAACCTGTTAGTTTTTGAAGAGTTTCAAAACCATGATGAAGAGAAATGATGTCCAAGAACGAGATTGTGCCATCTTCAAACCTTCAAATCATTAAAAAAAATATCATCAAATTATGAAAGCTATAATCATCAATGCCTGATAACAAATAAACGGATAGTGCACTTTAAAATGAAATGTATAAAAATTTAAAAAAATTGCAACACAAAAGACGATATTTTGAAGAATAATGGAACCAATAGCCATCAGCTTTCCATCCACCTATTTATAGTGTATTTTATTGTATAAAAAATGTTTAATCACAAAAATGTGAGTACATTAAAACATCTGAATGCATAAACAACTTATGGAAACTTAGGATAAACTTTTTATAAGAATAAATGCACATAAATTACAATGAAAATGTCACGATCGCCAGCTCTCAAAATTTTGCAGATCGTTGGAGAACTACACTTCTGTCAATGAACTGGACTACAAATACTATCATGCACCTCACACACACCAGTTCCTGATTCATCTGATTATTCACACACAGCTGGAAGCTCATGATTAACTGTTTACCAGGACTATATATGCCTCTGACTCACACTTACATCTTGCTTAGTCTTGTTCACTTTTAGCTAGTTGTGAGCAAAGCGAGGCTTCATGAAAAACTGAATTTGTGGTAGTGATGGTGAAATAAAGCTTTCTGAACCAGTGAAGCGCTCGACTCAATTGTATTGGAAAAAGGTTCGATACTCAAAGCTTTCTAAATAAGAGCTCGATGAGGACCTCTTCTGGTTAAAGTGTGGGAAAGCACTGTGTTGCCATAATCTCAAATGTTCACAACTGACCAACTCATTCATGTAGTAATACAACAACAACAATATAAACAAATTATTCAATTACTGTAGTTTTTACACATAAGATATATTACATTACACCACTGATGACTGTAGTAACATCCAAGATATTCAAAAGTTTATCATATTACAACTAGTCCTGTTCCAAACGTTGATCGAACCAGCAATTCGTGCATGGGAGGCGAATGCTCTAGAAGGAGGCTATGTGAGTGATGTGTTTGGGTGGTGCTCGCCAGCTGGTCTCTGTTAAACACTATACTACGATATGCAGTGGTTTTCTTTAAAGATAGTTGTAAAAAATACGCTTATACACTTTAGTATGGTTCAAAACCTTTTTAGTATAAATTACTATTGTATTTTAGTTTAATTACTGGTGTGTGAGACAGGTGCATTGCTTTGAAACAGTAGAAATGTATGTAATCGACGCTTAATTTCTCGCTATACACTTTACTAACCCATGAGGGTGTTTAAACCATTGAGTCAAAATTCGAAGCAGTCATGTGGGTATAGGCGAAAACGATGCTTCGGACGTCACTGATCACGTGATGATGGCATAACGAATCAAGCTCCGGTACACTGCTTCACTGCGAGATGTAGACGTTTTTCTTGATACATGCTTTGAAGCCTCGGCGCACAACGTCACATCACTAATTTGTGTTGAAACTTTGGAATGTTTCAAAACCAAAAAATGTTTCTACAGTGACCACCTAGTGGGCATTTTTATGTATTACTTTGGAACAGCTTCAGCAAAGAAACAATTAAGCAAATTGAGGTATTTAACCTCAAGTTGTAGAGGTTTCAAATGATTTAGTGAAGCGGTGAGAGTTCCAGACTATCATACAGAGACAATGGGTTTGAATCCAGGGTGATACAGCTATAGATGTTAGTTTTTAAATGCTTTGTTCTTGTAACGTTTTTTTTTTTTTAACATTAGTTTGACATCCGAATGAACACTTTTTGAATATATGTTTTGTTTTGGTCATAAAAAAGTAACATTATTAAAATACATCAAGTCATAATTACAGTGTATTTAAATAGGTCGGGATTCGAACTCAGGCCACACATGGTCCAATAGGCTACAGAAGTTTTTCTCCAACCATGTCAGTCAAATGCCGATTAGCCATATCTCGAAAGGCTTATGAAATGACAGATGCTTTGAACTTTAGTCAACTGACTTAGTGTTTCGAAACAATTTAGTCATGTGACCTGTGTGTTTCAAATCACTTTCTAGTGATCTAGTGTTTTGAAACACTTGCTCTGGGATCTCGACACTGTGTCGAAACGTCTGTTTCACATCAGCCATTCCTACTGCATTATAAAGTGTTTTCCTTCTCTTGCATTCCCGTGGTTTCTGACCTTTGTTTTATTGTTTATGCTGTTATGTTGCCTGCCTTGACCATTTGCCTGTTGTTTTGACCACGTTCTTTTGATTACCCTCATGCTCCAGTTTGTACCTGTTTGGCTATTGCCTGGCAGACTATTCTTGATTATTAAACTGCACGTAGATCCTCATCTTTATTTTCCAGACCAGTATGTAACAGAAAGCACATTTACTTTATAAATTCTAGCATGCACATCAAAAAAGTCATGTGGCCTCCAAAAGTCCGTTATGACTGTGTTCATTGCGTTTCACTTTTATTTTTATAATAAAAAAGCCCACAGTGGCTTCTCCTATTATCATGAATTGCATTTTTCTTTTCAAGATTTGCCACCAGTTTTCATTAAATGATGATTTTGTTTTGGATAAAATTTGTCATTGGATAAAATTTGTCATTGGATAAAAATTGCAAATGGTTTATGCAATGTTCCAGTTTTACACATAAGTTGCATTCACATCTTTGGATGGAGAGATAACTATTCACATCCGTAACATATTTGTACATTCTTCAAAATACCTTCTTTTGTGTTAGATAGAAGAAATAAACTCCGGTTTGCAATTAGAATTTTTTTTCATGTTTTGGTGAACAACCCTTTAAATTCTTTCTGTCACATCCTACCTGCTGGCCAAATTGGGCTTTGGTATGAAATAGTTCTCTTCCACAAGATACGCTGCTGCGGTTCCTCCTCCAAAATACGTTTTTCTCAATACCTCAGCAGCCTCATTCCTCACCAGCAAGGCTCCGAGTCCAGTCGGGAAACCAAACATTTTGTAGAAAGATATTGGCACAAAATCAGCAGGATACTGGCTTAAATCCAGAGGTGAGCAGCTTACAAAACAGGCAGCATCGAGGAGGACAAACCATTGACCGTGGTGTTCACATGCTGGATAGAGCTGTTGAGACTGAATTCCCTTCACATAACTCAGTGAATACTTCCTGCCAGAGAAGTTACTCTGGGCAGGATAACAGAAAAGATGAGGTGTAGAGCACTCCTCTTCTCCATTTGTTTGTGTCTTTTTTCTTGCTCTTGTTTCCACTTCGCGAGGTGAAACAGAAATTGTGCCAACTCCCTGAAGTGCGGTCGCACCACGGATGCCCACCACAGACGTGTGGTTGTCAGTGAGGTAGCAGAACTGGCTTCCTGGCTCTTTGTTTGACATGGGCTTCCAGGGAAAGGTGTCAGCCACTAATTTCAGTGCTGCAGTACATCCTGATGTGAAAATCACTGAGTAATCTTCAGGACTTGTATTAAAATGTGCCAGGATCCTGTAGGTATTTCAAATATTGGAGTATTATATCTTTATAACACACATTTCTAATGTGTCTTATCACATCATTTAAATATTATAAAATTATTGTTATATGAATCCTCAATTGAGTCAACCCAGCAAGCATTTTTTGTGTTTAAAAGAAGAGTAACAGACATCTAAACATAAATAACATCGCTAAATCAATGCTAAATTTGGACTGTCATCTATAGATGTCTAAGAATAGCGCAAAACTAGAATATTCATCAAATTTACAGGAATCAGTGACTTCAAGCCTATAGATATGTATAGATAAATAGGTAGATATATATTCATTCATTTTCTTTTCGGCTTAGTCCCTTTATTAATCTGGGGTCGCCACAACGGAATGAACTGCCAATTTGTCCAGCGTGTGTTTTACGCAGCCCTTCCAGCTGCAACCTATCACTGTGAAACACCCATACCCACTGATTCATACGTATACACTAAGGATAGTTTTAGCTTACCCAATTCACCTGTACCACATGTCTTCGGACTTGTGGGGGAAACAGGAGCACCTGGAGGAAATCCACATGAGGTGACCCAGATAGCAAATTACATCTGGCCCAGGTATGGCCCATATCCCAAATGTGGCCCAGAACTGTATGCTATCTGGGGAGTATATACACTCACCGGCCACTTTATTAGGTACACTTGGCCAACTGTTGAACACAAATGTCTTATCCACCAATCAGCATTTTTATAGAGTATATAGAGTATATAGTATAGCATATAACGCTTTATTTGCAGCATAGGACTTCCTTTATTTATTGACTTTATATATTGTTCGATTCATTTATATTTTTAAAATGCTCAGATAAATGCAAACGTGTCAAAACGCGGTGCTTATTGTAATTATGTGAAAGTGAAACAATAAATCGAAACTGTGCGGCTCTTAAAGCGACAGCGTGCTATATTCTGTTTTTTTAGCATTATAATAAAACAAAAAAGACAAGATCAAAATCATTCACTGCTCTTGACTAAAGGTCTTTTGTAGCTTTGATAATAAACCAATTATGTTTAATTCTCAGAGTGAAGATGCTACAGTTTGTTTCATTTTAATATGTTACACATTGTATTTTTCTTTTCCATTATTGAAGGAACTTTTTGTTAGTCTGTTCTTTTTCTTTGTCCTCTTCTGCTTCAAGAATTGCTATTAATAATTGGGAAATGTCATGATCTTTGAAATTTATAGATGTATTAGCAACCTTATTTGCAGGAAAAATATATATATATTCAAAAACCTTTTGGTCAAGGCCCACTGAAAATCATTTTAAATAATGATAACAATTATGACCAAAAAAAATGATTATTGATTATATAAATATGGCCTGTCTGTGCCATTTTAAAATTTAGAATTCAGATAATAAGATGATGTACAAGAGGTAATAATAATAATAATTATAAAAAACACTAATAATAATAATAACAATAATAATAATAATGGGAAAAATCTAGTTGCATAACAATCTTTGTGGCTGATCGGCTGATTAAAAAGTACAAAAGTACTCACTTGTATCTGACACTTTCCACAGTGTCGTGTGTTAGTCTACTGCTGGAATTATGACTGTGAGGATTTCCTGAAAAAGAAAAGTATTAAATTGTGTGATCACACTAATATTTTGAAGTTGAATTCAATAATGCTCATGGCATGATATCATCAACGAAACGGAAACTCACCATAAACATTCCTGGATATATCATCATGAAATCCTTTAATAAGGGATTCAGGAAATAACGTTGTCCCTGCATGATCGAGATATGTAACCCCTTAAAAACAAAACGAAGAACATTTTCTCAACCTACTGCAATTCACTATAAGATCAACAGAGGGAGCCGCCGAGCTGCTTTCATGCACTGATAACTGAACAGAAAGTAAACACTGTAGCACTTCAGGCCGACGCTTTCAACTGTCAAATAAGTTAGCAAGCTGTTCATTTTACGTCCAATTCAAAAGGTATTTAAGTACATTTGATGGCTTACAAAAAGACAGTCATACACGAGATTAAGCAGCAACGAATGCAGGTTTTTAACGTTACCACATGAAGAAATTCAAGGCACCTTTTACCTTTAATCCGTTTAAATTCCTGATCTATCAGAGCCTGCTGATCAACGCCGTACCCGTAGTAGTGTCCAAAACTCTTAAAAACATCAAAAGTGCATAAGTCCTGAAAGTCTTGCAAAGACCGAGTATCCATTTTTGCTCAGTCTGAAAGTCCAGAGAGAGCCCTCCTTCCCGAATTTATGTAAGTTACCGCGTACCATGTCAAATTCGATAGATCCGAGACCAAAGTCCAGCTGCTGTGTGACTGTTTTTTTTACTTTCTACTGCAGGACGAATAAAGGGGAGTTTCACTGAAGTCCTGTGACGTTTCTGGAGCACGTCTGGTGAATACAGAGGGAAGTTATCAAAAATTGAATAGAGAATAACTGATCACACGTTATCTTGAGACATAATTTTCACTGCAAATATTTGACACTATTGATCAAAATAGTAGGGAGAGTAGGTTGGTGTTGAAAGAAATGAATGCTTTTATCAGATTCTCGCGCTTCAGTTAATCCTTCATCAAATAAAAAAAAACCTGTACAGCTTCTACAAAATATTAAGCAGCACAACTGTTTAACTTCAGACATTAGGAAGATTGATTTCAAAAAGATTATGTGACACTGAAGACTAGAGAATGGTTTACATTGAAGACTAGTGTAATGATATTAATCTTTGTCATCACAGGAATAAAGTGCATTCTAAAACATTTAAAATAGAAATCAATCAATCAATCAATCAATCAATAAATCAATCAATACAACAACCAATAGGTAAATAAAAAATAAATCACCAATGTTTAAAAAATCCTCATAGTGTACTACTTCTATTTTCTCAAAACATTTTTATTCCATAATGCTAGTATCGTAAAATATCTACATTTCCATAACAAAATATGGTAAATCTAGTGTACACTATAGAATACTATTAGTGACTATGTTGCTTGGGATTAAACGCACATTAATGTTTTAAAACGCAACAAAGATTTACTTTGTTTTTCTTCCGGTTTATCAAATAATTCTTTAACTGTTATAACATATTATTAATGCTATTTTTGTATGCTCTTTAAGGAAATATCTTGTTAATTCATGACACGTTAGTTTTGATAAGGCACAGTGAGTCCTGTGATATTGGTGAATGTCAGAAGCTGAACCGATCCACAGAATATATATTACGGGGCTTCATAGCATGAAAATAGACAGTTCCACTCAGTTCACTTTATGTTGCATTGTAACATCTTCTATTAGCAATTTATAATTAAACAGAGTGCAGAGTCATAGAGATACTGTGAGCGATAGTTGTCATGAATACCAGATGGCTTTAATGTTCTATCTGACACTCACAGAATCAGCAGTTCCATTAACATCCATAGAACAATTCCACTCCTCAAAAGGTTTTTAATAGAGAAAAAAGTTCTTAAGATCATTAAAATGTCTTTCCTGAATGGTTCTCTGAGAAAATATTATTGCATTAGTAATTTTAGTATTATTTACTGTTCACACTATTATTCACATTCTGTATTAACTTTAAATGGCACCTAAAAAGGGGCGCATCACACAGCGCCTGCAGTTAAACTCACGACGGTCCATCATAAAATTTATCATTTTGTTCTGCAATTGACAGCAAGAACAAACAAAGAAGCATTGTCTGCTTGACAAGCAGCACCCAATTATGTTCAAAAGAATTTGAAACGCCACATAGGATGAATTTACACCCCATTTCGCAAGTAAAACATACTCTATGAGGTTGTGTAATCTACACAACATTAAGTGCGGTGTGTGGGTAAAAAGGAGGCGGTGTTTCAGTGTGATCTGGTTATAGTTATGGTTTTGTGACTGCTGATGTTGACTTGCTGTATGGTTAAAATTATGACAGTTTAAGTAACTAGGTCAATTTTGATTTAAATCAATTAAAATTAAATAAAATGTTACTATTTTATTTATTTTATGTATCTACTATTTTGGGCGTTTTGGACGACTTTTGGGTTGAAAAAAGTCATATCTGGCAACACTAGGGTCTGCTTTTCATCATGCTTTGCGCCAGATAAACAGCACAGTGACAGAAACAGACCCGGGTGAAGCTAAAATAGCGCTCATTAGTCAAAAACATCAAGTATTTTATTTCATGTGTCTGTGGAGGAGCACACATGTGCGCGTTTACTGATACTGACACCATGCGGCCGTGGTGGTTATAGCGGTTAAGAATTACACAGCGGTTTTACTGACTTTATTACAAACATGCTGTAAACATGTTTTAAAAATGTTTAAACTTATTAAACTTATTTGAATTCCAGTTTATTATCAAAAAAATTCTGTGGATTCTGTGTTATCATAGAAACATGGCGTCCGGAAAACCGCACCACAGCACATTGCTAAAAATCAGTGGGATCCTATTTTAACATTTGGAAATTAAAAAAAAAAGAGACTTGTTGGGTTTATATCAGTCCAGCATGAAAGTGGACACACTATACATACAGACAGTTCTGTCTAAACAGCTTAAGTTGATTTTCATCATAGGTGCCATTTAAATTTTATTTTCAGTTATTTTTACAGTCGTGTTTACTTATTTCGAAATGCATTTTTGTCATTCTTTTTAAAAAATCGAAATAATTTAGTTTTTGCTGTACTAAAAATTCAATCTAATATTTAAATTTAATGTGATCTCAACTTTATTTTTATAAATAAATGTTTTACTAAAAGTGTTGTGAAAAGGTTTGGTGTCAGTTTTACTTTTGGTTTAACGAGAAGTGCACCGATCTTTTCTTGCGCAATGGAGTCTTAGATCTTCATTTTATACTATTTATCAACACATACGCAGTGAGAGAACGGAGATCCATAGAGACCATTGTTCATTTCCATCCCAGACAGCAGGCAGTGATTAAATATGCCACTTCTGCTCCACTAATTCATTCACTTTGAAATTCTGCTGCTGAGCAGAGTGCATCTTTTTCTGTTAAAGGCCTACATTGTTTTCACAGGACTTTGGCCTCATTAGCAGGAGGTGTGGGGGAAGGGACATCGGCCACAGAGACATTGTGTCTTTCTGTCCATAATGATGTGACACAGTCAATTTGGAGATGCTTATGGTGATTGGGGGAGTCGGCACAAAACATTTGGCGGATTCTTCCTTTTCTGTGTCCTTTAAAATGTCATTTTGCATATGCACATCCAAACCAGATCTTCCCTGCCAAAACGGAAAACGTGTTTCAAATTGAGCCATGCTATTAGAAAACTCTGGTCTTACTTTTTTTTATATTTATTGTATTCCAGCCAGATTATAGCATGGCAAAACCTGTTGCCTTCTATTCTTCTTGGGATTCCAGAATGCTACAGGAACCATCCCGGGATAAAGGAGTTGTTGCCTCAATTACGTGAGTATTAAGAACTGGGAGAGACTCATGTAGCTTGGTCTAAAGGCTTATCAGAGGCTAAGCCAGAGGGTGGAAAAAAAACAGTAAAGCTAGCCTCAGTCGACCAGAGGTACGGGCACAAGGCCATCTGTCCATTCTCTGAATACAACTGACAACAAAAGAGGGCAACACCACACTCAAGGAATCATACACACTCTGGAGCCGCAAACGTTAACTCATCCTGGATTGACAAGGAAAAGAAGCCTCAGTGAAGAAAGTAACAGGCATCTCTGCTCTATCTCAACCTCCATCACATCTCAGGTCAGTTTGTTAACTTCGATCCAAAGCTGCTCGTCACGCACAGAGACTTCTGAAGGACAAGAGCAAATAGGCGTATTAATGCTTTTCTGGCATGTCAACAGTGCTCTTGTTTTATCTTTGACAAAAGGAAAGAGGGGGTCAACATTTTTAATATGATGTGTGACTAATATGTACTATATGTATTAGTCACACATTATATATATAATTGAGCATAATTGAGTACACCCTATTTTGAAAATTTATATTTTTATCCATGTCTTAGTGAATATAGATATTTCATATTTATATATAGATATATATATTTATAAATAGAATATAGATATTTTTGTGCATTTAAACAAAACAGATTTATTAAACAGATATATTTATTAAAATAATATGTTAGTCACCAAACATGTTTAGAAATTGAAAGATAATGCAAACAAATTCAACAAAATATTTCAAAAAATTTCAACAAATTCTCTTGATTTTTCCTCTTTATTAAATTTGTATTTAGTATTTTTCTATAACATATAAATTTGAGTGTACTAGTTTTTGGACCGTTATTGTAACTTATTTTGTGGGATAAGGTCCAGAATTGGTTTCAGTACTGACTAATCTAATGTATGTGAACAAATATAGTATTGTATAGCTTCCTTTAAAAATTTGTGAGGGGTGTACTTATATATGTTGCGCACTGTATACAACTGGAACTTGTCATTGATTGTTTGTTTTGTTTGTTTGTTTGTGAGAATTTATTAATCCCAAAGTGAAATTCACATCACAACAGTGATCTTCATACTAAAAATAGATCAAATAAGCTACATATGTATAAAAACAATAATAAAGTTACATAAAATTATAAGCATATAAGCATAATTCATAGTATGATTTTGGTTATACAATCTGATCACTGTTGGTAAAAAGGATTTCCTGCATCTTTTTCTGTAACACCGGGGTTAAATTAATCTTGCACTAAAAGAGCTTGTACACGCTTGGACTGTATCAAAAAAGGGATGATTATTGTGGTCCATCATACTGACAAATTTGTCCATCATTCAATAATGTGCAATCTCTTCTATAGTGGGTAGTACACGCCCCACAACAGAACCTGCCCTTATTTACATGTCATTTTGTTGTTGCTTTGATTGCTTGTCATGGTTATGTTTGTAAGTCACTTTAGATAAAAGCATTAGTCAAATGATTTAGAGTGAATGTGAATATAAATAAACACAACATTTTGCAATAATATAATATAATATAATATAATATAATATAATATAATATAATATAATATAATATAATATAATATAATATAATATAATATAATATAATATAATATGATTCCCAGTACTGGGTTCCAGCTGGAATTGCACCCACTGCGTGAAACATATGTTGGAATGTTTGGCGGTTCATTCCACTGTGGCGACCCCTGATAAATAAGAGACAAAACAAAGGAAAATTAATGTACAATGTAATGTAATGTAATATAATACAACAAATATAATTCATATAATTTTTAAAAAACATTGTTCTACGTTTGAAGTTACTAGTATATTCAAATGAATACAATGATTATTTTTCTTTGACATGTTGATTTCACTAAATTGTCCAAAGTAACATAAAAGTCTGTTCAGTAACAATAGGCTTGACCACTTAGATTATGGATTTAAAGCTGACTGATCATTTCTGAACACTAATCTGACCTATAGTTTGCTTTGTACGTCATTTCAGTGTCAGCTGCAAATATTATTTTAATTCCTGCTTCATAAACACATCTGACATGTGAAAAACAGAATGTGCGATATCTATGTTCGGACTTATTAGCGCAATGGTATATGAAGGCAGAATGTTTTCAGATGCCTGTTGACAAGCTTTGCAAAGACAGAAATAGGTCAAATGGGTTTTAGCATTAGCCAAACAAATCCCGGCCTATAGGATTAGACAGGATGGTGGCAGTGCCTTTGATGCATTTACCTGATGAAACAGCACAAACTAACAGCCGCACAAAGGAAAAAGCTTTTTACACCACTTGTTATTAAATTCAGCCATCGCGATTCATATTAAGAATGCTGAATCTATAACTCATTTCATAACGTCCACATTAGCGCTCTAGTTCTCAAATTGAGTTGTCTGTCTTTGAGACTACTTACATAACTGTAATTCAACAAATGAGCCTTTTATTGGCTTAGATATCAACACATGAGCAAAAACTAATTATATATATAACATTTGTTTCTCTTTTAGCCATTTCTACTGTTCTCCGCTCTTAAACAAGCTCCTCTTCTGCTGGAGTGTCATGGAAAAAGGGACCACATTTCATCTAACAGCTTATGTAAGTCTGAGAATGTTTCAAAAGCAGCATTTTCCTAACAAATGAAGGCATCGGGACTCAATTGGAATAGATCTCACTTAAAGCAAATGCATTCACTTATTTCTCGTAGCTGCAGGGTCTCATTAGAGGAATATGAGGAATGCATGAGACATTATTAAAGAGAAATTTCAGACAACCTACTAATACTTCCTCTGATGTAACGCTGACTCATTTTTTTTTTAGTTTTCACCCATGAATGTGTTCTGTGATCTCGGATGTGGATGGTGATAAATGCGTGGAATGTGTGAACAGACAACATTGTGTTCACTCGCTGATAATTTAATAGGCCTTTTAGACATGGTCACACAAACATCACTTGATCCACAGGCCTAGAAATTCAGAGCTGGCTCCTTATGAGTCTTATTAAACTTGGTCACGCCACTTTTATTAAACCAGAACCATTAAAGAGACCCTATTATCCTTTTTTTGAATATTACCTTCCATGCATAGGCATTTTAGCTGTTCGTGAATGTATAAGGTCTGCAAAGATTTAAAAATTAAAGCACATGATAGTGTTTTTAAAATAAGGACTTTTTAAAATAAGGAAATTCTAGTTAAATTTAGATGAACTGATTTATATAGATCTGTAGCATATTTGCATAATGCCAATCTATCCTCTTTTCTGGCTGCCTATAAACAATGTCTGTAAAGCTGTTTTTTGTCAACATAAAATCTAGAAGAAGCATTAACTGTCAAGTCAACATTCAATTCTACTTGACCTATAAATGTCACCATTATAATCACTGAAGCTGTTAAATAGCTTGAATAAATCCTGATTTATTCTTCTGCACTGAATGATCAGCGCACACCTTGCATGTTGCCAATGTCATTGTCATTCATTTACCTTCGACTTAGTCCCTTTGTATATCAAGGGTCGCTAAAGCGGAGTGTACTGTACCGCCAACTTATCCAGCATAAGATACACTGCGGATGTCCTTCCCACTGCGTCCCAGTACTGGGAAATACCCACAGACTCTCACATTCACACACATACACTACAGCCAATTTAGTTTATTTAATTCACCTATACTGCATGTCTTTGGATTGTGGAAAAACGAGAGCACCCTTAAAACTCACACAGAAATGCCAACGCAATCTCACAGCAGTTCATAGCTTTTTTGATTTAGTGGTCGTATGAATACAGTCTAATTTGTACAATTTGCTCATCACCCAATGACGGTTGGCAATAGTGGTGGGGTTAGGTTCCACGCCTCCTTTTTAAAATCTTACATTTTTGTATGACTGAACTTATGCAAATTCGTACGAATTAGCCACTAAACTGACAAAACGTAAAATACTTATGTTTCCTTGTGAAATCAGGCTGGAAATGCTTACTGACCCAGCCGGGACTCGAGCCAGTGAACTTCTTGCTGTGAGTCGAGCCACCATGCCACCCAATGCCATTGTGAAAATTTACATTTATGTGTTCTGTCTTAGGCACTCACACTTTTAAAACACAAGGTTTTCAAATAGTGTAGAGTGCCTTTGCAAGAGTTTTGAGCGTATGCTGGAAATCCGTGTGATAATACTGTAGAAGTAGCTCAAACTAATAAAAAAAGGATAAAAAGGATAAAGGATAAAAAAAGGGGAACCAGAAACATTCACCAACTTTAATCATGAAGTAAACAAATCAAAAGTATCCATCTGTATCTCTTTCACAGTAATAAACACTTGTTGAACACTCACACCATCACCTTCCATGACTCTCAGGCTCGCCCACACTTGTCAATGCTACCAAGCCGACCAACATGTAGTTAGATTTTTTGAGAGGTGCGTGTCAGGATTTGGTGAAGAGAATTTGACTGTGCAAAGGCTATGCCGGACCAACTGCATGGACTCAAAACAGAAATATAAATTGGCCCTAATAAGGTACTACTTCAGCTAATCTGCACTTTCTTGTTTATGATGAAAGAATTTGCAAGTATGAGGTGCCATGTAGAGCTTTTCACACAAAACTTTGGAAGTGAATCTTTTCATAGTTTGGAAAATAAATAAATAAATAAATAAATAAAATAAATAAATGAAGATACGTGTAATTTTTATCCCATATAGAGGTAAAGGAAAAATTGTTAGCCCACCTGCGACATTTTGTCTCTCTCTCTTTCTCTCTCTCTCTCTCTCTCTCTCTCTCTCTCTCTCTCTCTCTCTCTCTCTCTCTCTCTATATATATATATATATATATATATATATATATATATTTTTTTTTTTTTTTTTTTTTTTTTCAATGTTTGGAATTAAATAGTTTTTTATTAAATTGTATTATTTTCAAATTCTGAATATGTTTGGTGACTAAAATATTATTTTAATAAATATATCTGTTTATTAAATCTATTTTCTGTAAATGCACCAAAATACATTGCCTATATTCACTGATTAATGGATAAAAATATTCATTTTCAGAATGGGGTGTACTACATTATGCTAAGCACTGTATATACATCGCAAGTGTACATAAGAACTCGTACATCTATGAAATAATCACAATCATCACAATAAACTCCTGCATCTATAAAATGATCAAGATGTTGCATAAATAAACTTGTGTCTATTCAAAACTCATGTGTACATACAAACCCTTGCAAACTCAATCTGTGAAAAAATCTCATCTTGCATACAGTACAAACTTTCACTTACACATGTAATTGAAACACATGAATATATACCTACAAACTCTTACCTACATTAGCGAAATGCAAGACTGCAGACATAATATTTCATAATGAGCCACAAACTTATAAAAAATGTATCAGCAAACTACTTATGTTTTGCTTTTGATGAATGTGAGTTGATCAAATAGTTATTTTAAAGTTTTATTATTGGACATTAGATCAACTAGACATTAGATCTGTATAACAAACTATACAGACTGTGGCGTCTGACCAATCAGAGCAAAGCAGACTGTCTTAGGTGTTGATGTTAGAAAAAACAAATAATCACTGGAACCATATGAATTGTAAAATTTGTTGAGCTGGTTTTAAAATTCATATATATTTAAAAATATAAGTACAGTGGGGGAAATAACTATTCAACACGTCACCATTTTTTTCAGAAAACATATTTGTAAAGGTGCTGTTGACTTGAAATTTTCACCAGATGTTTATAACAATCAAAGAAAACCTCTAAGTGCCATCTTAACATTTTTCTCAACCTTCTTTGTTTACGGTGAGACATTTCACTTTAAAGAACAAGAAAAGAACTTATTTTTTGCCATACATACAGGAGCCTGATAAAATTGCTCATTGTAGAGGAAAATTTCAGATGGCATTTAGAGGTTTTTGCATCTAAACTCTTCATATATGAAAAGAAAACAAATCTAAATAGTTAACAATTTAAGTATTGTGTAATAAAATTAAATGACACAGAAAACAAGTATTAAACACATGAAGAAAGGGAGGTGTAAAAAGGCAGTGAAAGCCCAGACAGCAACTGAAATTGTTTTAAGACGTTATTCACCCCTTTGTTTGTGTAAATTAATATAAAGGGTTTTTACAGTAACTTACTGTATTTTTGATTTACAGTATACAACCATAAATCAGTTTACAGCATGATACCAAAATTATATTATCTAAAATTACTGTTAATTACTGTAAAAATAACTAAGCTAACAGTTTACTAGTGTAAACCTTTTTTGTCCTAAATATTTTATAATATTATTTTATTGATATTATCTTAATACTACTGACATAGAAAATGACATAATTACAAAATAAACACTGCAGATGCTTAAAGCATTTAAGAAAAAAATTGTGAAATTATTACATTTTAAACATTTAGATCATCTTACATTAAGAAAAACATTTAAAATAACAAAGCTTGTGAATGTACATGTGCAAAAGCATGTTCAGCAAGATAACGATCTAAAACACAGTCAAGGAAACTCTCAAGTGGTTTATATCATAGGTCTCAAACTCAATTCCTGGAGGGCCGCAGCTCTGCACAGTTATGCTCCAGCCCTCTCAAACACAGCTGATGCAACTAATAAGGTGTCAAGTCCTATAGCTTAAATAAAATAAAGTCTAAAACCACCTCAAAATAGTATACAATTTCTTTTGTAAACTAAGACATTTTTATTCAAAATTCAATGTTTTCATCACTCATTTCTAATGCAATACAAAATGTGCATTGCCACTGTGTGGTGGAAACTCAAAATTGATGAGCTGATTTTTCAACAATTTTATAAGAAAATGAAAGTGTTGACCTTGCATGCTTGTAACCTATTATTAGAGGCATCCAAGACAAGACAAAGATTCTTTTAAATAGCAAAATAAGGGAACTTAAAGGCAAGACCGGCTCGCCCGCCTCCAGGGAAATAACACCCGACTTAATGTCAGAGTGAAACAACAGGTACCTACAGCTAAACAAAATGAACGCACCAGTGAATAGACATTTACAGCTGAGAGCAGGAATTATTGTCAAGGCTGAAATGTTTGCACACTGAAATTCATCTCATATCTGCTCTGAGCGAACTGGTAAATTTGTCTGTTTGTGTGTGCAGAGACAGTCTGTTTGAAGCATTGAGACCCAAGAGAAGAATGAATATGAATGAGAGGGAGGGAGGAGTATCTGAGGGGGGGCTAAATGTCACCCTCACCATCCGCCTACTAATGCATGGCAAGGTAAGACATATCTCGGATTCTTGCCGAGCTGGGTTTCATTTGTTTTCAGCCTTGTGTTTTGCAAGCATGTCCAGTCAAGCATTAAGACCAGAACAAGAGAAAGATTTCTGATTGTATAAGCCATTCCTTTAATTTGCGAGTTGTCGATATAATTGATTATGAAATGTTTTCTTTCTGATGACTACGGTAGTATTGACTGCATGAAGTGGCTTTTGCAGCATTATTGTTTTTTATAATGAACCCACAATTTTCATGGACATCTCTATTTAGCTGCATCAGTCAGAATAATTTTAGAAATGTTATTACCTTTTAAGTGTAACTGTTATACAATTGAGTGCATTTTAAAACTGTTATTTCTTCATGTTATTAAAAGCTAATTATTGCCCCATGATAATCCAGAATAATTTTTTTATGATGTTATGATTTATAGAAAGAACATTTTATTTAAAACAGAAATCTTTTGTAAGATTACAACTGTATTTACTGTCTTGTTTGATCAATTTCATAGTATCTTTTGTTAGTAATTATACAGTTGAAGTCAGAAATATAAGCCCCCTGAATTATTAGCCCACCTGTTCATTTTTCTCCAAATTTATGATTAACGGAGAGAATTTTTTTTCAACACATTTCTAGTCATAATAATCTTAGTAACTCATTTCTAATAACTGTTTTAATTGATCTTTTTTCATGATGACAGTAAATAATATTTTACTAGATATTTTACTAGATATTTTTAAAGTGACATTTAAAGGCTTAACTAGGTTAATTAGGTTAACTAGGCAGGTTAGGGTAATTAGGCAAGTTATTGTATAACAATGGTTTGTTCTGTAGACTACTGGAAAAAAAAATATATATAGCTTAAAGTGGCTAATAATTTTGACCTTAAAATGGCTTTTAAAAATAAAAAAATAGCTTTTATTCTAGAATAAAAAAACAAATAAGACTTTCTCCAGAAGAAAAAATATTATCAGACACACTGTGAAAATGTCCTTGCTCTGTTAAACATAATTTGGGAAATATTTAAAATAGAAAACAAAATTCAAAGGGGGGCTAATAATTCTGACTTCAACTGTGTATTGTAAAACCCAACAGTCAACTTTATCTAATAAATTGAGTGTAGTTAACTCAAAAATTACTGAAAGTTGATTCTACTCATTTGAAAAGAGTTTTTTGTGTTGAAGGTAATGAAATGGAGTAAGTTTACAGTACTCATATAGATTAGTTTATTTAACTCAAATGGTTTGTAGCAATCGGTTTCCTTAAACGGTTCGAGTTGCCTTAACTCATTGGGCATTACAGTACTCAGTTGGTTTGAGTTCTCTTCATTTATTGGGTTTTACTGTGCTCAAATTGCTTTATTTACTCAAATGGATTAAGTTCGTAGTACTCATCAGGATTAGTATTGAACTTGAATGGTTTGAATGGTTTGTTGCAATCAGTTTCCTCAATTGGTTTGAGTTATCTTAACTAATTGGGTTTTACAGTGTACAATTGTATTTAAAATGTTTGTTTATTTCTAATTATAATAAGGAATTATTTGTGGATATATTTAAGTTTTTTTCAATTAATGGAATAGAACATGTTATTTTAAAAGAAATCTTCTGTTACATTAAATATTTTCTCTCACTTTTGATCAGTTTAATGTGCTTTTTATGCATTTTATTATATGATTAATTGTTGTTATAATTCTATTATGGAAATACTTATATTTCTCATTATATTGCTGTTTGATACTTTTGTGGACACATTTTTTATTACTATAAAAGAACATCTTATCTAAACAGATCTTTTCTCTCGTTTTTGATCAATTGAATGCGTCTTTTGTGTATATATGTATATTTATTATAACTATAATAAGGAATTATTCATAAGTTGTATTTATATTGCTGCTTAATATTTTGTAGATTGACAAAAATTGAAAAGAACGTTTTAGTCATTCAAAACATTTGAATGGCAGTATATAAGATTTTTGCAATATTTAGCTAATTACTTTTTACTGTATTTTTGATCACACATTCAGCCATGGTGAACATAAAACATAAAATTACCAATACTATTAATAATAAATGATTAACATCTTGCAAATTTAAAAATGCAATGAAAATGAAAATGCAAATTTATAACACATTTTATACGCAATAGTAATTCAAAGAGCTTTACATAAACCAGAATTAAACAAGTATAAGAAAATAAAAACAATAGAATACAAACAGATAAACAGCATAGATAGTTATAGATAGTTCAATACAGTACACACTATTAAACTCCATTAGGGACACACTATAATTCACTATAATAATATTTTATATATGTTTTATTTATTTATTTTGTGCGTCTGTGTGTTTCTAGGAGGTTGGAAGTATCATTGGGAAGGTAAACATTTCAGGAATATTCTGAGTAATAATTATACTTCTGAATTTAGCATAAAAAGCAATGTACACATTTGATATAAATAATTTGTTTTGCTTTAGATATTATTTTAAATCATTTCCTCTTGTTTGGCTTTTCAGAAAGGAGAGACTGTCAAAAAAATGAGAGAGGAGGTAAGTGCCACACTGATCTACACAGTCAAACAAGACTAATCACTTTTCATTTATGAATATCAAAACCTACTTTAAGATGTCACATATTGAGCACATAATGAACAACATTTCCCATTAACCATTGACTGTTGCTTTAATATGAAATGTAATGGATCAACGCTGACTAGCAGTATAAAGATTCATATGAGCTCATTTTTGGAAACCACATGTTTTAGACAGCAAAAACTGGGATCTTTTTCAGTTTAATCAGGCTTGTCTTATTCAAATTATTTTATTTGAATGATCAGTTACATGGTATTTAACTGGGAGAGGGTGCTAATGTCAGCCCACAGGCGAGATTGATCAATTAAATGTGATGCGGCGCAAAAACCTCTGCTTTTCTCTGTGGATTCAGAGTGGAGCCCGAATTAATATATCTGACGGTTCCAGTCCAGAGCGCATTGTCACCATCACTGGGGCGTCTGAGGTCATTTTCAAAGCCTTCGCCATGATTGCAGAGAAGTTTGAGGAGGTGGGTGGAATTTTTCTAGTAACGAGTGGTTAAAGTTATGGGTGATTTGATTCATTTAGATTGTAGTGCACTGTTCAAATATTTATGTGGATTTGCAGAATATTCCAGCCATATATATAAACCAATTCTGCTGTGCAGTTGTTTGATTTAATTTATTATAGTTACTGTATAGTAAGAGTAGATTTTTATTACCACAATTTGTTGGTTAATTATTCTGTTGCTGCTTTTTTATTGTGATTCATGCCTTTTTCTTATGTTAATTTTTAAAAATATACTTATGAATTGGTATCATTTAGTCATTTTAGATAAAAAAAAATAAATACATTTTAAATGAAGATGTATGGGAATGGAACAAAACTGCGCACCTTGTTATGAACACACACAAACTTATATCTCTATATCTGAAGACATTGTATGATGAGACATATCCTAATGCTTCTCAAAGCTGAACTGGTGAGCAAAGTCAGCTGCAGTGTTGAATAAATTGCCCATTGAGATTCTCCACATTATCCTGTCCTGCTGTCAGAGGGTTTCGGTTACTTTAGAATGGCTCACCATCTTGCAAAGTCAGTGAAAGCTGGAAAATCAATCAAATATATATATTTCAGAATATATTACAGAAAAACGTAAGGTTTTCTATGTTTAGAGGTCACTGCTTAGTCTTATTTAAAGTTGAAAAAGAACAGTTTTATTAAGCCTATATTCTAAAGAACAGTAAAAAACTAAGAAGTTTCAAATTCCTCTGAGCTATTGGTTTAAGTTTGTAATTTCTCTAATTTCAAACCCTTTTTTAACTGACAGCTTAATGTTGTTTATCACTTTGGATTGGATCCTTGGACTGGAGATTATTCATTTCTAAAGTAACGTTCAGCCTAATAGACCTGTGTTAAATGCAAGCTTCATGACATTCAGTTATGTTTTTATTACTTTAGTATGAAGACATCTACATTGTCAAGTCAATAACACATTTTTTTTTAAAAGTAAAGTGCTGAGTGAAAAGAAGGCACTGCACTTGATGTCTACAAAAAGTTAGTCCAATCAAAGATGAATACAGTTTTTCTTTTATTTTGCAACATCAGAGGTCACAAAAATTGCAAAGTGCAAGAAAGTGCAATTCCTTTGTTCAATGCACATACAAAGTTGTATGTGCATTCCAAATACTAAAAAAAAAATAGACATTTGAGTATGGAACCACTGGAAGCATAAATTTTTACCTGGTTCTATGTTATTGTGGTACAGGACACAAAGTCTAAAATCAACCTCCCAGTTTGCAAGTTGTAATATCAAGTTCTACAAGGTCATGCAGACTTTTTACAAGCTGTAATCTTGTAGTTATGGTAATTTCAATATAGTGTTACACATACTTAACTTTCCAGTTTTTACTCACTTGGTGAAAGCACTTCATTACATAAAAATAACCATCTGTACTTATAGTCAGTAAAATGTCTGTTGAAGGAGCAGTTTCAGCAGATATTAAGCAGACAGTCTACTAATATTCAAATGAGAAGCAATTGGCATGTAGTTGCAACTTTTCAACTTTTAGTCAACAAAGTGTGCTATAGGGTGTCAGGAAGAAACCACAGATTCAATATGCAGGTGAAGATTTATTTTAACTTCAAAAATCAAAAATGCCTCAGACAGAGGATCAAAAATATAAAAGAAAAAGCACTGAATAAAAAGGGTAATTCAGGCAGCAGTAACTAGTACTGGACTGGTGTTCAATTGAATGTCCACAAGGTGGCGGACTCGTGGAGGTGGTGAGTATCCAGGCTTAGTGGGCGGAGCAGCCGGAAGACGAGCAGCTGCAGGTGGCCGGATGTCGGCAGGCGATGGAGTCCGAGCGCCCCAAGCAATGACACCGAAGATAGCCTGACAGGGCAGAAGAGAGATGAGCAGAGAGGGCGAACGAAAACCGAAACTAATCTCTATGGAGCCAGATAGATAACGTTACACAAGACAAGACAGGATAAACGCGGGTCTAGAGCGAGTGAACTCGCGAAACACACAAGACGGTCTGACAAAGACAAGGAGGCAAGCGGGAATTAAATAGAGGAGAAGATCAAGGAGCTACAGGTGACAATAATTGTTTAATAAGTGAATAACAAGGAGGTGGGGAAAAGGAAACGCTGACGGAAGAGCACATGGCGAACTGTCAAAACAAAGAGCATGTGCTCCGTGACGAAACATGAAGGCGACACGCAAGAAAACAAAATCACAAACAGGTAGGTCTAACACACTCCTCACATTACCCCCCCCCCCAGAAGCGCCTCACGGCGCCTCTAGAGGGGGCTCACCTCGTCGCCGACGAAATTCCCCGATCAGCGACTGGTCCAGAATATCCCGAGCCGGAATCCAAGACCTCTCCTCCGCACCATAGCCCTCCCAGTCCACCAGATACTGAAAGCCCCGGCCCCGGCGTCTCACATCAAGAAGCCTCCTCACCGTATAGACCGGAACGCCATCTACTAGACGAGGAGGAGGAGGGGCCGGGGAATGACCAATAGGATTAAGTTGGGACCGGAACACAGGCTTGACCCTGGATACATGAAAAACAGGGTGAACCCGACCAAGAGTGCACGGAAGCTTGAGCTGTACTGTCACCGGACTCAAGACCTTAGTGATCTGATATGGCCCTATGAACCTGGGTGCCAGCTTGCGAGAAGGCACCCGGAGAGGTAGGTCCTTAGTAGATAGCCAAACCTTTTGACCACAAACAAAAGGCGGAGCAGGGGTCCGGTGACGGTCAGCCGCCGCTTTGGTCCGTCTGGAAGCCTGGGCCAAGGCCTCCTTAGCCCTCTTCCAGGTGCGGCGACACCGACGAACGAAGGCAAAGGCAGACGGGACCGCGGCATCGGGCTCCTGAGCAGGGAATAAAGGGGGTTGATAACCAACAGAGCAATGGAAAGGGGACATACCTGTTGAAGCAACTGGCAAGGAATTGTGGGCGTATTCGACCCAAGATAGTTGCTGACTCCAGGTACCCGGATTCTGTGACACCAAGCAGCGGAGAGTTCTTTCAAGATCCTGGTTGGCTCGCTCAGTCTGCCCATTGGTCTGGGGGTGAAAACCTGAAGACAGACTCGTAGAGGCCCCGATCTGTCTGCAGAACTCTTTCCAAAACCGAGAGACAAATTGAGGCCCTCTGTCAGAGACCACATCCATAGGAAGGCCATGTATCCGAAAGACCTGGTCAATCACAACCTGAGCAGTCTCTTTGGCGGATGGAAGTTTGGGTAAGGGGATAAAATGGGCAGCCTTAGAGAAGCGGTCCACCACTGTCAACACAACGGTGTTACCTCTCGATGGGGGTAAGCCAGAGACAAAATCAAGGGCAATGTGTGACCAGGGGCGAGAGGGAATGGGGAGGGGTTGTAACAGACCAATGGGCGGCTGATTAGAAGTCTTATTCTGGGCACATACTGCACAAGCCAACACAAACTGCTTGGTATCTTGGGCCATAGACGGCCACCAAAATCGCTGTTGAATGGTAGCCAGCGACCTCCGGATTCCTGGGTGACAGGCTACTCTGGATTCATGACCCCACTGGAGGACTTCCGGTCTTAGCCGAATTGGCACAAACAGGCGACCCCCCGGACACCCTTCCGGTGTTTCCCCTCCTTGACCGGCCTCTCTCACCCGCCGCTCGACGTCCCAAGAGAGAGACCCCACCACCACTCCTCTCGGGAGGATGGCTACTGGGGTAGCATTCTCTCCAGGGACGTCGAATAGCCGGGAGAGAGCATCAGGTTTGATGTTCTTGGATCCCGGCCGGTACGAGAGGGAAAAGGTAAATCGACCAAAGAAGAGTGCCCAGCGAGCCTGACGGGAATTCAATCTTTTGGCTGAACGGATATATTCTAAATTTTTATGATCCGTCCAGACCAAGAATGGGTGTGCTGCTCCTTCCAACCAGTGGCGCCACTCCCCCAGGGCCAGCCTGACAGCCAGCAACTCTCTGTTACCTATGTCATAGTTTCGTTCGGCTGGGCTCAGGCGGTGGGAGAAGAAGGCACAAGGATGCACCTTCCCATCCCTAAGGGACCGCTGAGAAAGGACCGCGCCTACCCCCACTTCAGAAGCATCCACCTCAACAATAAACTGCCGTTCAGGATCTGGAAGAGAAAGAACAGGAGCAGTGATGAAACGGGACTTTATAACATCAAAGGCCTCCTGAGCTCGACTGTTCCATATGAACGGTACCTTAGGAGAGGTGAGAGCTGTTAAGGGTGCAGCGACCGAGCTGAAGTTCCGGATGAATCGCCTATAGAAGTTGGCGAACCCCAAGAACCGCTGCAGAGCCTTTCTAGAGTTGGGGATTGGCCACTCGGCCACGGCCCTTACCTTAGCAGGATCAGCCTTGATTCCCTCCGTCGAGACAATATGCCCCAGGAACGAAACAGACTTAGTGTGGAACACGCACTTCTCCGCCTTGACATAAAGCTGGTTCTCCAGCAGCCGCTGCAGCACCTGTCGAACATGCTGAGTGTGTACCTGCTTGGAAGGGGAAAAGATGAGGATATCATCAAGGTACACAAAGACAAATCTATTCACCATGTCTCTCAGCACGTCATTGACCAGGGCCTGGAAGACAGCCGGGGCATTAGTGAGCCCGAATGGTAGGACCCGGTATTCAAAGTGTCCCGTGGGTGTGTTAAATGCGGTCTTCCACTCATCCCCCTCACGTATCCGGACCAAGTGATAGGCGTTGCGGAGGTCTAGCTTAGTAAAGACCTTGGCTCCCTGCAATAACTCAAAGGCAGAAGACATCAAAGGCAGAGGGTACCTGTTCTTAACAGTGATGTCATTAAGACCTCTGTAGTCAATGCAAGGACGCAGAGAGCCATCCTTCTTTTTAACAAAGAAGAACCCAGCCCCAGCCGGGGAGGAAGAGGGACGGATGAGGTCGGCTTTTAAAGACTCTTGAATGTACCTGTCCATGGCCTCTCTTTCCGGACGTGAAAGGGAATACAACCGACCCCTGGGCGGAGAAGAGCCTGGGAGGAGCTCGATGGCACAATCATATGGTCGGTGGGGAGGTAAGGAAGTAGCACGGGACTTGCTGAAGACCTGACGCAGATCGTGATATTCCGACGGGACTCCGGAGAGATCTACAGCTTCGACCTGCAACACATGAGAAACAGAACCAGAACACGGGGCAGGACCAAGACACAAAGCAAGACAAGACGGACTCCAAGATAACACAGAACTAGTTGACCAATCAACATGAGGATTGTGTTTGGTTAGCCACGGGTGCCCCAATACTACAGGAGCACTCGGGGAGTCAAATAAATATAAACTAATATCCTCACGGTGATTGCCAGAAATAATTAAACTTACAGAAGGAGTGGAATGGGTGATGGAGGTGATGGTAAGACCATTGAGGAAGCGGACAGTGATAGGAGAGGAAAGAGGGATAGCCGGAATGCCCCAGGACTCAGCGGTGGTGCTGTCTAAAAAATTGCCCTCGGCTCCGGAGTCGATCAGGGCAGAGCACGAATGGACGACATCTCCGAATTGTAGAGAGGCTGGCAGTGAGGTACGGTATGTGGGGGTGTCAGAGCAAGGGATAGTGCCCACCAGAATCCCCCGTACTACTGGTGAGCGGGGGCTTTTAACGGACACCGGACAGCCTGATGACCCGGTTTCCCACAGTACAGGCACAAGCCCCTAGCCAACCGATGTCGTTTCTCCTGTGTGGTTAGCCGCAGATGCCCCAACTGCATCGGCTCCTGATCCGGAATGGGAGGAGGGGTGTGGAGCAAGTTTGAAAAGCCCTCCTCAGCCCTCCAGGAGGAACAGGTCGCTCGCCGATGTTGGCGGCGGCGGAGGCGGCCCTCAACACGGAGAGCAAGGTCAACCAGGGCGTCGAAGTCATGAGGGAGGTCATGAGTGGCGATTTCGTCCTGAATCTCATCATCCAGACCGTCCCGGAACCTCGCTCGGAGAGCTGCTTCGTTCCAAGCGCAGACCGCTGCTAGGGTCCTGAATTGAACAGAGTAGTCAGTCACTGAACGCCCGTTCTGGCTTAGCTGGGCCAAAAGAGAAGCTGCCTCATCCCCGTGAGCTGACCGATCGAACAGCTTGGTCATCTCATTACGAAAGTCATCAAAAGTGGCACAAAAGGCAGCACGTGCATCCCACACAGCGGTGGCCCAGTCTCGGGCCCTGCCCTTAAGAAGTGTAATCACAAATGCCACTCTGGACTCCTCAGTGGCGTAACGGCGTGGCTGGAGAGCGAAGACCAGTGAACACTGAGACAAGAAAGATCGGCAGGAGTTGGGGTCCCCGTCATATTGTGGTGGACAATTAGCGTGCGGCTCATGATCAGGGTGGAGAGGGAAGGCTGCCTGCCTACCGGCTCTGAGGTTTAGCTGTAGATCCTGGACTAGATCATTGAGTTCCGCAACACGAGCCGTCAGAAACTCAACCTCTTGTGAAGTGGCAGTTAATTGAGTAGCCTGTTGTCCTAGGAGAATGCCCTGCTGGGTCACTGCATTTCTCACTTGATCTGCACCTGCTGAATCCATAACTGGTCAGACCGTTCTGTCAGGAAGAAACCACAGATTCAATATGCAGGTGAAGATTTATTTTAACTTCAAAAATCAAAAATGCCTCAGACAGAGGATCAAAAATATAAAAGAAAAAGCACTGAATAAAAAGGGTAATTCAGGCAGCAGTAACTAGTACTGGACTGTAGTTCAATTGAATGTCCACAAGGTGGCGGACTCGTGGAGGTGGTGAGTATCCAGGCTTAGTGGGCGGAGCAGCCGGAAGACGAGCAGCTGCAGGTGGCCGGATGTCGGCAGGCGATGGAGTCCGAGCGCCCCAAGCAATGACACCGAAGATAGCCTGACAGGGCAGAAGAGAGATGAGCAGAGAGGGCGAACGAAAACCGAAACTAATCTCTATGGAGCCAGATAGATAACGTTACACAAGACAAGACAGGATAAACGCGGGTCTAGAGCGAGTGAACTCGCGAAACACACAAGACGGTCTGACAAAGACAAGGAGGCAAGCGGGAATTAAATAGAGGAGAAGATCAAGGAGCTACAGGTGACAATAATTGTTTAATAAGTGAATAACAAGGAGGTGGGGAAAAGGAAACGCTGACGGAAGAGCACATGGCGAACTGTCAAAACAAAGAGCATGTGCTCCGTGACGAAACATGAAGGCGACACGCAAGAAAACAAAATCACAAACAGGTAGGTCTAACACACTCCTCACATAGGGACCATTGAAATAAAGTGTTGCCAATGATTTATGAAGATATAGACTACAAACAAGTTGAATTATGCGCCAGTGCAGTTAAATAGATATACTTGGTCAAATTCCTTGAAATATTACCTAAGTTTAGTAAATAAAATGTCTTAAAATAAATATAACACTTATTCCAAAAACAAAATGTGCTTTGTCACTAAAAATCAAATATAAGTATGATTGAGTGTTGTTTTAATGGGCGAACATGTAACAAGTTACTACAGCTAAACTAAGAATAAGTGTGATTATTAAGCCTTTTATAACAGGCAAATCTAAAACAAGTTCATTCATTTTCTTTTCAGCTTATTTCCTTTATTAACCCAGGGTTCCCACAGTGGAATGAACCGCCAATTTATCCAGCATTTGTTTACGCAGCGGATGCCCTTCCAGCTGCAACCCATCACTTGCAAACACTCATGCACTGGCATTCAAACACATACAGTACGGACAATTTAGCTTACATAATTCACCTACAGCACGTTTTTGGACTGTGGGGGAAACCGAATTACTCGAAGGAAAACCACACAAACACAGGGAGAACAAGGAAACTCCATGCAGAAATGCCAACTGACCCAGGAAAGGCTCGAACCAGCGACCTCCTTGCTGTGAGGCGACAGTCCTACCCACTGCGCTATTAAACCAAGTTATTAGAGCTAAAATTGTCCTAAAAATACAAGGCTGGTCTTAAATTATGCCTTTAAATGCATTTAAGCTAAATTTACAGTTTTAATGCATGATCAAGCTCATACAATCTGATTTTACATAGTAATTTTTTCTTAAAAGATCAATAGGTTTTTACAGTGAGGTTGTCCAGATGAAGGTCAAGAGGACCTTTTCAGTCATAGCGAGAGAAGCTGATCAATCCAGTTATGCGATTACTATATTTCTAAATGTGAAATGTTTGCTGATTTAGTTTAACGATCTTTCTTTGTGCTTTGTGCACAAAATAAAACACTTTTTTTTAGATTATTTTAAAACATAGTTGTTGGTTTTTTAGCAGAAAAAGGAGCTTCACTATTTATAAGTGACAACCCAGTCTTAAATGTTAAGAAAATTGTATTAGATCTATAGCATGAGCCAGTTTCTATATTATAAGCCAGTTATATTATGAGTTGCATTATATTTCAGCTGCACAGTTCAAACCCAGTGTATTCTGTAACACTATTACTCTGGCTTTTAATGAAATGAATAGAAAGCAAATTAGGTCCCAGCCAGGGCGAACACTGATTACCATAATGATGACTTACAACTATTTACACTTTTATCCCACAATGCGGCCTGATACAGCTATTTTTAACAATGCTACAGCAAGTGAACTAGTCTGCATCTCACAGTAAACATTAAAAAGCAGCATTGAACTGTAAGGAATGACTTAAACCTTGTACATCTTGTCAACATCTTAAAGTATTGAGGTTTCATTTCAAAAAGCGTCAACATCCTGCAATAGTCTCTTCCCCGGTATACACTTGACTTTTATTTAAAAAGACACAATTGAATTGAGCTGCTTTTTGATTTGTTTATGCATCTCTTTTAGGATATCTTGGCATCCATGATAAACAGCACGGTGACAAGCAGGCCTCCTGTGACATTGCGCCTCGTCTTCCCTGCCAGTCAGTGCGGTTCGCTCATTGGTAAAGGAGGCTCGAAGATCAAAGAGATCAGAGAGGTAGATATTCTAGGTGGAGGTTTAATTGTCAGCAAACGCACAGGGTTTGTGATGCAGGTCACAGCGGCTCCCAGATGATGCACCGAATGATCCGTTAAACAATTAGTTTCCGTTGTCTCAGCGGCAGGCAGAAACACTTAACATCAGCATGATTGATTGTCCTCATCAAGACAGAACTTTTTATTCCTGAGCACAGGGGGCCGCTCGCCTCACACTTCCGCTAAATCCACACGTTATGAGATGCAGCACCCCTGAGCTGTAATTTGCTAAACTCTTGAACCCGCTCACTTTTCCTCCAACTTATCTATTCACGGTTTGCGCTGATGGAAAACAAAGCGATCCATCTCGCAAGCGGAACAATTTGTTGTCATTTAGCTGCTGAAATTGACGTGAGGAGGACACTGGCTTTAGCTTGAAGGCTTTGTTTTTTTTATTCGGCTGGTGGATCACATTGAATAAATATAGCTGTCCTCACTGCTGAGGGCTGTGAGGGGTGAACTGGCTGCTTTCATTCCCAGTTGCTATGAATGTCTAGGACAGGACGGCCCACCAAAGGCCTAAATAGACTCACATTTATATACAGTATCCAAATAGCGTGACCTAAATAACTGGCCAGACGATAACAATGTCAGTTCTAGACATGAGAATAGCTGTAATCCCAAAAGGGACTGTATGGCACACTTTTTTTGCCACTTTCTTTGAAAATAAGTCTAAATTTGTACACTCCACTTCCTCGGTGCTAAGATTAGAAATGGTGTGATTGCTTTTGCTTGTCCTGTTGTAATTATGCAAATAAGTTAGAACTTTGTGGATGCTAGATGTTATTTAGATAAAAAAGTGCTTGAGAAATATCCATATAACATACATTTTTGCATTTCCCAACTGTAAATTATAATAATATAGGTATAAAGACATTTCAGATGAAAATATATACTCATTAAAGGACTTAGAATGTCATTTAGCAGTCTGATATATTACATGTTATATTATAACACTCCCAAATGTAACACATTACATATCAGACCATTCACCCATGTGTCAAATAAAGTTCAGTTCATGTTCTGTGCTAATGGTGTGAACCTAGTGTGTGGGGTTACCAAACTTTTCAGCCCATAACCCACAAAATGTCAATGCCACTGACCTGTGACCCTCACTATCCCCGAAGGTGGTTAACAAACATTACGTGCAATGGTGCACATACATAAATAGACCTAAATTCAAAATGTTTTTTTATTTTTTTATTTGCACATTGGTGTTTTTAGGCTAGTGTATTGTTTTTTTTGTAGGTTATACTGTAGTTATTCATTCATTCATTCATTCATTTTCTTTTCGGCTTAGTCCCTTTATTATTCAGGGGTCGCCACAGCATGGGGAGAACATACTGACTCCACTTAAAAATGCAAACTGTCCCAACCAGGGCTCGAACTTGCGACCCTCTTGCTGTGTTGGGGTTTTGCTACCCACTGCGCCACAGTGACTTCAAGGTTATAGTTAAAATATGGTAATTCTAATAGGTTAGTAATCAGGGGTTGCCATAGCGGAATGAACTGCCACCTTATACAGCATTTGTTTTACGCAGCAGACGCCCGGCCAGTTTAGCTTAATTAATTCACCTACAGCACATGTCTTTGGACTGTGGGGGAACCAGAGCACCCAGAGGAAACTCACACGAACATGGGGAAAACATGCAGACTCCACACAGAAATGCAAACTGACCCAACAAAGGCTCGAACTAGTGACCTTCTTGGTGTGAGGCGATCGTGCTACCCACTGCGCCACCGTGACTCCAAGGTTATAGTTAAAATATGGTAATTCTAATAGTTTAATATAATTTGTTTGATTTTTGGAAATCACCAAGCAACCCCTCCTGATTGTTTTCACTTTTGAAACCACTGTGTAAGACTAAGGAGAAATGCTCCGGTTTTCCCCACAGTCCAAAGACATGCGGTACAGGTGGATTGGGTAGGCTAAATTGTCCGTAGTGCATGAGTGTGTGTGTGAATGTGTGTGTGGATGTTTCCCAGAGATCGAAAAACCACTGGGCATTCGCTGTGTAAAAACTTGCTGGATAAGTTGGCGGTTCATTCCGCTGTGGCGACCCCGGATTAATAAAGGGACTAAGCCGACAACAAAATGAATGAATGAATGAATGAATGTGAAGCGACAGGTCAGATGCAGCATGTCCAAATTTCTGTCATACTTACACGGCCAGGTCTAGGGGATGGCTAAGGTAAATTCTTCTTGTGCCAATCCATCATCCTGAGAGTACTACATTTTTGTGATAGTGTACAATATTTAAAAAACATATAAACAACAAATTAGTTACAAATGTGAAATACTAAAAATATAGTGTAGTTTAGTGCACTTAGCAGCACACACACTTATACCTCACAAAGACTCTCCTAGGTGACAAGACACATTATTGAAGTTCTAATCTAATAACTCTAATGAAAAAGGCATTACTAATTAAGCATAATAATTCTTAATGTGTGCAAAACTGCTTTGCAATCCAATCAAAAGTCTGACCAACAGTACATAATTACACTGCTCCACCATATGCATACTATCTATAATTATACCATTCAAAGCATAACCTTTTAATGCTTGTAAAATAAATTAGAATTCAAATATAGCACCCAGATCGTTGCAAATCTTGTCTTGTGGCTTTGATATAGAAATGAGGTAAGTTTATAAAGTAATTATAACTCAGATCAATATTTAATGTTTGTGAATTTATTTAATTGCTCATTATCATTAAATATACTCACTCAGACAGGCCAAGCTGGACTGCAAATGTGAAGCATGACTTACTTCTTGTAACAGTCAATACTAAAATAAGTATGAATGCTGTTACTTGTGGCTTTTCTAATCATCCCGTCCAGCATGTGTTGACTGAGAGCGTTGTTATGTGTCAGAGCACAGGTGCCCAGGTCCAGGTCGCAGGAGACCTACTGCCAGACTCGACTGAGAGAGCTGTGACCATCTCTGGCACCCCACACGCCATCACCCAATGCGTGAAACACATCTGCACCGTCATGCTGGAGGTTTGTCACTATGCTCTTTTTTAATTGAAAATCAGAGCGACTATGCATGATTTCCCTCGTGCTTAAATGTTTTTTCAGGTGGGGAATATTTTTCAGCTCTTTCTAACCTTCACGCTTCATTTGCATTCACTTTCAGTGCATGCACTACATGTTAAATGTTCCTACTTGCTTCATTAGTTCTCAGCATCCAACCTTGGATGCCTTTGTTTTGCAGAATTTTTCCCTCGCTCACATTAACTTTAGGTTTTGAATAATAAAATCCAGTGAGGCTTAATAGAGCTCTGGACACATACTGACTAGCGCCTCTGCATTTTTGTCCTGTCTTCCTTATTTAGTCACCACCTAAAGGAGCCACCATTCCATACCGACCCAAACCCTCTGCAGGTGGCGGCCACACAGTGTTGACGCAACCGCATGCTGCGACGGTGAGTTTTCCATCCATCTCTTAATGCAAAAGCCGTATGATCGAAACGGCCCTTCACAAGCATTAATGATTCCATAGCTCCCTGCAGTCCCAGTGGGGTGCTGTTAGTGTGGATGTTTACACTAATGATTACACCAAGATCAGCTGGCGAAATAAATCTAACCCCTAGACGCAATCAGTAATTCAGTCACCAATGGGGCCCTTGGACCATGCCAAGTGCTCTGAAACATGCAGATCAGCATCACTTTGAATCACTAATTCAGATCTGTAGGTGTTTGAATTGGATCCCTTCTTACTAATTGTTGTAAACACAGCTGTATATAGCAGGAGGAAACAATTCATTCATCAGTATTCCATTCTATTTTAATGTTCAAACATTGTAAATTATATGGCAAGCCTTTTTATCATTTAATTGATTAATATCTACTCTTATGCTTCTTGTACATTGGTAAAAGTATAAAGTATAAAGGTCTACTTTATCAGCAACAGTTCATCCATTCATTTTTTTTCTGCTTAGTCTCTTTATTCATCAAAAGTCACCACAGCAAAATGAACCACCATCTTATCCAGCATATGTTTTACACAGAGGATGCCCTTCCAGCTGTAACTTAGTACAAGGAAACACCCATACAGTCTCACATGTACACACTTATTCACTACGGCCAATTTAGTTTATTCAATTCACATATACTGCATGTCTTTGGACTCTGGGGGAAACCGGAGCACTCCAAGTCTACGTAAAACAACTAGCAGGAGTGGAAACCTTTTTTAAAGGTACTCTTACTTTTTTATGAGACACTAGAACAGGGGTGCCCAAACTTTTGCTTATGAAGGGCCAAAAACCAAACTTGATTGAGGGTGGTGGGCCGAGGGTAAATATATAATTAAAGCTGCTATGGTGATTTGCTAATGTATTATTATTCAAAAATAAATGGAAAAAGTACTTTAATTGAATGAATAATTATACTTTTTTGTTTACATTTTATAATAAACTTCTTATTAAAAAATATTGCTCTGCATTGTCCTCTATCTTCGAATGATAGAGCATTTACATTTTTAAAAATCTAATTTATGCACAACCTTTAATTGAAACATTTAATTTCAGTTGGGTTTTTTTGTAGCTCAACAATTAAACAAACAAACAAAAGCTTACGTTTAACTGGAAATGACGAACTCTGTTGAAGGCGTTCGCCTCAACCTTCCTATCATTCTAAATCTCTTCTCAGATGGCATAGAGGGCCAAATCAATGCGCCATTGTTTGCCCGCGGGCCCTAGTTTGGGCATCTCTGCACTAAAACTTATTTACAGGATTGGGAGTTTATCCCTTAAAAAAGCTAAAAAACTAAAAATAAGTCCTGTGAGGCTTTGAGGACCAATTTATAATTCAGAATTGATTCCATAAGTGGAATCGAATCCTCTTTTCAGTTTGAAAGAGCTAATTAACAGTTTATGATTAGAAATTGCTTGATAATAATAGACTCTTTCATTCATTCATTCATTCATTTTACTCATTATTTATTTTACTTTACGACTTAGCCTTTTTATTCATCAGGGCTCACCACAGTGGAATGAACGGCCAAGTTATCCACAACGGCCAGTTTAGTTTATTCAATTCACCTGTATCACATGTCTTTAGACTGTGGGGAGAACATGCAAACTCCACACAGAGATGCCAACTAACCCAGCTGGGATTCGAACCAGCAACCTTGTTGTGGTGAGGCGACAGTGCTAACCACTGAGCCACCATGTCGCTCCAAAAAATAGACTATGTAAATATTCATTCGTTAATTTTTTTTTTCGGCTTAGACCCTTTATTAATCAGGGGTGGCCACAGCAAAATAAACTGCCAACTTATGCAGCATATGTTTTACGCAGCGGATGCCCTTCCAGTCGCAACCCAACACTGTGAAACACCCATACACTCTTGCATTTACACTCATACAGTACGGCCAATTTAGCTTGATGAATTCACCTATAGCGCATGTCTTTTTTCTGGGGTGGAAACCAGAGCACCCGGAGGTAACCCACGTGAACACGGGGAGAACATGCAAACTCCACAAAGAAATGCCAACTAACCCAGCTAGGACTCTAACCAGCGACCTTCTTGCTATGAGGCGACAATGCTAACCACTGAGCTACCGTGCCATCCTAAATAATAGACTATGAAAACATAATATGGATTAACACGTTTTATTTGTTAAAGTTAATGCTGCTTGCTTTAGTTTTTAACTTAATTTCTAAAACTAATGCTGACATACTGTATTTGTACATGTGTTTTTTTTATGTACGTGCCTTATTTAAATATTACAAGTAGCTATTACAAGTAGCTTTACAAGTAGCTATCTTACTAGTCACAACTGCTTACTTGTCTTATGTTAAGAATATAAATAGTCTAAATTTAAGAGAAGAAAGTTTTTGGTCATCCAGTCTTTAACAACGTTAATACACTCACTTAACTTAGACAGTTCAGACGTCTCATCGGGTTTTGTTGAAATATAAAATTGAGTATCATCTGCATAGCAGTGAAAGCTGATCCCGTGTCTTCTAATAATGTCTCCCAGAGGTAGCTTGTATATTGTAAACAGCAAAGGGCCTAAAACTGATCCATGAGGCACCCCATACTTTACTGGCCTGAAAGTTGTCCATTTATGTTTATAAACTGGTAACGGTCAGTTAAGTATGACTTGAACTATAAAAAAGCCTGTCCCAGGACACTTGTAGAAGTTAAGCGATCTATGAGCCTATTTTGGCCTATGGTGTAAATGCAGAACTTACATCAATTAAAACAAAAACATTTTAACAAGTGTTATCACCCAAAAAATTTGTATTAATACCTGTTTAATAAGTGTTAGTAGCTACTCAATAAGTACCTTTATCTAATAAATATGTAATAAGTATTGGTATCTAAAAAATAAGCGCTAGTGCCTAAAGCTAAAATATAATATTCTAGTCAGAATGGTTTATATAATAAATGTTAAAACAGTTTGGCATAAAAATACAAACCAAATTCTGACCCTTTATTTTTGACATCTCCTCTTGGTATATTGTCCAAAGGGCTCCTGCCATTCATTTGAGTGGTCATGACATTTAGTTTGACTGAGGTGAGGACTGCAAAGGCTAGATGTCTGTATAATGAAAAATCATGTCAGCTTCAAGCTTCATTTGACTCTGCAAGATTAAAAATTGAGTTCTGTGTTTATGTTTTAGCTGTGACTGGTGGCAACATGGGGTGTACATGTGATGCCCCCTTGTGGTTACATTAATATGAACTTAATCATAATTGCACCTGACATATTTAAGTATGTTCAGAATAAATGTGTAAAGTCTGGTCCACTTTGACATTTATTCTGACCAATCATCATCACATTACCACAGACAGACTGTTTCACTGGTAGAGTGTTATTTCTATTTTATTTTAGGTTGTACCTAGGTTTTATTTTTGATTATACTTTTTGCTTAATATATTTTTTTATGATCATAAACAAACAATTACTGCACTTTACACTCTTAGAAAAATACCAAAAAAGTACATTCATGGCAACACGGTGGCTCAGTGGTTTGCAATGTCGCCACACAGCAAGAAGGTCCCGGGTTTAAGTCCCGGCTGGATCAGTTGGCTTTCTGTGTAAAGTTTGCATGTTCTCTTCAGGTTTGCGTGGGTTTCCTCCAGGTGCTCCAGTTTACCCCACAGTCCAAAGACATGCGGTATAGGTGAATTGAATAAAAAACTTAATTGGTTGTAGTGAATTTAGAACATTTGTCAGATTTTTGTGAATCTAAAATAACAAATAATTTGTATAAACAGTGCATCCGTCTTCCTAAACTGCTGGTATAAGAACTCAATAAGCAAAATCAACTTATTTCAAAAAGGACTGATTATTTAAAACTGCAAAATAATTGTTTTCTTGTAGATGTCAACCTTAAAAACTGACCTGGCCACTCTAGTTGTGCCTTACACGAGCCCATTGCATCAATGTGGTACCTGTTAAACAATTATTTCTTTTTTTATCCAGTACTTTATTCCTTTAAGTGATCTCATCTGAGCTTTTGATTTTTATAAAAGATTTCTAGGTTTTATGAAATGTGTATCATATAAACTGCAGATGGTTTTGGGCATAGCATGTCGTCTGAGCCTGACTAATGACCGAGCAGCAAATAGACGGATGTTATTTGAACTAACTTAAATGCTTTATCTGTTTCACAGGCATTTGCTATTCCAGGACAGTTTGCCATTCCACCCCAAGACGTGAGTGTTCGTCCTGCTGGCTGATCAGTATCATTCACGGCACAGCACACTTCACAACACCACTGCAGTGTCTCCCAGCCCTTGCACAACCACAAATATCCCACTGTGTTCCTCACACACACCTGAGAGCCAATCTCCCTTTCCCTCCAAACACACTCAATCCTTCACTAACTTAGGGCTTCCTTCAAACGAGAATACCAGATTATGATGGTCTCTGCCCACCGTTTCTTTAATATGTGCTGTAGTGTCACTAACATTGGTTATTTCGCATCACGGTTAGGACACAAATAAAGAACGTGTGTTAAATCAATCCATTACACAAATGCTATAATTACAGCAGTTGCAATGCAGCACTGTATTGATTAAACCCTACACATTATGGATAGGGATTGATTTAAACCTCTAAATTTAACTAGAACAGTTCAGTAACGTAATCACGCCTAACTGTTTCCAATACAGAATCTATTATGTGGTGCAGTGGTGTAAAGTAACAAATTACAAATAATCAAATTACTGTAATTGAGTAGTTTTTTCTCAGGAATTGTAATTTACTAAGTAGTTTTAAAAATGTGTACTTTTACTTCTCCTTGAGTACATCTTAGTGCAGTATTGGTACTTTTATTTCACTATTTTCCTTCTACTGCAGTCACTACTTTCTTTCTTTCTTGACTTTGGTGATTTGCTAAAGTAGAAAAATCAGTCCTTTAAGTCCTGTCTAATCAAATCACACACAGAACGTTAATTGCATCATACTGAACAACCTCAAGACATGGGCGCTTTATAAGTAACTGTTTGGAAGCAGTAAAAATGTCCAAGAAGATGTCCAAAATCTTTACACGCAATGACCCAGAGACTGTGTATAGACTGCATGTTACTAATGAGAAAATGAAGGATGTCGTCTGTATGATGACTGAAATCACCAAACAAATCACTAAATGGAACGAAAGAAGAATGGAAGAAAGGGCTGAATGAAGGAAGGAACGAAAAAGGAATGGAACGAAGGACTGAACAAAGTAAGGAAAGACCAAATGAATGAGGGTAGGATTCAAGGAAGGACTGAACAAACGAAGGAAGGAAAAACATAACGAAGGAAGGAAAAAAGTAACAAAGGAAGGAAGCAATGAAAGAAGGAAGCAATGAAGGAAGAAAGCAAGAAAGGAAGGAAAGAAGGAAGGAGGGAAGGAACAAAGTAACAAACGAAGCAACGAATGAACAAAGTAACGAACGAACAAAGTAACAATCAAACCAAGTAACGAACAAACAAAGTAATGTGCGAACAAAGAAACAAGTGAATGAAGCATTGAACAAACGAACAAATGAAGTAATGAACGAAGGAAGTAACGAATCAATGAACAAAGTAAAAAATTAACAAACAAAGTAACGAACAAACAAAGTAACAAACAAATGCAGTGACAAATGAAAGGAGTAACAAACAAATGAACGAACGAAGTAATGAATGAATGAAGTAACAAACAAAGGAACGAAGTAACAAACAAACGAAATAAAGAACAAACAAAGAACGAATGAATGAAGTAACAATCGAACAAAGTAACAGTTGAAAAAAGTAATGAACAAATAAAGTAATGAACGAAGTAGCAAACGAAATAACTAACAAATGAACAAAGTAACCAACAAATGAACAAAGTAACGAACAAACCAATGTGGTAACGAACAAAGTAACAAACAAATGAAGGAAGTATAGAACGAACAAACAAAGTAACGTACGAACCTAATTAAATGAGGAACAGGAGAACGAATGAATGCGTGAACGAATGAAGGAACAAATGAATGATGAAAAAATGAACAAACAAATAAATGAATGATGAAAGGCTAAACAGAACGAGCAAACAAAGAAAGGAATAAAGGAAGATAACTGAATGCACTAAAAAAATGCTACGTTTACACATACCTGCAAAAACCGCATATAAACGGATGAACTTTTCACTATGCAATACTCACTAATCATTACTCATTACTCTAGGTTACTTTTTACTCATACTTTGAGTTATATTTACAAAAGATACTTATACTCTACTTGCACTACATTTTTGGGCAAGTAATGGTACTTTTACTTTAGTATAATTTTTAAGTACTCTTTCCACCACTGATGTAGAAGATGAGAGGTAGAAAATGACAATTATATAATAATAATAATAATAATAATAATAATAATATATATATATATATATATATATATATATATATATATATATAAATGAAATGAAATGAAATGAAATGAAATAGTGGCCTTAAGTGATAATTTGCTCTGAAACATATTAATGCTATATTGATGTAGTATGTTAATACTTGGAGAGTGTACATTTATTTAATTTGATAGACAAATGTGTTTAAGAATGACTGCTACTCTAATACAAGTAAGAATAACAAAAACAAAATATTAATAATCTATTATAATGTAATTAGTGTTTATACATATAATTTAAAAGCTTTTGTTGACTTCAATAAAAAGCTAATATTACATGAAGCATTTATTCAGACATCAACTTTGACCAATACTGCAGTTTCATTGCAACAGAGTAGCGATTTTAAGTCGATACAATATATAAAGCCACAGGTACGAAAAACTAGTATTACTAGTATTAAAAAACGAACAAAGAAACAGCAAGATACACAGTGGGGAAAATAAGTATTCAACACGTCACCATTTTTCTGAGAAAATATATTTCTAAAGTTGCTGTTGACTTAAAATGTCTACCAGATGTTGATAACAACAAGCAAGTCTATATAAGAAAAGCAACCAAATCTAGATTGTTCATGAATTAAGTTATGTGTAATAAAAGCAAATGACACGAGAAAAAAGTATTGAACACATAAAGGAAGGGTGTATAAAAAGGCAGTGAATGCCCAGACAGCAGCTGAAATTTCTTACACGGAAATGTAGTTATTCAGCAACCCTCCGCTTTTCCTCAGTGTAAATTAAGGGCAGTGGGTTGCTGAATAACCTATGAGAGCTTTCAGCTGTTGTCTGGGCTTTTACCGGCTTTTTACACCTCCCTTTCTTCATGTGTTCAATACTTTTTCCACCGTATCATTTAATTTTATTACACGTTACTTTATTTGTAAACTAATTAGATTTGTTTTCTTTTATGTGTATTTCTCAGGTTGTTGTCAACATCTGGTGAAATTTTTAAGTGAACAGCACCTTTAAAAAATATTTGTAAGAAATTTAACAAATTTTCTAAGAAAAATGCTGACATATTGAATACTTATTTCCCCCCACTGTAAATTCACACTGTGCAATATAGGCAAATTTATTTCAAGTCAGTGAACAATATTCAATAAAGTAAACAAACAGGTGTGAAAATGTATTTGTATTTGTGAGAAATCAATTATACTACAATACCTAAGAATACAAAATACTTTTAACAGGAGATAACTGCAGGGTGATTTGAACACTCTTTTTTCTTCACTTATAGTTATACAGTAGCACCCAGTAAATATGAATGAACATCAACAAGACTATGCTACAACTACAATGTACATTTCAACCACACATATTGTCATCAGTGTCATGTTATGTTACATTTATTTTTTTATATTAATTCACCCGCTTTCTTTACAGCTTTCTTTACACCCGCTTTTTTTTTATCTGATTACTTTTTTTTTTATCTGATTACCTGATATATAGAAATAAATCAATGCTAAAATTGAATTAATCTATATTAAAACTGAATCGCAAGCTCATGAAAGAAAGCAGATTGTCCAATTTGTGTCAATGCTCTACTCTAATAAAACCCATTAGCAAGATGGTCTGCTGATAACAAACAAGCGGGACAGGAAACCTGAACAAGATTATATTGAGTCAATTAAAAAGTACATTTTTAATGTTTAAATTAAAAAAATACATATTTTTTGTATAATTTTGCTGTTAGAAATGCAAAAGCCGAATAATCATTTAAAGCCCACTAATTAATCTGTGATTTAATTTAAAACTATTTTATTCAACTAAACTAATGTAATTGAACAATTATTTGATAAATGATTCTAATAATAATTAGATTAATAAAAATATACATTTTTCCTAATGTAACCTCAGTTACAGACTGAGAAATAAAGCTGCAAATATATGCTTTAATGTGAGACATGCATTAGATATGAAAGTTTTGCTTAAATTTGGAATATAAACCAGGCTACTGTGACAAGATTTAAAGGTAATGCAATGAAGCTCTGAGATATCCAGACTGTATAAAATAATTTAAATTATCATATATTTTTAGTTTCATAAACATGATTTTTAAGAAATTTGAGATTAACTCACTGTAAAAATTTAACCAGCAATTATAATATGTTCACAATTCATCCGAAATTCATTCTGAGTTGTGATTGGTCTTGCATGTAACATCTTTAACACTACCTCTGCAAAGACATCATCAAGTCATCTGTTAATTCTCAGTGACAGCTGGCTGAAACCCAGATATATGTCATAAACCCTGCAGAGCGACTTAGATGAATCATTTCACTCAAAACCTAAACACACCTCAAACTTTAACTCAATTCTGTACCTGCCCCACAAGCACTTTAATCCCCCTGAGGAAAAGCAAATCTAGTTTTTCGATCATCTTATTTGGGAGAAGTGGACGGTAAGTCCAGAGGGGGAACCTGATAGCTAATCAGATGTTGAAATTTTAATATGGGTGCAGTTCTGTCTGTGTGTTCCGAAATAATTCCATTTTGATTGGCTAGTTCTAACCTCCCTTCCTGCCCCCGCAGTTGACCAAGCTTCACCAGTTGGCTATGCAGCATATCCCCCTTACCTCCCTTGGGCAGAGCAACCCCACCTTCCCTGGTACGTACCCAAAACTCCCCAGGGAAGTCTGTCTCTCCCTCTGTCTGTCTCTCTCTCTCTCTCTCTTGATCTGTCTTTTTCCTTCGTCTGTCATGTCTCACCACCTCAACCGCATGTTCTACTTTTCTGAAGAAATTGAGGGCGAAGCTGTTTTTGTGGTAAGGCAACAAATATCATAACACTGCCAACATAATGCTGCACATGCCGTGCTATAGGATACCATCACTAACCAGCTCCAAAGCTTTATTCAGGGGCAGACTGGCCATCTGAAATTTCTCTGGACAATTTGGGCCCTTTGCTATTTGTGTATACTGTGTATATAAAATGAAAATATGTATTCAATAAGTAAATATTCAATAAGTAAATATATACAAGTTCATTAACAGGTTCTCTCTTTTTATTTATTTATTTATTATTTTTAGATATGGACTGCATTATAGGACCTTGATCTCTGCTCGGTTAAATTTTGATGATGAAAATTCAAAGTGACATTTATTTACCTTTTTTTTTTAAGTAATATTTTAGTAATATGAACTATTATATTTTATAATATAAGTAAGTCTATAGAGTAACTTTACCAGGCTTTAGTACTCTAATTAACAATACTAATACAGACGATGACACATCAAACTGTTATAAATGTCAGTTAAAGAGCACCTATGATGAAAATGAACTTTTGTAAGCTATTTGGGAACTGTGTGTAGGTATAGTGTTTCCACAGTCATATTGGAGTAATATAAACCTAACAATTATTTTTTAATTGCTTGATGTTAAAATAGGACCCAAATCCCAGTGATTTTAAGGAGATGTAGGAGTGCAACTATCTTTTCCAACTCTGTAAAGTTTTATAAACGTTTTTAAAACAGAGCATGTTTGTAATAAAAACAGTAAAATCGCTATGTAATTCTTAACCGCTATAATTACCACAACCACATGGTGTCAGTAAACGCTAATATGTGTGTGTACTGCAAAGGCATTTTTTGTGTGACTCATCGTTTCAGAAAGGCTTGAATAAACTCCACCACAAAGTTTCAATAGTGTCTGTTTCTATCACTGACTGCCGTTTATCTGACGTAACGCATGAGAAGCAGACATGCCATTGGGAACGGTGAGCGGGGAGAAGCAACTGCTTAAAGCCCCTGCAACACTGAACTTAGACACCAAAATGGGCAGATTCTGAAGGCTATAATAAATAATTGGTATTTTGGGTATTTTGAGCTGAAGCTTTACAGACACATTCTGGAGACACCAAAGGCTGATCTTACATATTGTAAAAGGATTAAAATAGGTGCCCTTTAAAGTCACTTTAAGGTCCCATAATGCAATCCAGAAGCATAAATACATGGAAACGAATGGAAAAATACAGAAAACTGATAATGAATGGATATTTTTTTTTATATACTATTTTATTTATAATAATTATGCTCTAGCATTTTAACAATGGACAGTACAAGGTAAATTGTAAAAGGGCTGAACATGAAGAGACTGAATGCAGCAATATTGTCAAGTTATTTAAAATGAAAATGTTAAATAAGGCAGCCTGTCCAGATTTAAATAGATTGGACAGTTCAGTACAGCCTTGGTCAGACAGTGATTTTTTAAAATGATGTTAGACTATTGTATAATTTATCTATTATTACAAATTTAGTAAAGTAGGGCTTTTGTTGTTAAAGTAAATTTTGCCAACTGACAACCGCCGTTCGATAATTGAATTTTAACTGTTCACTGGTCAGATCAATATTAAATTATTATTTAATAATAATTAAAACAAATGTATGTGTCTATTCTGTGTTTGACACATTTCGGCCCAATCCCAATTCTACCCCTTAGCCCTTCCCTTCACCCCTACCCCTCGTTTTGCACGTGCATGCCAAGAGGTAGGGGTGTCCCAATTTTCTTTAGCTTGAAGGTGTAGGGCTAAGGGGAAGGGGTGAATAGCCCTTCGAATGAAGATTTTTCAGGACCACACTCGACACCAAGGGGTAAGAAAATTTGACAAAATTCACCAGCCAAAGCAGCAGGATTGCTGAAACCGGAAGTAAGGAGATTTACAATTTAGTATTTTTTGTCATTATTACAAAATTTTACGACAAACAAACACATTTTAATAAATTCATAACCGCATGATCTTTTACCATCATGCTTAAAAAAAAAAAAAAAAAAAACGCTAAATTTCGTGATCTATAATCCATAATATTGACTCCTGTACAGCAGTCTCACAACATTTTGACACTTGATGACCCTCAGATACCCTGTCAGTAATGTTTAGTGGCTAAGAATGAACTTTTTACAGTGTCTGCTATAATGTTAATGTTGTTTTTGTGTGTTTACATAGATGAATATGGCCACTGTGTAAATACACAGTACAGTACAGTACAGAGTGATCTCATTGCCACATTAGATCGTTACGATAACATAATATATGCCTTCAGTGATTTCCTGAAGATAAATACCAAAAAATAGCACAACTGGAATAACTACAGCATTCACGACCGCGGTCTCATATGAAGCAAAAGATTGCGATGACATGTAATGTCGTGTACAGGTGCTGGTACAAAAATAGAATTGGGTTTGGGCCTGAATTTTGCATTTCAAATTACTGATTTATTTTAAAATACGAACAACAACATGCAGAAGATATTGACAACAGAACATCTTCATGCAGTGTTTCCAACAGCATAGAAAAAAGAATAAAAGATTAAAATAAATAGGCCTTCCATAGAGTTTTTTTTTCACTTAAATGACAAATTTAGATTACAAAACAAAAACACTGACTGTATCCTTTTTAAGGACCGGCATAGGCTGTTTTTCCCCATCATATGTTTTTTTTTTTTCGTCAAATAAAAATATCAGGCTACCTCAAATCGATCACCTCACAAAAAATGCCTTTGATTAATGCCCTAATCTAATTCTTGTATAACAAACCTCTGTCAAAAATTTTAATAAAAGGGATTAGTTTAAAGATTTTGTCAAACTATTAAATTCCATACATTTAAAGCACAGGTTAAGCTTAAGCTATCATTTCATGTTGTAGCCTGAACACATTTGTAAATGATATATAGAGTTGAAGTCAAAATTATTATCCCTATTTGAGATTTTAGTTCTTTAAAAAAAGTTTTCAACAGAGAAATTTTTTTAAAATAATAGTTTTTATAACTTATTTTATGTAAGATTTTATTCAAATAGATAAAAAAAATTCTCTAAAAGAAATAATACAGGAAATTATATGAAAATTCCATTGCTCTATTAACCAACACTTTAGATGCATCACTTTCATTTCTTTATGATGGTCTACAGTATCTTTAAGTTTGAATATGGGGTTATAAATTGCAAATCTAGCTGGTGTTTCATATGTTGTGTTGCCAAGTCCAGGGCCACGGTTTAGTCCCAGTCTGCCTCTGGCTTTATTAGCCAATGTTGTCATAAGATTCTTCAAATGTGTCATGTCACCATAATGACGGCTATGTGATGCATATGTGTCACCCCTTTCTCTCCCTACATGTGAACTCATCACAAATGTTTAACATTCTTTCTCCCTTATGTCACTCCACACCTCCACAATACCCTTGACCCATTCAAACCGCCAGCATTTGTTCCTGAGCAAACCTGAAGCCCACTTTTACAGCAGCCCACATTTGTCATGACAAACAGAGTCCACGTATTGCAATTGCCAGCCCATAATTATGACTGTGGAAACAGGGAGTTGAAGAGATGCAGCCTCTTCAGCGACGTTTCCGATAATGTGCTCTATTTGGAAATGCTTTTATGGGTGTTTTTGAATCTCAGGCAGATGTGAATTAAGCAGAAATTCATTCATGACTCAGCCTCGGTGGCAGCCTTAGTGCTTTCGTATTTTGTGTAATTTTGATGTGATGTTTATTGGATGTCGTTTGAGCAGTCTCATTGACAGTGTAGTTATGTTTAAAGTTTCATTTTGTCAGACACTGAGTCGTGTGTGGCTTACCTTATCATTTCCCTGCATAGGTCTGGAGGCCTCCATTGCAACCAGTTCTCAAGAGTTGAGCATACCTAATGATGTAAGTGATATGTGTTTAGAATGGGATGCAATTAGCTTGTGGCAAAGTGTTGCATTGTTTAATGTTATTTTTTTTATGTACAAAAGCTAAAAAAAGAATTTAGTCTTGATCTTATAAATAAGCAGAATTTCTTTGTTATTTGTGTTGAAAAAAAGTGAATTAAAAAAAATAAAATCATAGTATATAATATATAAAATAGTTTATATTCTATATTTATTAGATAGTAGGGGTTTGATTAAAATGTTAATATTTGTTTTATTCTATAAAGATCTGATAATATTTCTTCCTAACTTCATACTGATTTTAACCAATTCATTTTATTCAGCACATTAAAATATTTCAATTAAGACCTTATTTTTGTGTTTCGATTAGAAGCCTGCCTTACTTTACTTTAAAATGCATGTCATATTTTGGATTTCTTGAAATGAGTTGCATGTACCTTTTCTATTCTCACAATGACATATTGTTTCTCTGATCATGGATTAAATCAATCTATTATTCAGCACCCGCTTGCAGAATCTATTTGGTAAAATCCAAGGCATGCCATACAGTACAGAACAACTTCCATGTCCTCGAGGTTCACTCTCAAGCTTGGTAGACTATTAATGTCCAGATGTTATTTACCCCTCACCCGTCTGTCTCGGTGTCTCTCAGCTCATCGGCTGCATCATTGGCAGACAGGGCAGTAAGATCAATGAGATTCGCCAGATGTCTGGTGCCCAGATCAAAATTGCCGGGGCCACAGACGGTTCGGCAGTTCGCCACGTCACCATCACGGGCTCCCCGGCCAACATCAGCGTGGCTCAGTACCTAATCAGTGCCAGGTAAGACCTTTAACTCTCACATTCGACATGATAGTTCTAAAGTGAAATTCTGTCTTCATTTATTTACTCACCCTCATGTCATTCCAAACATCTATGCTGTTTTCCCCATGGAACATAAAAGAAAAAAATTAAACATTAATAAATTTTTTTATTTTTGTATAATGACAGTTCAAACTACAAAAAGGACATCATAAAAACAGTATAAAACCAGTCCATGGGGTGCTGATCTGCAATTTACTATTATTTTCTGAAAGAATTGTAAGCTTTTATTCAGCAGGGCTGCATTTATTGATCAAAATTAAACGTAAATATGTTCATAATGCTTCATATATAAAATAAATGATTTGTGTTAATTTTTATTAATTAAAGAGTCATTGATCCATGAATTTGTCATGGTTTACACAAATATATTAAGCAGCACAGTTGTTTTCAGCACTGATTAAAGTATTTTGAGCACTAAATCAGGATAATTTCAAAAGCATCACTAAGGACAATAGAGAAATTATACTAAATTAAATGCAGCTTTAAAATAAAATAGATCAATTACATTTAAAATGTATTAAAACAGAAAAGTTATTTTTTAAATATGATACATATATATATATATATATATATATATATATATATATATATATATATATATATCAACGTCTAATAATGCTACACCTTGACATTTTATGAACTTTACTACTAAGACGTTGGATTTGGTCACTTTCCAACACAATCTAAAATCAACCAAATATCAACATTATTTGACGTTGTTATTGGACGTCAAAATAACATTGTCCTTAGATGCTGGTTAGACATTGAATTTTGGTCACCTGATGCCATGACCTAAATCTAACCTAAGAGTAATGTCTTAGGATGTTGTGTGCCTGTTGGGTGCCATCATGCCTGATATGAAATCTACACCTTCAAAATATTCAATAAATAACAAACTTCATTTTTAGCACATGAAACTATATTATTGAGAAGACTTGGAATGTAGTGTAACTTAGTGTAATATTTAATTTTTTTTCATTAAAACGCAAAATGGAAAGCTTGTGCATTTTATTATTTGCACTTTGCTACATTTGATGAACTCTAACCTGCAAATTCATATTACAAAAGCCTGTGTAGATGCTAGAATACTGATTTGGAGTAAACTGTATGCAAAGTCTAGGTAGTGCTGTTGCCTCACAGCAAGGAGGTCGCTGGTTCGAGCCTCAGCTGGGTCAGTTGGCGTTTCTGTGTATAGTTTGCATGTTCTCCCTGCGTTTGCATGGGTTTCCACCGGGTACTCCGGCTTCCCTCACAGTCCAAAGACATGCGGTATAAGTGAATTGGGTAGTCTAAATTGTCCATTGTGTATGTGTGTGAATGAGTGTGTGTGGCTGTTTCCCAGAGATGGGTTGTGGCTGAAAGGGTATCCGCGTAAAAACGGGCTGGATAAGTTGGCGGTTCATACTGCTGTGGCAACCCCAGATTAAAAAAGGGACTAAGCCGAAAAGAAAATGAATGGATGAATAAAAGTCTAGATTGAGTGAGGTTTAAACCCACATCAATTTTCATTATACAGTCAAAACAAGAGCACCATTCTACAGAATGTCTCCTTTTGTGCTTTACAGAACAAACAAAAGCCATGAGAGTGAGTAAACAAAACCTGACAAAACTAGATGAGCTATTCAATTTACCCAATCAGTTTTACAGTACAAAATGTGTAATAGACAGCACTCAAATGATCTGTTTCATCTCACCCTTTTGCCACGCCTTTATTAATTTTCATCCAGGCATGTTATACCCTATTATTATTCCTTCTTGTAACACGTAACATTCCCTGAATTGATGATTCTTTTTTCTATTTCTCTCACCCCCTCCTCCATGTCACTCTCTCTCTCCTCTTGTGTGGCCCATAACCCCTCTATTAACCTCACGCTTGTCCCTCTCCATTTGCATGCATCTCAATGTGTGTCTTCAGTTTAGAGATGGCTAAACTGAGCATCCAGGCTGCGTCGTCCGCCAGCGCCGGTGCACCAATCGACCTCGGCCTGGGCTTCTCCCAATCCACACCTTCCGCCTCCACACCCTCCTCCATGGCCGTCCTGACTGCTTCCCCCTCCGCTATTAACGTCCACTCGCCTCAGTCCGTCCCCTCCATCCCCAGCGCCCATTACGCCTTGCCTGTTTCCAGTCTGCTTGGCATGAAAACCGTTCCCCTGCTGGCAGTGCACGCAGCCTCATCCGCAGGCCTTCCGGCAGGCCTCACTCCCTACACCACAAAGATCCCTACCTCATCCGGCATCAAAAAATCTGATCGGCAGAAGTTTGCCCCGTACTGAGCGGCTGTGGTCTTGTCTCATCCGTAATGTTGTACTTGTTTGTTATTTAGTCATGAATATTAAACGATTAGTTCACTTCAAGAATGAAGATTTCCTGATAAAACTTCGCCTTCGGCAAGATATTACTTTATTCAGATTCAAGAAATTTAGATTTTTGGGGAAAAACATGGAGGATTTTACTATATATATATGTATAGTAGCCTTTTTTGGTTGTTACTTTTTAAACTACACTTTTATTGTTCAAGTGAAGTAATTTCCCTTAAAATAAATAAATAATTTTATATATTTTGTGACCACAAAAGCTTGCCTATAACTATTGCCAGACAATATTTTCAGTAGGTGAGATCATTATTGAATGTTCAAACCACTGAACACCATAGAAGTCTACTATATATAACAACTATATATAACAACAACAGCAACAACAAAAATCCAACACGTTTTCCTCAAAATCCTTCATTTATTCTTGACAAAAGAATTTCATTCTGGAAGGGAACTAATCCTTTAACTAGACTAAATTTTGTTTTACATGTCTCTTTGAAACATTTCACCAAGAAATAGTGAGAGCATGACAAGATTAATCTCTTCTTATTCTGTATTGTCTTCCATTTTGTTTGACATTTCATTTGGAAGTGTTTGAAATATCCATCTTGCACTATATAATTTATCTGACAGTCCCTGTTTTTTAAAGCCAAAGCCTACAGGAACTTGATATATTGGTACTATGCAGATCATGGTGTAGAATGTGTATTTCTCTCTCTCTCTCTCTCTCTCTCTCTCTCTCTCTCTCTCTCTCTCTCTCTCTCTCTCTCTCTCTCTCCCTCTCTCTCTCTCTCTCTCTCTCTCTCTCTCTCTCTCTCTCTCTCTCTCTCTCTTTCTCTCTCAGGCAACATTAATAGGCAACATTATTAGCCCTCCAGTTTTTTCCTAATTTTTCCCAAGTGACATTTAACAGAGCAAGCAAATTTAATTTTATTTACTATAACTTACAATAACTGCCCACTTTATTTGGTACACTGGTCCAACTGCTTGTTAACGCAAATTTCTAATCAGCCAATCACATGGGAGGAATGCATTTAGGCATGTAGACATGGTCAAGACAATGTGCTGCATTTAAAACTGAGCATCAGAATGGGCAAGAAAGGTGATTTAAGCGACTTTGAACATGGCACCGTTGTTAGTACTAGACAGGTTGGTCTGAGTATTTTAGAAACTGCTGATCTACTGGCATTTTTAAACCATCTCTGGCGTTTACAAATAATGGTCTGAAAAAGAGGAAATATCCAGTGAGCGTCAGTTCTGTGGGCACAAATGCCTTGTTGTGGTCTCCACATATGGCCTCCACAGGCACCAGATCTCAACCCAATAAAGTATCTTTGGGATGTGGTGGAACGGGAGATTTCATGTCCATATTGACATGATAGCAGCAACTGTGTGATGCTATCATGTCAATATGGACCAAAATCTATGAGAAATATTTCCAGTACCTTGTTAGAATCTATGCCACTAAGGATTAAGGCAGTTCTGAGGGCAAAAGCTGGTCCAACCCGGTACTAACAAGGTGTACCTAATAAAGTGTCCGGTGAGGGTATATACAGTATGTTTAAGTTTGGCTGCAATAAAAACATTTTTTCTAACTTTTACAATGTTTTTAAGGCAGCCCCAGAACACTGTTGTCCAGTCTTTTGTCTAATTAACCTAAGATCCCTAATTATCCTAGTTAAGCTTTTTGGGAAATATTTGAAAAAGAATTTACGTTCCACAGGAGGGCTAAACGTTTTTACTTTTAACTATTTCCTGTATCTTAAATGTGTTAAAATAGCTGTTATCATTATTCCTGTATATTGATATAATATGCAAAGTAATTTAAAAACAGGGTGTACAGGATTTAAAAAGCGTTTCACAACAATTTAGTATGACTTACATTAGTCTACTTCATTAGCATAACATTAGATCAAATATCTAATTAGTGTTATTATTACTATTATTTAGTAATATCCTTTTCATTTATTGCTGCAGAGAAAATGAAAACATATAGTACCAGTGCTTAAGATGAGGGACAATCAATAATAAAAAAACACTTAATGATATATGTTCATCTGATAAAGGATTTAGATGATCTAAAAACTACTTCATGGAACCCACTTCTTGATCATCTTAGGTCATGTTCATCACAAAGTTACTTACACAATGAATCATGGGAATGAAAAGTGTCCCTTTTGAAATCTGTCATCTGTCATGATATTGAAGGGCTCTTTGAAGTATGCACTTTGGTTTGGAATGATCCTTGAGTAATGGCTGCCATGATTGTTCTCAATCCGAGGCACTCTTTGCAGACACATTTGTCCCATTTATCCTATTTGGGCAGCCTCTTCCTAAAATATATTCAGCAGCTTTGTATTTTGATGTATTAAATACAACTGTAATGTTATAATGTTTCCAAAATGTGCAAACTGGTTTTAATAATCTCAGTGTACTGATGACTAATAAAATATTATCTGGAAAATATTTATTGGAATATATTTATGTACTTTGTAATAAGTTCATAGTAAATCTTTTTTTGAACAATAGTACTGTAGATATGAGTAGCATTGAACCTGAGTAGCATTTTAATTTAAAGGGATGTGCTTGGACTTTCATAATTTTTAAGCAGTTTTTTAATGTATGTATATATTATTGCAAGGTGGTTTTATTCATAAAATGGTGTCTTACAATGCACATCAATACATGTATTTAAAATCTTAAGTTAACGTTATCATTTTGACAGTCTTTACTGTTCAAAGTCTTGGGATTTGCATTCTTTTAAAATACATTTTTTAAATAAAGCTCACCAAGGACATGCTCAACACAAGATGCATTAAAGGCTATTATTATGTAACAAAACATTCAGTTTCAGATACTTATTTGCACTAGAAACCTAGTTATTATTAATTGTTTAGTTCCACAAAGTAGCATTTTTAAACCAATTATAATACGTATTTCTGAATAACAATTACACATATTTAAATGATTTCTGAAGGATTGTGTGACTGGAGTAATGACGGTTAAAAGGTATTTTCATTTTTAAATAATTTACAAACGGAAAAAAAGATATTTAAATGGCATATATTTTTACCCTTTAACTGCCTGCTCTACCAAATGGTTGACCATGTATTGACTGTTTTATATAATGACTGTCAAAGTCATTTAAAGAATGGCTGTTTTAAATTCAATTCAACTTTATTTCTAAAGCGCTTTTACATAAGCGTTTTTTTAAAACTGTGTCAGTCCAGTTTTCAGAGTTTAAGTTCAGTTTTAGTTCAGTTCAGTATGGTTTAATTTTCACTGCTAAAAGTTCAAACATCGAAGAGCAAATTCATCATTGCGCAGCTCCACAAGTCCCAAATCATGCAAGCCATTGGCAACAGCGGCAAGGAACAAAATTCACCAATTGATGAAAGTGAAGGAAAAAAACCTTGAGAGAAACCAGGCTCAGTTGGGTACGACCATTTCCCAAATGCTGGAGAACGCTGGACGTCACATTGTGGAGAAACTGCGGGAGGAGAGGTTACTGGCAGGTGTACAGATACCTTCAGGATCAATGCGAAGACTCATGTCACTGGGGTCTTACAGGAATCAGTCTCATGCTTTCCACTCCTCCATGACCACCACAGCAGCTGCTCAGGATACGGCCTGGTCTAAAATTATGGAAACCTCAGGAATAATAAAATAAAAGTTTAACAGTAGTGCAGATGCCGTTCAAATTATAATGTCTTTTGGGAAGTGTTTCTGGCTCCGGCTGCCCTAAATAATACAGACTAACAATCTTTTAGAGGATTTGGATTTCAAAAGCATTTGTGTTTTATGTGTATGCTAATGCAATGAGATGTGTCATTAATCTAGTTTTAAATGGACAGAGTGTGTCTGCTTCATGAACTGTGCAAGAAGGGCTGTTCCAGAGTTTAGGTGCCAGATATGAGAAAGATCTACCACCTTGTGTTGATAATCTGGGAATAATCAATTGTCCAGAATTAATTTAACGTAGTGGACGTGAGGGCTATAATACACTAGTAGCTCCCTCAAATACGGGTGAGCTAAGCCATTCAGGGCTTTGTAGGTAGTCAATGAGATGTTAAAATTTACATGATATTTAAAAGGGAGCCAATGCAATGATGAAAGAACTGGAGTAATAGGATCATATTTGTTTGTTCTAGAAAGCACTCTAGCAGCTGAATTTTGAACTAGCTGAAGTTTGTTTGTTAGGGCCAACAGGGCAACCATATAGTAATGCAATACAACCAAGAGGTCATGAAAGCATGAATAAGCTTTTCTGCATCAGACAATGATACCATATGTCAAAGTTTGGCAGCATTTTTGAGATGAAAAATGCAGTTTTACAGATGTTTGAAATCTGACCTTCAAACGAAAGGTTGCTATCAAAAATCACCTAAATGTAAACTAGATGTAGTGTAAATAATGGTTTACACTACACCGCATTATTGGTTTACAAAAATTTTTAACAAACATAATTCTGTTGCACTAATACACTTGATTTTGGTTGCTCCGGTTTGCGGTACAGGTGAATTGGGAAGGCTAAATTGTCCGTAGTGTATGAATGAGTGTGTGGATGTTTCTCAGAAATGGGTTGCGGCTGAAATGGCATCCGCTGCGTACAAAAAAAACTTGCTGGATAGGTTGGTGGTTCATTCTGCTGTGGTGACCCCGGATTAATAAAGGGACTAAGCCGACAAGAAAATAAATGAATGAATGAATGGTCTTACACTTCATATTTTCTGAAATTTTCATAGCACATGTAATAATTCTGGTAGTTATACCATAAACCGACATGTCAACCATTTGGTAGAGGTTAATACTTTAAAAGCTATGAGATGTGTTAAAAATGCATTGAGTGTGTTTACATTAGTGCAATGCAATCCACATTTTTTTTCTTGGTGGGGCAGTTAAAGGGTTAAACAAAATAATAATAAATGCAGCCTTGGTGAGACTTGGTGTTGAAAAAAAAATCTCTAAACTTTTGAACAGTAGGGCATTTATTATATATCTTTCAGTTTTATTCTCTTTCATTTTCTGCGAACCTCCAAGCACTATTTTGCAAGGCCTGTGGGTCTCGAGACACCACTTTGTAAAACCCTAATACAACCAATACTTTGTAGTAAAACAATATTAACCAAAATGTACTATTTTTCCTCCAAGCCAAGATAAATGATGACAATATGAAACTGTGACACAGAAGACTCATGCTCCTCATGCCCAACAGGGCTAATTATGAGAAGTACAAGTGTTTTTCTTTCTTTCTTTTTTTTTTTTTTTTTTTTTTTACCAAGAATTTGATCTCTTCTTCTGTATCTGATTGTGTGTTTTCCTCCTAGGCTGTCCTCAGTGATAGCAAGTCTGAGGCCACTGTAGTGCAACATTTACAGCTTATCATTATTCTCTGATTGGATTACCCTAAAGACATAGTGGACTCTTTTGGACTCAAGAAATCCAATATTACATGATGAAAACTGTTTTCTAACTTAAACAAGAAGAAAAAATGTACAGAATTAAACTGCTGCGCTGTAATTGTAGTTTTTACTATTGAAGTGTCAACAATGCAATGCAAGATGTATTAGTGTTTCTCTGTAGATTACTTTTTGAACTTCTGTACACATTTTTTGATGACAAATCATTGTGCTTTTGACATTAAATGTAGATTTAAAAGAAAGCTTTTGTAGCATACACCCTTGAAGTTTCATTTTTATATTACAAATATGACTTGAAGTCTGTCTTTAAAATGAAATTAAAAGTGTTAATCCTCTATCCCAGTGCATTTTCATGCCTGACCTGTGATGATTGAAGCTAAAAGGGGAAAAAAAGTGTTTTCATGGAGCTCCAGATGCATATCTGCAGCCGCGAGCCTTTCAATAATACATGCCATACTTAAAACAGGGTTATTTTGGTTGAAGTAAGATGGTCTCTAAGAACCACATGTTCCAAAGAGGAAAAGAGTTTTTATGAACTATACGTGATTTATTTTTGTCTTAGGTGGTCCACTATGATAACATATTTTAAACTTTATTTGATGTGTAATATAGCTGTGTAAACACAACATCTCTGAATGTAAGACGCTCAAGGTTCAATGTAAAGGGAGACATTTAACAGAGTTAGCTTAGCAAAGCCTACAGCGAATCAAGTTTGGGAACTACAAAAAAATACATCAGGGTTAGTGAGATCACAAACGCTTCAGGTTACGTGCATTCACCAGCGCATACACCCCGCGCAGCCAAGGGGCGTGGCCTGATCGGTGCTGTAATGTTATAGCAGAGAAAGCTAAAATGCCCAATAGTATTTGGATGCAGCCATTATGATGCAAGCTAATATTGCATCACTTAGCGATGCAATGTCAGACACACTGCACTCAAATGGAGCTAGTGACATCACTGTGAGGGGTAGGGTTAGCGGTGGGGTTAGGTGAGCCCATTAAAAA